CTTCCCCGTAGCACTCCTCATGGCTTTCACGTGCCGCTTGAGTCCGGGTCTCGACGTCTGCATTCATTAGAAGATCTCACTCGAGTTCATCTCCATGTGGTCCCTCGACACCCGGCTACCTACGTGAGTGAAAGTGCTTGATAACAAGGATAACTTCTAAGGGTCACAAGTAGAACAGGATGCAACTATTTATAAGCAGTAAATTACAAACAAGGAAGATTTCAGGATCGTGTGGAGCCTTAACTTGAAATCTTCCTTCAGATTCACAATCCGTTGAAGCTCGTATTTCCACAGGTTGGCTTTGAACCGATGCCAACTCTGTCGACGTTTCTCTTGCGACTTTCTCCGCGCTCTGGCACGACGCTCTGTTGGAACCTGAGCAGGCGAGCCATCTGGAGCAGGTTGTACTTGTTCAGTAGTACTAGCGTCTGTTTTCTTACCTCCACCTTGTTGGTCCTTAGCCTCTTTGCCATCCTTGGCTCCTGCATGTGGATTAACAGAGGAAGCAGAAGCTCCCTTATTCAGATTCGAAGTCGATGCCCTTCGATTATTCTTTTTACTCGCCTTCCTAGCTTGCTCAGCAGCTTCCAATTCGTTCTGCTTTTCTATCTCTAGTGCTTTTTTTGCGGCTTCGTCTACTTTGTCGAGTTTCTGAGCTTGCGTCCTATCCAATCGACTCAGTCGCTGTGCTTGCTTTATCTGGTTCGCCACCTCTCCCGCGTGCGCTTGAGCTGCAGCCGCCTGTGTCCTATGGTATTGCGGAGACAAGATGCCCTCTTCCAATTGTGCCTCTAGTAACTGAAGACCTAAGCCTGCTGTTACTAACTTAATATTGGACTCTTCTGCTGTACCAGCACCACGCTTCTTGTGAGGACTTGTCCTTGATTTTGATGGACTACTACTATGATTTGCATCCAATGGTGGTCCATGTTTCTCGGCTGGCGGCGGTCGTGCAGTGGCTGAAGAACCGAAACCGGTTTTTGACTTTGTACTAGACGATGTTTCCTTATCTTTCAACGCCAGTTTCTGCTTCTTTTTCCTCAAGAACTTCGCTCCTTGTCCATCTAGAAAAGCGCCTGATGTCGTTACCCTGATGGCACTGCCAAATTGATCAGCATTTTGTCCGTCAAGCTGGTGCTCTGAAAATCCTTCTCCTCCATATCCTCCTCCAACTCGAGGACTCCCACCAGGATGTCCTCCATCACCATCTACAGCTACACTTCCTCGACCAAAACCATTGTTGTAACCAGTAGTATTGCTATTGTTCCTCAACATTTCTTCCAGCTGCTCATTGTATTTGCGAATCACATCATCTTCTAACTCAATGTTGTTCAACTTGATGCGCTCCTCTAGTTCTGCGAGTGTCTCGGTGAAGGGGTAAGGGACTAACTGAGGACCGCCACCGTGCATGAGGTTGAGGCGTGCTTGATAAACCTGCATACCTAAGGCAAGCTTGTTCTTCTGCGATTCGAATCGCGCAGGCACTATGGCAATGTCGGAAGGATTAGAAGACCTAGATGGTCTAGCAGAAGATCATCGTGATTTCTATTCATATTTCTTGACGAATTTTGTTTTTATTCTAGGCAGTTTACATAGAAGACACATAGAATAAGTAATATCTCTGTACTAGTAATTGTGCAGGTTGAAAAAGCTCAAGCTCTAGCTTAGTCTCATCATAACATTGGATGTTTTCATCAGTTTTTTCCAGCTTGCTTTGCTCGTCCCGCTAGAGGAACTGGTTGCAGCCAAAGGATCAACTGCATCTGCCAGCATTTTCTGCACACCTAAGGATCCTCCCAGATTCGCTAGTGGAGGATCCTTCAAAACGTGCGTGTTTCCATGCTGTCCTCCACTAAAGCATTCTGGATAAGCATGCTGCAAATAGACGTCCCAGAAGGCAGAGCAGTGCTTAGCGTTGAAATCCACACCATAGTTGTAGGTTCGCTGGAGCGCTGCACTCGCGCGCTCGTTTGCCGACATCATGTGCCCACTTCCCGGCGGCGAAGTCGCCCTTTGCATAGAGTCACTAGTGCTACTGCTCGTTGCATGCATTCCGCTGGAAGACGTAGCTGATAATACGGTTGTGCCAGCATCTCCAGGCGTTGACTTCGTTTCGTTCATATTAGGGACACCTCCACTTGGTGTCACTCCACTGTCTGCTCCCGTTTCGAGTGCTGTTCTTTCTGGACCTGAGGCGGTCAAAGTTCCTGAGCCAGCGGCGGCAGTTGTCGCACCAGGAATCACAGCAAAGTTGGCTCCACCCATGTTGTTTGACTTTGATGAAGGCTTCATGGCGCCAGATGTTGGCCGTCCTCTGTTCCTACCAGCATTACCTCCACTGCAATTGTGTCCTTGATGATACAGATTGTCGAAAAACGTCTCCGCTTCTGTCAACTGCCCAACAGTTGCTGTAAACTGCTGTGTCAGTCTATCGCTACGAACAGTGCTCATCCGAGTCAGCCGACCTCCTACGTCACCTCCACCAATATTAGAACTAAGAGAGACCCAGCTCCAGCAGCATCTCGGGCCCCCTTTTCCCTTTACGAAGGGGACCAGGACGCTGGGGAAGATGGATTTCTTGTACTTAGCCTTAACCACAGCACTTGTTCTTGAGGTGGCGCCAAATTGTCCGTGCTCTCCATGCTGACTCGTCCCAGCAGCGTCAAACATCGGCACAGTACCGTATCGAAAATCCCCCTCCTCATTCAACCGTCGTTCTCGGTCGTACTCCTCAAAGTTAGTTCCGAAATGGTCATGTCCCGTCTCCTCTACCTCCAGTCCCCAGGACTGAAAAGCGCGCTTTAGACAGTCTGCTGCTTCCTCTAGAGTGCACAAAAAGCCTTTCGGCACTTCCTCAGGAGGTCCGTGGATGATCTTGTTGCGCTTCTGTCTCGTGTAGGTGTCGTAATCCGGCACGAGCTCCCCAGATAAGGTTCGAAAGCCAGTCGAAAAACCAGACAAGGTCGTATGCCGTCTTGCCGCATCCCTCGCTAGCTTTTGCGGTGACAAGTGCTGCGGCAAACCGCTCACTACAGCGGGAACCATGTCGTCAGGTTTCCGAGCGTGGAAGCTGGCTAAATCCGCACGTAGGACTTCCTGGAAAGTTGCAGTTGCAAGTTGTACGGAATCGGAATGATGATCCACTTTTTTTCTGCCCCTCTTCTTCGCAGTATTTTTCATGCCATCCTCATGCCATGTCGTTTGCCACTCTTTATAAGCCGCCTTTCCTGGCACTCTAGGTTTAATATTGTTGTTGTTCCCTCGTCTACCTGGAGAAAGTGATGAATTCTTCTTATCGATTTCAACATTCCCTGTCAAAGCGATAGCACCACCTCCGGGAGTCGTGAAAAATCCCGGACCTGTTTTCCCAGCAGCTGGTGGAAGATGTCTGGCAGAGGAGGTACAATACTGTTGCCAGAAACGCCACTTTCGTTCCCACTCATCAAGCAAAGCAGGTGTCCCGGGTCGCAGCATCTCAGCTTTCTTCCGCTCATACCGCTCTAGCTTCTCGCCACTGCTAGCATTAGAAGAATCAGATGAAACAAATTATCCGGCTTGTTGTCAGAAGCCAGAGTTGTAAGTGTCAGAGGAAAGGCGAGATTTTTGGATAGAGTAGACCTTCTAGACTACTTGTTTTTCCTTTTGATTATCTCTGTGGAAAGAAGAAAACCAGAAAAAGCACTAAAACGCAAGTTCTTAATGTCCGCCGCATCCGCAAAGCTTGTGCTGCCTGTCAACAACGACAGAACCAGGCATTGTGCGCGATAAGAGATGAACTCTCGACGATTCAAGGCATATTTTCTCATCATGATCCTCAGCATCCGAAAAAGATTTCGGTCAACGCGTGATTGAGGAGCTAGCTTTTGATGCATTTCCAGCAGTAAACGGTCGCATTGCGGGAAGATAAGTCGGGGCACTGATTCGAAAGACGGTTTGCCATCCCCGATAGCAGCTTTCTTGTTCTTGCCTGCGGTCTGCTTGTTGGGATCTGGAGTTTTTTGATGACGATGTTGGAATTACTCTCAGATCCGACGAATAATCCCCATTGGATTTACAACACGTAGTTCTACTACACCACTGACTTTCACGTGAATATTATAAGGAAGAGACAACTTCGTTCCACATTCTACTTCTACAAACAAAAGAACAGAATATCGTTAGAGAGGTCCACAGCGTCATCAATCTACCACTGGGTTCCGGTGCTTCTCCGCTTGGACCGCTAGTTAGCCACCACAGATCCAGCAAAAGGTCTCGGAACTTCCGTACGATTCCCCTATAGTTACTGCGCCGTCTTATCTCAGTCTTGCTTTTTCCTAGTGGGGAAGGTCCCTCCTGTTTTCCTAGTGGCGAAGCCACTTGGAACTCCTCAGGTGGTGCGCCTGGCATCTTCGACGCTGTTGTCGGAACTACGACTACGTCACCTTTAAACTATGTTAGCTCGTCGTATCGGCAGCACTATGATCTTGTTCCCTCGAACAGTACAGTTACAAAGGCGTAAGGAACGAAGAGTTTGGACTCGCACATCTTTTTAGTCCACGTCTCCACTGACATAATCGTGCAGCCCTATGAGCTCTTCCAGCGCCAGCAGTTGTAATGATCCTCGTCTTGGTAAACATCTACTGCATGTAGCCATACATTTGTAGTTTCCCTAGAAAATTGAACATAATCTTCATGTATTTGAATAACCTCTTCCACATGGAACAAATTGAATTAGGGGTTTGCCGGGTGCGGGTCATAAAAACCGATCACAGCAATACTCAAGACAGACTTCTTCCTTGTTATGATGAGATCTTTGGCTTGCAGCACCGATGTTATAGTACCGCACTGATCCTAGCATGAACAGATATTTGCAAGAAAAGGACAGAATCAAAGAATAGATCACGACCGACTGAACCGGATAAACGCAACAGAAGTGTCACAGACTCTCCAGACAATCATCCGCATGTTGACTCGAGCTTCCCACTTTCCGCACGCAGTGCTCTGACTCGAGCTTCCCACTTCCCCTGCCGCATTGCTCCTGCTTCAGAAAAATTTGTATCCTCAATAATTTCCCTTGATAGATTGTCTGAAACTGTTTCATATATATCAAAGTCGTTGGATGTAGTGTTAATTAGTGTCTGATGTCAAGAACATTGCGAGTCACTAGATTTTTTCATTGCTTTTCGTGTCCGTCGATTTCGTTGCGTTTTACGCAATCTTTGTACATCGTCATTTGTTATGCCTAATATAGACATCTGTCCCCTTCGCGTCGGACTCTGCAGGTTGAAGCGGGAAGTTCCAGGTGCCGTTGGGTCGCTCGTCACGGGTCAGAATTTCAATCGTCCGATCCCAGATTGGCGAGAATTTCTCTAGGTCGATAAAGATATTCTGATTGTGCCAGAATCCACCATTTTCAGCGATAAACTGCTTGATCGGAAAATGAAAATGAGGGTCGTGGTGTTCGTGTTTAGGAACGAAAATGAGATACAACTAGTATCATTTAAGAGGCATTAGGTTCTGGGGTAGTGATCTACTTCACGGCGTACTATTTTTTACAGCAACTAGTAGTGAGGTGAAAAGTCATTCAATATCTCTATCTACTTAGTGAGGCTATCTACTTCTCGCCATAAATATACCACCTCTTCTCCCCTCCATTTCCTCGATGCACTTCGCAATTGTGATTCACACTGCCGTGAAGTCGCGACAAGCCTCCGAAGTGAGTGACAGGGTTTTGGTTCCACCCTCTATCGCAGAAGCCGTTCAGTGGGGGAAAGAGGTCCAACACCACTGCCCCAGAACGCATGAACACTAGCCAAGCATTGGCGGCACCCGTTGAGCCCATCCAGACATCCGCTTGCTTCGCCACGAAATACTGCGTCGTCGGGGTGATCTCCTCAAGGTAGAGAACGAGGATTAGCGATGAGGAGAAGACATTTCATTCTAAATTTTCTCTCGTCCTCGTTCAAGCTGTCATGAGTACTCTACATATTCTCTCTTTTTCCTGATCCTGCCTCTATTTCAATCGTAATAACACCGCAAGCTTGTAATCTCTCTCCTTGGCGTGTTGAGAGAGAAAGTCTAAGACGCTGTCCACGTTCTCGATCATGCGTCTTGCGCGTGGCTTCCTCTGCACCAAAACCATCTTGAAAGTCCTCATCCCTGTTCTTTCTGCTGCGTTATCGATGTTGTTGACGAAAACGAGTTGTGACGTCTCAGTGTTTCGGGGATTAGTGAAAGATAGTGTGATGGAAGGAAATTGAGACGAGTTCGAGTTCCAAAATGCATAATGTCCCGTTAGCATCATCTTGCCATACTAATGTACTCGAAGCGAAGAGAACAGTGCTAGAATGAAGAGATACTACATCTAGAGGTAGAGTATCATAGACAATCTTGCCATAATAACATACACCTCCCGATCCGCAGAGTAATCCACTGCAACCAAAGTGCTCTTTTCCTCAGCACCGTCCGCCGACAAAAGATGTGCAGCTGCACGTGATCTTGGATACCCGTGCAGGCAACTAGGATCACTGAAGAAATCGCAATCATGTTCTTGAAGGTCCACCTGATATCCTAGAGAATGCGTTTTTGGGTTGTCGTCGTCAGTTTGGTAGTATAGAAAGCGTCTTGAATAGTCCCAATCGATGGAGCAGCATTTGGTCGTTCGAAACGTCTCTAAGTCAGCTCTTGAACAGTCGCATTTCTGGTCTGGATTCAGGCTCTGGCCATGGCCAGGTACAAGAGAATTAGCCTCCGAAAACTGGCTGTGAACACGCTGCAGCATGAAGTTGAACACCCTTGGAGTAACAAAGCCGCCTAACCCTGTCCGGATTGCTTCGCGACCGAAAATGATACCTGGTGTAATGTGTGATGCGATAGGAAGTGAAGGTAGAGACTCAACAATGAGAATGGATTGCTTGACGTTCTAGAAGTACATGATGATGTAGATACAATATTAGGAAACCACTTCCATCGAATTCGAAATCGGATTACACAACAGCGACATCATCAAGTCAGTACTATGTAAAAACAGTAAATACGTTTATAGCATCTCGGTTTGAGGTCTTGGCCCAACGGTAACGGTGGATTGTACGTCAGCCCTGACCACCAAAATTTCATCAGTCTTCCCTGATCCAACACCTGCTCACTTTTCTTCTCCCCAGAGGAGGGCGCCTTTAGAGATGGAAGGGTGGAGAATATGTTGATGCCGTTCGGTTGTAGGCTACAGATACAGCTACTTTGAACAAGGTAAGTGAGTGGTTGCGACTGCTATAGATTCTGATTGTTTTTGTTATTTCTAGTGGCTGAATCTTCCGTATCGAACTAGAGGGTAAGTGAGTAGGTTCGACTGCTATTGACTCTTATTCTCTTGCGCATTGAACTTCTAGTATACTTCCTTTTCATAACTTGTCCTTGTACTGTCCTGTGATTATCCGCCAGAAGTGATTCATCTTTTCCTCTTGTTTCCGGTTTGGGAATTCGAAACGCACATCCACACTCCAAGGGTCGGCACAGACACCATATGCCTCATTCTGCAGTTGCCAATATGCTGGAGCGGTCAAGTGCAACAAGTGATAAGGATTCCCTTCGGAGACACCCGCGAGCATTGCTGTCGCGACTCAGGTTAGAAGAAGAGGATGTAAGTAGGTCGACCTCAACGTATACTATAAATGTTGATGCTGATCAAAATGGAAACTCGACTGAAATAGATACGAATCAAATAATGCGAGTACCAACTCCAACTGCATGATCTCTGCTCATAAGTAAAGCGTATCGGTGAAATGGGCGCTGCTGTTCCCACACATCCTAGGGAAGTCACGTGCTAAATTGCCGTGACGGATGTTGGTAAAGAAATAGTTCCCGAATTCTCCACAGGTTCGCAACCCGTTTACCCTGTACTCGTAAGCGACCGGCTTGGCCTTAGGTAAAATAAAGGAAGTGGAAGTCGTAGAAGTACTGCTTGAAGATTTCCTACTCCCCATACTAGCTGCGAAAACAGTAGAAGAAGTGTGTTCGTCATCTGTTAGAAAATCTGTCTCCTCGTCACTGGAGGTGATTGATAAGTCGCTTTGTTGCAATCTTCTAATGGTAGATGTGTCCTGAGGTCCTCCCAATCCGCCAGCGCTGTTTGATTCTTTTTTCATTGTTGTTGTCCATCGTCTCCGATCTTTTCTCCTATTCCGAGCTTGCTGTTCTCGAGTAAACCTTTTGTCCCCTAACGTCGAAGATGGCACATCGTCTACCTCTGACTCCACATCCATTTTTGATGAAGCAGTAGACCTCCCTAAGCTTCCAGCACTACGACCTTGCCCAGCACTACCTCTAGTACCTTGCAAAAACGGTGGCTCAATCTCATCCTCTTCGTCCAATCCGAAAAGCCAGAGCTCGTTTCCTAATATACACGCGTTCTCGACCAGGGTTGCGCACTCTGTTTCCGACAGATGCTGCAATCTCGATTTCCTACTTGGATCGCAATGTTGCTCTTTCCGTCTGCCCTTGCGCGTCCAGGGCTCACGTTGGCCGTGAGGGACTTTGTCTCCTTCGGAACTGCTAGCCACTCTATGATCGTCGCCGCTCGCAACTTCTTCGGATGCAGCACTAGCTGTATTCATCCATTCCTCCGATTTGAGAAAAGCGCACTCTTTGTCCTCGCGCCCAGGCTTTATCAGATAACCTTCTTCTGGCTCTGGCAATGAGACACTGTTTCTCCGCTCGAAGAAAAGTGCTTCTGGAAATTAGAAAGACGTCGGCGACGACAACCGACACTATGTGTCTGACAGTAAAGACGGCTGCGATTTAAATCTACTTAGTCGGTAAAATACATACTCGGTATAATGGGTATCCGACTTCATTCTAATCTTATCTTTAAGTCGTACTTCTATCTTATTCATTGGTTTAGACTTAAAAGACCAAAAGAATACTTCCCGCCATACGATAGCGGGTTCTCCCGGCTTCGCCATTACTTACTAAACAAATCTTTTTACCATACGATAATGGGTTCTCCCTGCTCCGCCATACTATCTTGCGCAAAAGCTTCGGACTCACATCTATAACCGGATTCTTCACACCAGTGCGCCTCTCAATATCCATCGAAACCTCGGTCACGTGAAACATGGCCATGCGGTAATTGTCGAAAAATTCGTCCACATCGAAACCCGGATATTAGAAAGCAGAGCCTAGTTAATCTGAGGAGTTTTTTATTATGCGGTGTGCTTATAAAGTAACGCGGAGAAGCCATATGACTAGTACGAGTCCAACATCTTTGATAATCAACGTTACCGACCTTTGCCTTTGGTAATCTTCAAAGCACTTATTGCACTTTCAATCTTCCTCCACGCCATAACATATGGATCGGTCTAGACAGGTGATGATGAGGGGCATCTGATAGTTCGCCATTTGATAGTACCGTACGAAATGTCTCACGTCCATGTGAGTGCCGAATTTGTTGGGTTCCCGTGAATCCTCATCACTTGCATTAGAGAACTACTGCCGAGAGATAAAAAGCCCTAATCAACAAGACAGCCAACGTAACCCTAGTAATGATTCAATGTGCTCAGCCTTCTCATGTAGTAAAGGTTGCAGCATTACATTCTTCAGAACATCCCTCACCTCTTTCCTACTGGAAAAAGAGTGAGGAATGGTTGTGGGGGATGTAATTGGTTAACCCTTAAATGTAGTCAACCCAGTTGTACCGTTTCAAGAACATCTTCAGCCATACTCAACAATATCGATTTCATTGCGCAATTCAGCAGCACTGCCACATGACCCGGCGCACAGTCCGACACGTAAGCTGGCTCTATCCATTTTGCTTTTTCCTCTGCTGAAAACATGGCATCCTCACTGGCTGCTGGACAATCCGCACTATTCTTCAGGATCAATTCCTTGATCTTCAGAAATCTCGGGTCTCCAAGATCTTGCTTCGATTATGCTTAGAGGAGGGATTCGTATCCGTTCTGCTTGCAGCGATTAGGATTAGCTAGTACAAAAAAGGTTAGGTTAGGTTGTGGATCCTTCACAACGAGCCCCACGGGCACCTGCTCGCCTCCGAGGATGATGCGTGACCTAGGTACGGTCACTTCAACACAAAGCATCCAACATAAAACAATTCCGGCAAATCGGGTACGAAGATCTGATGCATATCAAACATGGTGCGGACCCAGAGCTCGTAGTGTATATGACACGTACACGAGGCCATATAAGAATCGAGCATCGTTTGCGCATTTACTAACATAATTAGTAGAGAGCTAGGGCTACTAGGTACCTGTGGAACATCGTTTAGCACTTTTCAAGGATGTATGATACTCCCTGAGTTTGTTGAGTGATATTACTCCCTGATTTGTCATTGGTAGGATGATGGTATTTTCCAGTAAAAATTATGGCTAAAAGATGCTCCGGTCAGAGATGATGTGTTACCAACTGTTGTAATTCTCCTTAACTTAGGCATCGTCGGTGTGTACACGTGAACGAAGGCGAAGAGGAGGAAGCAGCAGGTATAGCAGCAGGTGATCAGGACAAGATCGACGTCTATAGATGGAGGAATTGGTAAGCGGCCGAGGAGATTAGAGGTGTAGACGCAATTCATCCCAGTAAAAATCATCTGGGTCGCGGTTTCTTCTTGTTTTTTCCTTCCAGATGACTTTGGGGATGCACTCCCTGCACTCATAAGAAAAGGAAGAAGCCTCCTCCTGGCTTGTGGATTTGTTGAGGAGGGTAAAGATCTCCCTGTTGTAGCAGTCGCTGCGCTTCCGTTTCGATTTCCATCTGCACGACGACCACTTTGAGGTTGACGAACTTCAGGCTTTTGAGTCGTGGTCCTTGTGTTCACTATCGTAGAACCCATGGTTGTACTTGGCCGATTCATCCGAGAATAACGGAAAAACCTGCATATCCTGTTCCTCCATGGTCTTTTTTGTGTTCTTCCCATTCTTGACCGACACGTACACCTTGGAGTTCTGCTCGGACGTCCGCACAAGTAAGACACGACATGCCCAAACATGGAAGACAGCGACTGACCAGGTTGATGGTCGTGGTCCCCAGGTTGATGGTCGTGGTCCCCAGGTTGATGGTCGTGGTCCCCAGGTTGATGGTCGTGGTCCCCAGGTTGATGGTCGGGGTCCGCTATTTTGCTGCGCTGCGCCCTCTTCATCTCTCAGTTTCACCGCAGAGACAGGGGCATGCCTCTAGATGCACGATATTAAGAAGACGGGAACGAAACAGAGGAGATGATCATAGATCAGTACGCATCATTTTTCGTTATATTTTCAGAGTCATCTTGCATCCCTAACCTCACTCGGATCCCTCTTGTGGTGAATAGTAATACTGCCCTCTTCAACGCAAGTCGGTGATTCTTTTGATCGATCTTCATAAGTGTCTGTTAGATCCTGAGACTGATCCTAGACTGATATAACACTGTCTCCTTCTGCAACACTGTGCATCGCCATCCACGCTCAGAAGGCGAAAGCATCGAGAGTGCCTGATGTTCATTCGTCTTGTTTTTCGACATCAAAGCTCTTGTAAATGATGTTTGTTCGTTCTATTTCATCCAAATAAGTCTACAGGCGTATGATAAATACAGTGACTTTCCCTGCAAGGATTTTCGTTTTATCTCCGCCGGATCGATGCGATGATCAGACTATTTGCCATACCAAGAATAGAATAGTCAAGAATTGAGCCAATGCTCTGTGTCAGGGCGTCAAACATTCTATACATAGAACTGTACAACCAAGAAGTAGCCTAACAATACCAAGAATTGAGAGTAAGTGTGAGTGTGCATAAGAAAATCAGAATATTAGTGTGTGTGCATTATCTATATTTCTAGTAACTGTGACGTGCCGAAAGATTCATATTTCAGTTCAGTAGTCTACATTGAAGATTTTGATCGTTTTGAATGGCGATCCAATAATTTTGATGTAGCTGTCGAACAGTACATTTTCTAGTTCTAACATCGATAGGAACCTAAGAACTATAGCCCTCATCTCTGGTTTAAATGATCGAACGGCGCCAGCTCCATCTTATGCCCGTACTTCGTGTTGAAGGATTTTCCTGCGACCTGTGTTTTTTGATGTTGTAAAAAGTGTTTCCACGCAGTCATCACAACAATATATCATACTTACCAGTAGAAGTTTATTTACCCCCTTCTGCAACGAGCGAGGACTCATGATCAATCATACTAGTGTTGACAGGAGGTAAAAAAGCATGCAAGCTACCAAAAGATTCAATATACCAGTAGAAGAAGTTTATTTACCTCCAAAAAAATTACCGACCAAACACGACTGCAAAAGGCTATACCGATATCCTGCTATCATTCCTGTATCCCTTGTCGCAGTAAACCCTCTTGAGGAAGTTGGGATCCTTCCAACTGTCGTCTGCGTACCTGCTCTTTTCCTGCCACTCGTAGTACGCGTTCATAGTAGCGCCAAGTGGGGGATCCCTCGTGTACATGCCTTGTGCCTCCTTCTCCCCACGCTCGGTGAAGATTTTCTTGCAGGGGGTTAGAGGGGGAAGACGGGGAAGGGGAGAAGAGGGGAAGGGAAGGCGATATTCATATTTCTATGGACTGTGAATCAATAGAGGTCGTGCTTCTTGTTCTACCTAGTACAGTAAGAGGTGGTCAGCATCTTGTTCAAGAACGGTTGTATTAATCTATGTATATTAGAGCTCGTCGTTTCATTAACGTGAGCCTTAACTCTCCCGCTACAAAGGTCACACCTCCGCCGGCTACATTTTCGACTTTTTTCCCAGGTACGTAGCCAGAATAACCAGGGATTCGTGGCACCGAGTAATTCGCCATTACCGTTGTCATGGCTGTGGTTTGTAGGTTGGACAATTGTACAGTTCTTGACAAGATTGATTGTTTAGGGTTTTTATTTTTTCCATGATCCAGTCAACGCCTTAAGTCTTGTAGTCCTGTCCTGTAAGCATATTGTCGGAAAGTGATAACAGGGGTAGAACACTCGGGTCCATCAACACCGTCGCGGTGTGATCTGTGTGTTCGACATGTTTTATTGTTTCTCAATCATCTTACTTGTACATTATCATTCGTGATTTCAAAACTTGAGCCGCGTATTCATAGCGGTCACACAAAACACAAAGTGAGGTGTTGGAAAGGAGGAAAGGATCATCATGATGTCCATGCGGTTTTGTAGTGATTAATGTGTACGCCAGTTTCGTGTGTCTTCATGTGCTTAGGTATACTTCTTACTCACCTAAGCTTTTTCATCTCGTCACTTAACTCGATACAGTTATAATCAACCCGCAGGGACAAAACGATACTACTTTCTACAATGTCTTTCCGAGCGGAACAAAAACAAACAGTCTTTTTCCACTCGCCCTCACTCTCAAGTGTCTCGTTCTGACTCGTTTCACGAACAAACAGCCCGACGGGATTAACACAGAGTATTCCGACGAAGTATAGTCACTTCTTCATGGAAATCTCACAGTGCCCCGGGGGTGAAAGAAGTGAAACGCAGTCAACAGCAGAAAGAGATCACTTGGAGTGCCTACTTAGTCACTCCTTATTCAAAAATTATATATCTACTTTTCTGTTCTTCTGTAATTAAGATTTTGAAAACTTTACTTCATGAAGAAAAACTGACCCAGAACCTGATTTCTATTTATGTCAGGACACCACTAACGAAGACTTACTTTATATGCCTCTTTCTTATAGGAGGTATAAATTATTTGATGAAACGTGTTCTATTCCTTGCTTCCTCTCACGGTTGATGTCTTGAGAACTCCCCAAGACAGACTTTTGTTATTTTGCCCAGACCATGGCTCATCTGGTCCCACCAGATTCATACAGGAAAATTAAGATACATCATCTCAATGGTGACCACGTCGGTGATCACACACGCGAATCCACTTCGGATCTCAAAAGAATTACTCACCACACTTACTTCAATAACCATCTACTATCAGACCTTGAAGGTGTCCACATTGGACAAACTTTACCCACTCAAAATTTTACTAGTTGGAGTTATGTATATTATTTCTAGATGTATATGATCGGTCTTCATGTGTTTTGTTCCCAGACATTTTCAGAGGTATGGATCTGTTATTCAGGTGTTCTTCTTAAAGTAAAATTTTCTTTTCTTATCGTTCTATTCTAAATTATTCTTGCAAAATTTTAATGTTGTCAACTGTATGTCTTCTATCCATGTGTTACCCTCTTCTTTCTTTATCTTTTCGTGAACTTTCTTTGTGTTGTGAAAAATAAGGTCTGCAAAATTACTACTTGGACCACTGGTCCCCTGTGACCTGTGCAAACGAAATTTAGTTTCGAGTGATACAAAAGTGCCACGCTATTTATCCTTTCTAATTCTGTCATTCTTTATTTCATTGCCACAAAAAAAAACTTTTTCTTACTTATTTACAAAGATGAATTTTCTATATGGAGTCGACCTTCTCATTCAGAGGTCGCTCCCAGGTGTGGACACGTCGGCGGATAAATGCTTGCTTCAATGGTAAAACGAATTTTCCTCTCAGCATATTCATGAATTGCTGGCACTTACTTCCGCTTTGGATCTTCGTGGATCCATCGCCAGGGTTGGCACGATCAGTGATGTGCCCCACCTCCACTTGCGTTCCACTGTGCCACGCCTTGAGTCTTGCCAAAACCTTATACACGGTGGCATCTGCGAGACAGATTCCGGCCTTGGATACCAATCGCGCCACTGCCGATTTGCTATCGGAGAGCAGGACGCCGATGGCCGGTAGATTCCACGCACGTAGTTTCAGCAGGATTACCTCGAGTACGGGGACCGATTCTCCCATCGCGTGTAACTCTGCCTCATAGCTGCTGCTGGTGATGATGCTCCCGAAGATGTCCGCGATGCCGAGGAATGAACATCGGATCTCGAATTTCTCGAGTGCATCAAATTCAGCTTGTGTCTTGACTCGCTCAAGGTCTTGCTGCTTCTTCTCGTACTTCGACCAATCCTCAGAAGAGATAGAGAGAGCTATCCATCCCAAGACGGGTTTGAGTCGCGATAGCTCCTTTCCTAGGTCGGCTTCGTTGTTCGATGGGATCCCGACTGCAGCCACTCGCTTACGTCGGTCCTCGCGTTTCCGAGAAGCACTCATGTATGTTAAGGCGGAGAAGACTTCATCAGCAGTACTACAGACGTAAGCCTCGCTGTCAGCATGATCGCGGTAAAATTGGCGGACTTCTTCGACAGACAGCACTTCCTCCTTTACGCACGGAGTTTGCAGTGATGCATCAGGGAGCATTAAGATCATCTCATCTGCATATGTGAGATCCATCGTGATCCCTGGACTTCCAGACTTCAAACGTCGGATGATGTTGTTCTGACTCTCGGTCCAGCGGTGGTCTTTCTGGGTATCGGCTCCGAGTGCCAGAGCGCGGGTGGCGAACTGAGCTTCCGGATGCATGCGAGTCACGTAGATGAGACTACCACGTTTGCTCTTGAGTTCACTAATCCCATCCACGTCTAAGGTTTCATGCGGACCCTCCGACTTGAGGTCAAAACCTGCAGGGACCGGCGAGAGAGTCATTTCCTCGATCTTCTGTTGCATTGCCAGGTACACGTAGTTGCCATCCCCACTCATGGTTACCATGCATCCCGTGTAGACGAATCCATTCCGGGCATCAGACCAGGTTTCGAGTCCAAGTCGTTTCTTCATCGCCTTGGCTAGTTCTCGAAACGCCCATTCGCACATGGCTACAATCAGATCGTCGACATGGATCCCGATGAAGTTCCCTTTCCCATCGGTAAACACACATGGTGAACACGGATCACAGTGATATCCGATGGAATTCAAGAATTGGCTCAGGGTGCGATACCACATGAGAGCCGCCTCTTTTAGGCCATATAGCGATATCTCCATCAAGAAGATAGTGGACCGATCCACGCCAAAACGATTTTTCAGCATCTTCATCGTCTGCTCGTCGTGAAGATTATGTGGAAAGCGGAAACGTGGACGATTCTCCTTTTTGAACCGTAAGTTCTTCAGGAAGGCCCGCGGTACATCGCCACTCTTCAGAATGCGCTTGCCCTTAATACGACGCAGCGATCCAATGATCAGGCGGAACTCGATATCGCTGAGTGTGGGGCTTTCTGCTGATGCTTCGATGGATGAGAGATGTCCTCCAGGCACTAGACGGAAGGTGTTTTTGTAATGGTATTTGGTTACCATCTTCACGCCTGCAATGCCCCGGGATGTTAAGATGCGCTCTTTGCTGCACTCAACTCCCTCCTGGAAGATAGAGACTAGCTCGCTATCGAAGATGTTCGCAAACTCCTTCTCCACTGAATTGGTGAACCCGGATTGTTGATCAAGTCCACTTGCAGCACGCACAAATTCATGATCGAGGTCATCGCACTTCACTGCGCCGTGGAGTCGTTGGACTACTTCAGTGTGCCGGGCAGAGATCGGATCTAGCACGCTATGGAGTCCATATTCAGGATAAGACTTCGCTGGATCAAGATCCCACACAATCACCCGCAGAAGATGTCCCTCGCCGCACTTCTTGTATTCTTCTTCCGATTCAACTACTTGGATGACTCGCTTGTTCCAGGCAACGCGAAAAGCCTTCTGCAATTTCGAGTCAACAACCGGCTCACATTGTTCCTCGACTCTCCAAGAATTGTACAGCTCGATACTCGCCGGCGTAGTGGAAGCGGGGGCCTTGTCGAAGAGCGCATGCTGGATCAGCTGCTGGTTTAGTGTTCCCTCCTTGAGGAAACCCTCTTTCTCGTTCTTCAAGGCCTTGGCCATTGCCCGTCGAGTTTCACGATTGGGCTTGTGGAGATGATTGTTCCAATTTTTGAAGATGTGTTCTCCATCAGTGCTATCATCTTCTTGGTCGGAATTCGGCCCATTTTCTTCATCAGCTGGAGTTTGAGCGTGGTTGTCCGCGTTGTCCTCTCCGTGTAGTGCAGTGACTAAAACCGTTTCTGGTTCCGTCAAAATAGTCACTGTCGATTCCTCGAGTGCTTGCCGGTCTGTTTGAAGTTCCTCGTAGCTACCGCAAATTTCTTCGTCTCCATCAATGATCTCATCGGTGACTAGATTGACAAGTAAAGAGCGTTCGGCTGACTTGCCAATAGCTTTGGCTCTAGATCCCTTCTGCCTACTTTCTCGCAGAGGACACTCTTGCGCCTTGTGTCCAAATTCTCCGCAGAAGTAACGCCGGAATTTAGTGTCACTGGTCTCGTTGAAGAAGACGTGGTCTGGTCCATTGGAGCTGCCGGGATTTCCATCTTCGGGGACAGCATCGTCCTCTTCCTGATGTAGGTTGTCCTCTTCTTCATCGCTCAGTTCACCAATGCTGTCCTCCACGTCGTCATCTGCTAGTAGATGGAGTTGTTTGTTGATCCTCTTCGAGTATTTCTTCTTCGATTTAGATTTTTGTTGGTCTCCCTTCCCGGGGGGTCGTAAAGAGAAATATGGGCCAGCACTATGGTGGTCGATTTGAAGAGGTTCAACCCAAGTTGATTCATCTGTACGATTGTTGTCACGCTTCCAATTTTGTTCAGCGATGTAGGCACAGCCGCCCACTTGGAAATCTGCGGGGCATAGTGGTTGGATGTGGTCCGGAACATCGTAGTAGTGGTTGTAGTTGACATGCTCTTGGATGTGAGTCGCCTTTGCAATGGTTGTCCCTCGTGCCAACTGGATAGTATACGTGTATGGATCCGCTCCTTGTCCGCGCTTCCTGGCTATGATTTCACCGGGAATTTCCTTTTTGGTGACGACGTCGTAGACAAGGACGCGATCGCCGATAGGAAAGTCGTCTTTTCTCCTTTTCGCAGCGGCGGCATTCGCGATGATCTTCTTGACGGATTGCACGTATTCAGGGTCAACCGTCATAGCGGAGCATTCCGACCAGACTCGGATTCGTGCCTCGGTAATGCGATTAAGATGGCACTCACTGGTTACGTCGAGGTCACCTACTTCGGCATCTAGTGGATGGATGATGTTGTCGGCATTTCCCTCCTCAAGGCCCCAAAACTGCTGATTATTGGTCCGACTGTTTCCTGCAGTACTAGGGATGTTGTCGAGTGCTTCAGACAGTTCGTTGCAGATCCACTGTAGAGGCATCTTGTTGCATTCTGGAGAGAACATTACGCGACGAAGTCCGGTTTTGAAGGCGAGAAATAAGCGCTCGAGCTTGTGGACTTTCTGGCCTTTGGGTAGGAGAGTGATCTCTCTTCCCGTCTTTCGCAACATGCTGAAGTCAACAAAACCAATGTTCTCCAAGCCTCGATCTGCGACGAGACGTCGTCGGAGCAGTTTCTTGTCTAGACTCTTGTAACAAGCAATGCTGATGTCAATTTTGGAAGGTGATGCTCGTCCTTCGAGGAAACGACCTGCAAAATCACTATCAAATTGAAAACAGAAGCCATCGACGATGGAAGAAGCTTCTTCCGCAGATATCCGCTTTTCTCTTAGTGCCTTCTCTACTAGTGGCGCAACCTTCCATTTTGTCCCAGAGACAAAGAAGCCGCAGCGTCCATCCGCAAAAGAGAGGAATCCAATGACGGAGAAAATATGTCCCATCATGGTAACAAATGTTGTGTCAATCATCGTTATTCCTCCGCTGCGTAATGCTTCCAGTGCTGAGAAGGACCCTAGATCGCGGACTCGGCCTCCTATCCCATAGCGAGATCGCGCTTGGCTGTCGACTCGTGCGACCCGCACTAATTCCTTAAGTTCCTCCTCCGGAACGTTACGCAGTTTGTCTTTCGCTAGATCTAGGCATTTGTCAAATGGAATCATCTTCCCGCGGAAGTGCAACACCTGTTGGATGAGTTTGATCTTGCGTCGTTCGGTGGCAGTGAAAGTTCTTCCCACTGATAGGACACTGTAAACCCGAACTAGTTCGTCATGATTGTACCGGACGGCGTCTCCGTTAGTGGTCATAGAGAACGAGTGTGTGAAAGATTCTCCTGCGAGTGAGCAGTGCATGACGTTGAGCTTGTGCATCTTCTTTAACCGTTCACCGAAAGCGATGGAAACTGCAAATCCAGACGAGCATCTGATGATGCATCGCTTACGAATTCGCAGGTGTTCTAGGATTTGATTGATGTCTTCGCCATGAGTGAGGTCCTGGATGCCTGAATGCATTCCGGTGCGGATTTGCTTCTTGTTTAGATCAGGTTCCGCGTCCCGGTAGGCGGCTCGATTGAAGTCATCAACGTCGAATATCTTCGCATGAGTTCGCACTATTGGTGGCACGTCAATCAGGTCACGGCAGGCGAACACCTTTACGTCTTCAGCACGGGCTGGCTGAGATAGCATTTGTCGCGGCGACACTGCGCTCCTGGCCTTTGCAGATAGCCTGCCTTGCCCGATGTTTTCATAGAAGACTTCATGGTCAAAGATCATGGCTCCTTCTTCGTAGTAGCTTGATAGCCTCCCGCGGCCGGGGTCAATTGGAGATCCGCCGGATAATTCCGCGCTGATTCCACGATTTCTGGCATTTCCAGCTTCTTCATTCGCGATGTGGAAGTAGTAGTCCACACTAAAGTAAGCCTTGAGCCCGTCAATCTTCGTTGTAACCTGCTCTCTTCGTTTTCGCCAGTCGTCATGAGAGTCCACACATCCACGCCGTTGTTCGTTGATGTTGATGACTCGCCTCAATCTCACCCTATCGCGAAGCCACATAGGTGTTTCAGGTACGGTCCTGATGCCATACGTAGTCTCGCGAAAAACGCCGTAGGTTCCTACGTCACCGGGACGTTGCAGTTGTTCGGAAGTGACCTTCCAGCAGTCTGCGTCCTCTCTTCCTTGGTCGTCCTGTTTCAGGATTTCGATCCCTGTGTCACCATGTGGCCCAGAAGACGAAGCACTAGTGTCATCCATCGGATATGCGAATATGTGCTCTGTTGGTTCGTCTACGCAAGCTACTTGGTGTTCAGAAATATCCCCGCTCTCATGCTGGATGGCCACGTGAGTTGTAGGGATTGCTTCGACTTGGTATCCGGCTATAGCAGCATAATCCCCAAAAGTTCGAGGGTCGAAACGTTTTGTCACCTTTTGCACCTCTGGATCTCCCATCATGCGAGGAACGGTGGGTAGGACGACAAAAACGGGACGGCACCATTCTTCCTCAGGATTGTTGGCCTGGATGCTCTTCAGGACGTCGATTTTGAGAGGAGAGAAGTCAAAGATTCGCATGATGATCTGTTTCTGGTCCCCGAAGTTGAGAATCCACCGGCCATCCCACCCGCGGACATGTTTGTCGATGCCCGGATCACGGATGACTGAGCAGAACAGATCTTCCTGGAATCCTTCCCCTGCTAGATTCGGTCCCTCGAGTGTGACGGAACACCGGCAGAAGCCGACCGCGTAGAGAGTGTTATCACTACGCCGTACTGCGTATGGTTGTTTTTGTCTCCAAAGTACCACTGCAGTGGCTCCTCCTAGTCCAGTGGCACTGTCGTTTGCTGGTTCGACCACGACTTTTACACCTTTCTCTTCCAGTTCGGCTCTGTTGGACTCTCCGGTCTCCTTGTCGACGTAGAGTCTTGCATTAAACCCGTCGTCCCACTGAACCGATTTCCGCTCTCTGGTGAAGAAAGCTCGTTCCGGTGGGTGTTCTTCATTACTCTTTTTGCACTCACTGACATCCAGCTGCTCTTGTCGTTGTTGTTGTTGGAGATCAGTGATGCAGAAAGTGGATTCATCGATGTGTTCCTCACATGGTGGGCACGTGTTATCTTCTGACTCATCGATTCCAGCAAAACCAGCGCGACGCAGTGCTTCTCCGATGAAGGTCACCAGTACTCTATCATTATCGAGTTCGTGACTAGTCGGCTGATTTTCCGTTCCTCTCGCACACACAACATCGTCTTCGCATGGAATTCCAAGTCGTTCGTAGCATGTTGAGTCGTTGCTGGTGTAATCTTCGATGACGAACACCCGTTCAACCTGATCTTCATCAACCACACTGAGGATTACTTGCTTCTTTGCGTTTTCAGGAAGATCTTCCAAGATGGCCCCGACTTTGTCGTGAGCCTTCATCTTGGCGAAACCGAGGTTGCTGATTCGCTTGGCCGCTTGATCAGTTGGAGGAACTGGACACTCGGCAGCCAAATGATCTTTCCCAAAACATTTTCGGCATACCTTGTCCTTGAACTCGCAATCTTCTTTCATGTGGTTGCGTCCGCAGAGCCAGCATTTGATGTTTCGTCCACTTTTTCCGAGAAGCAGCGCTCGTCCGCCTCCATTATTGCCCTGACTATTACTCCCATTGTTGCGATTCCAGCGTCCCTTCGGATTCGCAGGGTCATATGCGGTGCTGTTCTTTGGATTGGCTTTAGCTGCCAGAACATATTCTCCTTCGGAATCTGGGCTGCTAGCTCCACAATTACTGGCAGCATCACTCACAGTGAGCGCTTGTTCTCTGGTCCTTTTCGATGCTTTTCCTAGAGACGCCTCTGCTTGTTCGTTCAGAAGAAGATGTTCGAGCAGATGTTCAAAGTGAACAATTCCTTGGTTGTACTGACGGTACAGCGGGTCAGTCAAGGTAGACCGGATTAGGGTGACTGGTAGTTCGACCCTTCGGGCGAAGTGTTGCCAGACTACATCACGAGAAGCCAGGTCGCTAGTGAGTGGCCATACTCCTCCACGCTCAGCGGTCTCGATGAAGCGACGTATTACTTCAGCGTCTCCTTCGCCAGGGCGCCGCCCGAAGTTGATGTATGCCTCGCGCTCGTCTCGATTAATGATGAAATCGGATCCGAAACATTCGAACAGTCGATAGACTAGATTTCGGAATGTGAGACTGTCCCGAATGCGCAAACTGAATGTCACTACTCGTAGTTTTTCCTTGGTAGGTTTGGTTAGTACAAACTTCCATCGGTTCTTGGATGCATCTTCCTCATACAGGATCTGTTCGATAATGCTCTGTTCGCTGAAGGCAGGAAAGAGGTATGCTTCATCATTTGCTGCTCCAGTTGTGGTCGCTAGGCATTCTACTAGGTAGTTCTCCATGGCACTGAGGAACTCGTCAACACGTTCGTAGTTTGTCCTTTTGGGCGGATCACGTTCCGGGAGTTTGTCGCGCATACGTCGCGCATGTCGTGGGTCAGGTGCTTGACCGTAATGGATGATGTAATCCGATTCAAACTGGATTCTAGTGAACTTCCAGATCTGCTTCCTCACTGCTCCACCGTCAAACGTGGGTGTAACATGACGCAGAGGTAGATGATCTCCGAGCACGTTTGCAGAGTAGCTATTGCCAAATGATCCATGGTGGTGGTTCATGTTTCCGCTGTAGTGGTGCTGGTGATGCATCCCGTTCATTCTCATTCCGCCAAATGGATCAGGTCCGAATCCATAATTCGAATTTGGCAGATGAGGATGATTTCCGTTCACTAGATCTACCCCATGAAACGGATTGTGTCCATGCATCCCATTGAAGGGCATCCGGCCTGCGCCACCAGTGGGCATAGATCCGTATCCGCCTCCCATTCCCGTAACGCCTGGATGTCCTATTCCTGCTCCGCTCGTCATACCGGCTCGAGGCGATAGTCCAGGTGGTGTGACCATGTTCCCAGCGATTCCGGTGCCGTAGTCAGAATGGCGTCGTGGTGGTATAGACTGTGGCCCAAAACCAGGAGTCAAAGGACCAGGGTGCTGTAGGAAGTTCCCTGTGTTCATGGTATTACGATGAGGATGATACGCACCGTTGTTCATTAGTTGTTGACGCATGGCGCCAAGCTCCGCTTGGTGTAGTTGTCTCATGCGTGCTAGTTCATCTCGGACATCCTGTAGCTCTTGGTTCTGGCTGTTGATTTTTCCGTCAATGCGCCCCACGGTGTTGGAGAAGTTATTCTCAGCATTCTCATGTAGTTGACGGATGTTGTTTTCCCCTTGCTGGATTGCACTAGTCGTTCCCATAACTTCGGATGCGAGGCGGTGGATGTTCTGGCTGCTCCCTCTGACCTCACCTCCAAGTTGACGGATTCCTTCGACTGTCCCCTGCACATTTGCATTCACCTGTTGCAGGTCCTGTTGTGTCTGCTGAGCAACATGATTACTGTTCCGTTGGTTGTGCAGCAGCACGTTTCGGCTGTAGATCAGTTCTTCAGCAATCGCCCGATCATAAACAGAAGGGCCTTGGCCTACAGTAGTTCGACCACTTCCATTGTTGCTAGAAAGTGCGTAGTACTGCGGCGGGTTACCTACCATCATTCCCGATCCAGAAGACGAGCTTGGACCTCCGATGTTCCCGCCACCCGGGACTGGTGGCAGTCTTGGTGGTCCTCCGACGGGGAGTTGCGGCTCCATCAGTTCGTCGGTAGTGTTGCCGTCGGCAATTTGTGGTAGATGGTTGTTGTCCATTTCGTCCAGCAATCGTAGTTCTTCGTGAGTTAGCTGGACGCTGTCTGGTTCTTGATTAGAAGGAGATCTACTTCTAGATCTACTGCGGGGTTGGCTCATATTTCCACTCAAAGGATTACCGCCCTGCGTGTGATTCGTTCAGTTACAGTGCGGCATCGTGTGGATCGGTACCGTAGTCGGATAAAACGGTAACCACGTTCTCCGGCTACCACTGTCGGAAAGTGATAACAGGGGTAGAACACTCGGGTCCATCAACACCGTCGCGGTGTGATCTGTGTGTTCGACATGTTTTATTGTTTCTCAATCATCTTACTTGTACATTATCATTCGTGATTTCAAAACTTGAGCCGCGTATTCATAGCGGTCACACAAAACACACAGTGAGGTGTTGGAAAGGAGGAAAGGATCATCATGATGTCCATGCGGTTTTGTAGTGATTAATGTGTACGCCAGTTTCGTGTGTCTTCATGTGCTTAGGTATACTTCTTACTCACCTAAGCTTTTTCATCTCGTCACTTAACTCGATACAGTTATAATCAACCCGCAGGGACAAAACGATACTACTTTCTACAATGTCTTTCCGAGCGGAACAAAAACAAACAGTCTTTTTCCACTCGCCCTCACTCTCAAGTGTCTCGTTCTGACTCGTTTCACGAACAAACAGCCCGACGGGATTAACACAGAGTATTCCGACGAAGTATAGTCACTTCTTCATGGAAATCTCACAATATAGTACCTGGTTTATCCAACCCAAATTTCTCTTTCGATGAGTAACTTTTAGTCCATTCTGCTGGTTTGTTGAAGTGCTCCTCTGGCTTGGTTTTGAGCGTGGGCGCAACATACGCTGCTGATGCCGCACGGGTTGGCTTCGTTTGGCACAATGTACCCGATCTGCCATGGACATCTGCTGCTGGCTGGCCGTACCTTGATAGGAGAAAGGTGACGTCAGTGTTGTGTGCACCTTGTTAATTTTAGGCCAAAGTTGACTTGAGTGCTGTGTAGTTCATCAGGGCATGATCGTAGAATCGTAGTCGGTTTGTTGAGCGAGGTGTAGAAGGAGTACTCGTAGTTCATCAAAATTTCAAACTTTCAAAACAGTAAGTACTGGCTCTGCGAATATTTTGTGGGCATGAATCCAGTGTAGCCAGGTATCCTCCCATTATACGCGCATTGGAGATATTCATAGTCCACTTTGCCACCAAAGGTAGTTGGGGCTCCTACCTCTTTCAGTGGTGGCATTGCACCACGACCCCACTTCTGTTCATTTTAGAGCAGGACCGTGTTACTTCAATCCATCTTCTTGTTGAACAGAGGCATTGCGTCTGGTACAACTGGTAATGCTTTTACTTACAGATAACACCCCTCCGATGGATGCCCGCCTCGCTCTGAACAAGATGGAATTGGGAACGTGAGCCATAAGCATTAGTAGCCGCTTGATACATTCGATGCTCATCTCTTTTGGTTTGCTCACTTTTCGCGACCTGCATCGCCGCGAGGCGCGAAGGAGACATCGACATCTTGTTGCTCTTTATTGATTTTGGATAAGTACAATCTAGGAGGATAGTACACAGCTACTTATCTAAAAACATTTACGGCAACCACAACAACTATCTTCAATGTCCATCCTTCCATCTTTGACTTTGTACGTGATGCTGATGACGTATCATACCAGAGCTACTACATCAACTTTCAAAAACGGTCGGCTTAGTTCGAATTTTTGCCGCTTTTGCATTCGGCTTTGAGTCTGTTCCGTCATGTGGCTCCTGTTCCCGAACAAATGTAAGATCATCAGAGCCACATAATCTCGTGACTCTTCCTCTACGACTAGGCAATTACATTTCCGCAAAAAATCTTAATCTATTTGAGGTACTTATCATGCTAATGTTATCGTGCCACGTCATATACTAGCTTCAAGAACCCTGTATTTTCGTTTCACTGCGCAAGTTGGTCCCAAGTCGTTGCAAATGTCCTCAAGGCATTGCCAGACCCGTGCTTCGTCTTCAGCAGACTGTGCGCGACACAATCCCGAAATGTCTCCAAAGGTTTTCTCCTCGCGCAACTCTGTCCGTAGTAGTTCGTAAAAACTCTTGCTTCCGCCATCGTTGCTTCCAGCAGAGAGTAGACTCTCCGCCGACACCTCCGCCATATGTGTCGTATCCGAAAAGGCCACTTTGCGGAAGCCTGCCTTTTTCACGAGCAATTCGGTGAGTAACGAGTCCTGCACAGCTGGATCGTTACTCTTGTTGTTGTGGGGAAAGTAGCTTCTGGGAAATGGCTTGTGATGTCGGACATTCAGGTCGAGGGGTGCTGCTGCTAAAAACCGCGTCAGCACGCAGTTATCCACCGGTGCACTAGGACACCACAATGCTAACACCAGGCTCTTGTTTGCGCTTGTGTTCTCCGGTCCAGAACTGCCAGATTCATCAAGTAATGCACGTGCATTTTTCAAAAACCTCACGAAGTCGTACTGTTCCCAATAGTGCGCGCCGAAAACGGAAACGACATGAGAAAACGACTTACAACTACTTGATCCTCGTGGTGCGTCTACTAGTATTCCCTTCAGTTGGTCGACAATTCTTGGCCTACATACATCGGCTTGCAAAAACGTTGCAGAAGAAGAACAAGAGCTTGAAGACGCCTGTTCAATAGCAGCTGGGTCAACGTCTATGCCGACGTACCTGCTAGGAGGTACTGCTTGCTTGTTTGATGTGAGATGGTCTAAAACGCCACCATGACCACAGGACGCATCGAATACAACTGCTGGTCTGCTTGGTGTCGCTCCACTTCCAGCATCATCCCCAGACTGGAATTTTCGCAATACCTCCGGATAGGTACTTCTGAGGAGAGCGCGGTGTAGAGCCGAATTCGTAGGGTAGATCCGCTGTTGACATGCATGTAACAGGTTACTGTTTACGAAGGATTGCATTTTTTAGTTACAGTGTAGATTTCTTACTGGGGGCTGTAATTTTTTCGAGTGGTCGATTTTGCTCTTTTCAGTCTTGCTTCACTTTTCGTCAAATACGAGGTTGTCTTCAATTATGCCATTTTTGGTCCTCGCAAACTTTTACCATTTTTATCTTTTTGGCCCTACGTGCAAGGACAGGTCCTGGTGAAGCGCATGTCTCCCTCTCGGAGACATCGTGGCTATCAACAATCATCCCCTACGGCACTTGGGGAGAGTCTCTTATGTTGCTCGGTACCGTTAACCTTACAGGTACAGTATCCACGAATGTGAGTTTTGCATACGCCGAGTGCCATGACACATGAGAACCATGTAGATAGAACAACAATGATTTCTCCAACAGACAACAGATGAAAATCCGTATGATGTTTCTGATATTTTCGATGATGGTCGTCAAATCAGCATAAAAAAGCCTCACGCCGCAACCGCAGATTCCGATGCGGAAGAGTTCTCCTCGTAGAAGCTGGTGAGTTTTTCCAGGTTCGCATACACACGCTCCAATTTCTGTATCATCTCCTGCTTCCGCTGGACGCCCTCATCTTCCTTCGACAAAACGCTTCGCCGCAAAGAGTGTATCCCCTTATCCACCTCAGCCAGCGTTTTCTCTACGTGCTTACTGTGTTCGCTCTGCCGTTTCACGATTGAGGCGGAGGTTAGAAGAAAGCAAAAGCGAACAGACAGATATTAATTCCCTTTCGTCAAATTTTCAGAGTGAGTTTTTATTTACGCAAAAGCCTATTACCTAAATCCTAATTCTTTCAATTGAGTGAAAAAAAAAAAGGCAGTTGTTTCATAATATCGGCTCCACATCGGGAAAATCCATTTCTACTTTGCCGCCACCCACAGACCCAGCTGTTTTCCCCGCTTGCTCCTGCAGGTCAACACTGTTCCTCTGGTCTACCTGCGAGACTACAGGACCTTGTTGTTGTTGTTGTGCTTGTGATTTCACCTCTTTGCTTGTGTTGATCAGTGATGTGAGACACGCTTCCGCAGGTAGGCCTCGACGCGTCAGTTCCGCAGAAAGTTCCTGTGTTGAGACGCCCGTTTGAATAGAACATGCTACAAACTGGTCCTCTTCCTGCGACCGCAGCGAGGCTTGCGCAAACTCCAACGCCATATGCAGAAAGCCGCTCATTCCGCTGGCGGTTGCCGATTAGACGAGCAAGACTTCTGGGGAATAATACAGATCTAAATCTATTTGAAATCTTACTAAGACCAAATAGATTTAAATCTATTTCTATCGATCTAGTATGTGCGCATGTACGTACGTTCATAAAGAAAGATATCCCCCGCACTGAGGCTATGTCGTTCATCTCCGCCTTGGACAACGCCATTTTGGTCTATTGCGACAGGGAAGCCTACATCGCAACACACGTTTCCATTCAGGACTTCAGTACCATCATTGCCAGGTGTCGGAATCACGTCGAACGGCGCTGCGGGAAGTGTGGTTCGTGATGAGAGGACCGTACTAGTTCTTATAGTTTTACTGGAGACAAGCGTAAAAAGCAATGAATCTCCGACTCAAAAAATATCTTCAAATCGACCATGTTAGCAAAACCACCTCCAACCAGCATCTCCAGAGAAGTCGTAGTCGAAAAATACCAACTCTCCTCACTGTGAGCACAGCGCCACCGTCCATTGCGCGTAGGGCTGCGTTCAATCGTAGTGACAGGTCTTGACTGTCCATCTTCCCGCGAAAATTGATGGCTTCGATGTAGTCGCCTACCTTGAGCAGCCGGCTCAAAAAACATCGCTCTTGGTCAATGGCGCGGACGTAGAGAGCGGGTCTTCCTGCCTCCGATGCAACGCATTTCTGGACCGTGAGACCCCAGTTGTTGCTGTGGTATGAAGAGGATGTGTGAGACCCCAGTTGTTACAGTAAGAATGATGGATGCGTCTGTAGCTGCAAGTGAGTAGGATAAGAAATGCAATAGGATAGGAAGATAGGAGTTGATCCGCCGTCCGCAGTTTTACCTGCATTCTCGGGCGAATGTACGTAGCCTCGGAGGGACTACGTTCTATGATGTTGAATTCATAAATCATATGACAGGAATAATGCATCAGACAGCTAAACCTAAACGACAATCGGGTACGGTATTAACTTTGACATAACTTTCCCGGTACTCGTTTAGCCGCCTGATGAGGAGGAACCGTTATATTTATTTCCTGGTCTTTTTCTCGTGGTAACCGGGAAACGAGTGACAACCGCGGAACGGATTTTCGTAGTTCGGCTGCCTGAAGTTTTGTGAAAGTAATATATAAGTCGTTCATGTTCGTGGGTGCTTGTGTCAAGAAAACTTCATCGCGCGGGGGCGGGAGGTCTACAAATCTCCGTACCAAGTTATGCATAAGCATTAAGATTAATCTACTAAGTGTAGTAAGTACCTTCTGCTGATCCCATATGGTCCGAACAATGCTGATTTTCAGGGTTTTTGCGCCTTTCCGTGACATCACTTTAGCTAGATCCGCAGGGGCGCAAAAACTGTCCAGCGCTAGAATCATATCCCCACTTTCCAATCGGAAGCTACCTTTCTTCCCCTCCGCATCACATGCTATCGAAGGCTGGAGAGCTGCTGGCGTGTTTGGATGTACTTTGGTTATGACCCATTCCATATGATCTCCGCGCTCAACTTCGAATCCCCAACCTCCGGGTTTGGTGGCGGATGTGGATGGTATGAAAGAGGACCCTTGGGGAATTAAAAGAGTATCTATCATGATATTTGAGAGCATTTGCGTACTTATTCACTTATTCACGTAAATTCACAACAAAGGTTCCTTGAGACCACCATGACTTTATCAGATAAACTGTCATCTCCAAATTCCTTTTCAAGAACAAAATCTCTGGACAGCATTTCTGCATAAAGCTCCGATCCTGCTTCAAGACGACTTCGAAGAACAACGTTCCGCGGACACAGGCTTCAACGCGTTCTTTGAGGGTAGCTGGATCAATCTCATCGCCACTGGACGTTGTAGTTATCGGTCCTCCAGAACCAGCTACAGTGGGAGAAGGTGCAGCTGCCGAGGAAGCGGTTTCTTTTAGAAGTATAATTGGTACTTCTAGAAGTACAAGGGGAGAAGAACATTCATAGTTTCAATTGATGAGGGAAGAACTATTACAAATGAATAGAACTACAAGGGAAGAACATTACTTCACAATTTCAATTGATGAAAGACCTGATCCGCTGTAACGCACAGAATTCGGGGAGCTTCTGATCATATCAAGAACAATGCTCCTCTGAGGAAAAAGAGTATCGAAATAAAGCATTCTCCTCCACGTCCACAGCATACATATCCATGACTGATCCTCGATGGATTGATTGACTCATCCTCGATTGATTGATTGACTGATTGATGTGTCCAACAAACAGTGGAGCATAAAGCTTGTCCTTTCCCCTGTGAGCCTCCTCCCGACGCTCCATCTGACGTCTCGACGCTTCCTATCGTCTTACTCAAAACAGCAAACAAAACGCAAGCGGCAGAAACGAAGCCTGCCGTTCCTAGTAAATCTTCGTCGACGGCTCGGCTTTAGACGAAGTGGCCTATACTAATTGAGTAGATAGTCATGTCATGTGTGGGTCCCTGAAGATGGCCCTGTCCGTAGCAGTACCCGTAGAGACTAGTTCTGATAGAGATCAAGGCCAGACGAGGCCAGGACGCTAGCAGTACAAAATAGATAAAAGCATCAGCAACCACTACCACCTCGCCCGCCTATTCGTTCGTTCATTCATTGCTCCACCGAGGCTAGCATTTTTGTAGGCTCTCAGATTAATATTACAAAACAATTTAGAGTTGAAAGAGACCTCTTTTTCGCGCCGAGGTGGCAAAGCTAAGTTAGCTAACTAACTATTTTAGCAGCCCTTCCTTCATAATCCTTGCTCACGAATCCTCGCTTCTTTAACACCTTGACAAACCCCATTTTTCCAACGCCAAATGCGAAAATTCCGCTCACCAGAGCGATATTGAGCAGCAACCGTTGCCAACACGATACTGCCACAGCCATCTTGAAGACTTTTTGTATGTTGGTAGTTTCTTCGAAGTTGTTGTTGTAGCGGTCGCAAATTATGTAGATGTACGTCCAGACGCGCCTAGTACAGCTTTGCGTTTTACTACAAGTACTGAAAGTGGAGCGGTTTCCCCTATTTCTAAGTGAGAGAGTGAGTAGCGGAATTATAACTGTGGTAGTCCTCCTTTTCATTTTCCGTGATTCACCTTTGCCTAGCTTTTCTCATCAGCGCTTTTCCATAGTCTCTCCGTCTTTTTCATCTCGATACTCCGTCTCCATACTAAGTCCGCTCATCTTCTCGCGCCTTTTGTACCCATTTTCTCACGTTTTCGCGCACTGATCATGATTTCCTTGCAACGAAGCCGATCATCGTCGTAATCTGTCACTTGATTCTGAAATCAAAACCTTTCACTCTTGGAGATGTCGAAAAGAGATCAGACTAGAAACCGAAAGCCTTTTACGTGCAATGCTAAGACATTTCCATGTCCGTGGGGTGACTAGAAACTAGAACTACATCGTGATCGAAACTGAAATGGTTAAGCGATAGAAACTAGATGATAAAAACTTGGTGGATAAAAGATAAGTAAATACTCTTCAAGCGAAACATGATCGCGCTCTCTAGAAAAGCAGAGCAAAAACTACAATTTCTGTACAAAGAAATTACAAAAACCTCTTCAGCAGGACCAGGTCCTCTACTCAAAAAGCCGCCGCCGCTTCCAGAGTCCCTCGAAGCTTAGCGAATTTCTCTGAAAAGACCGCGTCTGGAACGAGGAGGCGGACGCCGCGTTCTCGAAATACGTAGTCTTGAAATCTGGCTAAAAGAGCTGCTTCCCTCTCTCTCCAGAACTGCTCTAACGTGACGCGAACCACGCTATCTTCGTTTACGACGCGTCTGATAGCTGGCTTTTGTCGCAGTTGGTCGACGAAGGCGTGGTGACCTGATAAGTAATTAAGCGTTTTTATAAATTTATGAAATCATCCATTACTATTTCTAGCTGCTACATATATTTCTGTTTAATAGGGAAGAGGGAGCAAGATGAAAGGAAGAAGTTAGAAACACGACATGCACATAGTTTTCGCTACGCTACAATAATACCATCCGATTGTGGAAATGGGTCACTCCACCTCAACCGGTGAGCACGGCCCCAAGCACGACGACGTGCTATCGTAAAAGCCTCGTCAAGCGGAACTAATTCATCGGCTGGACTTAGAAAACTCCAGCACTGCTCATCTCTGTGTCAGTGTCGTACATCTTCCTTGAGAAATCCTCTGCCCCTTACTTAGGACGAAGGAGCCTAGTAGATGAAACGGGAAGAATCTTCCTCACAATGGATTAATACAACAAGATTCTCATCCGTAACACCACAGCGCCCAACAAAGCCTGCTGTGATAGTATATGTCCAGCCTTAACAACACAGCATCCAACAAAGCCTGCTGCTCCATCCTTTCCGCGTAGAAGTCTTCTGCTGTCGTCGTCACCCTACTTGGTATTACTACAGGAGGTTTGATGCCTCTAGCTCTATTTCTATTACCGTTTTTAGGTGGAAGTGCTCCTGCAGATCGTTCTGCAACAGGTCGCCCTCTGGGATTGGGTGGTCGTCTTTGTGCTGGTTGCTGGCGGAGGAAGGGGGGCGGGTGTTGTTGATTAGAGATAGCACGGACAGCACAACATTTTTCGAGTCAAGTCCTTGTTTGCCTTGGCCTTAACTACTTTCTACTTTTATGTTACAACTCTTCTAGCCTTAATCTGTGGACTCCCCGACCGACTGGATCCGCTAGCAGCTGCTTCCAGAATCTCCGCTCTCCGCTCTTCTCTATGCCGCATCGCTGCTTCTGCTAACATCGCTGACCGCTGCGCCATGGCCCCAGGACCCGCACGTGGAAGAAATCTCGGTTTCTCTATTCTTTTCGGCGGTGAAATCGAAGAACTAGAATTCAGCAATTCTGCCATTGCTAGCCCTTGGGGATCTAGTGTGAAGCCTCCGATGCGTGCTGGAGATGGAGATTTGGACTTCTTGCTCCTATGGCTTGATGGACTTTGGTCACGTGAAGATCTTGACGTAGTTCCTCCACCCACTAGACCGAATCCACTTTTTCGAACCTTTATCGAGGAATTGGCCCCATCTTCAGAAAGCATGTTGTCGTCTTCGCTGCCGTCCTCGCCTTGTTGAGGATACTGGACAAAACCCTCATCTTGTTCAGCAAAAAATTCTGCTTCACTGAGCAATTCCACTTCTTCTCGTGGTTCTTCTTGATCGCTACTTCTAGATGCAGATACCAAGCCTACCGCATTCGCCTCTGCTAGGCCTGCTTCGACTCGGCCAAGCAACTGCTCCGTCACCCCCGCTTGTTCCGCCGCTGCTGCAAGACGTCGAAGCGTCCCTTGCCATGGACCTTCCTTGCCAGGCTCCATCTGCACTTTTAAGATACCTCTCGCAGCTGCCTCTACACGACGCACAAGTTCGGCACCAGCGTCTTGGAGGGTCGCGGAAGTGTATTGGGCCCCACCCTCGACGCCGTCTTGCCATTGATATGCGTCGTCCGAACTATCTTGTCCTTCCACGTCACTTGGTAGAAACTGCAAGACGTCGGCTAGACGTCTCAAAATTCTGTCCCGTCGAGCACAAAGTTTGCGAGCGTCTGCTTTGAGTGTCTCCACGTCTCCTGGCTCTAAGATAGGATTAGAGGGGCTCTTCGATGTTGCACAATGAAATAAATGTAGTTAAATGAAACTAATTACATGAAGAAGATGATGCATTTCAAATCGGGTGAATTTTCATCCATAACACTGTAATAACTCGCGCCTCCTCCTTCTTCTCTGTCATTCTTCCTATCCTTTTTTGAAGATGACCGTTCGTCGAGGCTGCTTCGAGATTTCTTGCGCTTGTCACCACTACTTCCCTCCATCACTTGCAGATGGTCAACTTCACCCTCGTGTCTTCGTCTTGGGTGCGCGCCAGTAGAGGGACTGCGGTCTTTGCCACCTTCTGCAGACTTCGACTTACGAGAAGAACTTTTCCTTGACGAAGACCCGCCACCGCCTTGCTCACCAGTGATTTGTCTCAATTTTTCGTCCATCTCCTTGAGCTTGCGCATGATCCTTTTCTCCTCTGCAGTTCCACCACCTGTACTCTCCGACTCATCTTTGCGTGACGATTTCCGTCTTTCCTTGTCCTTTGTGGGAGATTTTTGTTTCTCTCCACTTTCTGAAAAACTCTTTTTACTCTTTCTCTCTGCTTTACTGCTAGAAGAAGGTGACTTTTCGTGGTTGCCCACTCCACTCTTCTTGGAAGTAGTCGAAATAGAGGAGCTATTAGCACCTTCCTCTTCCTCTTCCGCAAAACCTGAAGAGATCAAAAGAGACTGTAAACTTGCTACATCTGCAAGCGGTAGAGTTTCATTCTTTTTCCTCGCATCTTTGAGCAAGTGTGCCCATTTATCTGGAAACGAGCGCATGACGTATCTCGAGGCTGCTCCTACTGCGAAGGTTCCACCAGAACGTCGGAAAAGTAGGTGTAGTAGTCTTTTCGTACCAGATGGTTGATCTGCCGCACTTCCGACTAGTCCAACAAGAAACTCCTCAGCATTTCCAAAAACGTCCTTTCCTGCTTGTCTTCTGGTTTTCACAAAGTTCGAGTGGTGCACAAGAGTTTGATTCACAGCCACTAGTTCATCCCCCGCTTGCGGTTCTGGCGCATTTGGTGCCGGCACCGCAGTCGTGCCATCGGCGTTGACTGTGGAGACTGTCCTCCGCACTACCATTCTCCCATCAGGACCTCCATCGGTGCCGGTGATGGAAAACATCGTCAACTTCAGATCCTTGCAATTGTCGCCTTCGAAAAGAACCCTTTTCGGGAAGTATTCGCTTTCCTTTGCCCCACGCAAAAACGCGAACGATGCGACTGTGTCTTTGACGAGGAAAGAGGGGTGCTGGGAACAATTGAGTAAGTATAAGTAAGTGGATATATTTATATCCTTCTAGAAAGACTAAGTAAAGGCACTAAACAAACTACTAACACTAAGAACTTTATTCTAATCGATTTAGTTGCAGGGACTTTGATGTTTAGGGAATTTCATCTCCACCTAGTTCGTAGTTCGAGTACATGGTAGTCATAACATCAACTCTTGCGCGCCTGCTTTCCAAGATCTGAATTTTTCGTATTATCGCAGCTTCCGGACTCTCCCCTGCCCACGTGGGGATCAAAGACACACGACCATAGCAGCACATGAGCAAAATATCCCCTACCTTCAGTCCCATCCTTGAGGCCTTCGATGTCTTACTTCCTGGTGGAGGTTTTGCGGCGAGGGATTTGGTTCTTCGAGGTTGGTTTTTTGTGATGAATGAATGAACTCGCATGAAAACTCCGCGGTAAGATCTATATGTTCGTTGAGTGTAAATTTCTCCTTACATGAAAGTCAAACACCACTAAAACAAACTACATACAAATTTCTCCCGTAACTTCTTCCCTCTTCCGATAACTAGCGAATTGCTCAAAACAGCATCGTAGCCATGCTCTTGGTAGATTTTTGACACCCGTACGATAGGAAAATCGCTCCACGCTAGGTCAAACCCAAACAAAGCCCGCATCTTGTCTTCTGCCGACAGCGTTTCACTGTCTAGGATTTCTTCGTCCACTTTCGGTTGCTCCCAAGCCACCACGCCCATCGCCTCTAAGTCCTCCGCGTCGGCCAGAAGTGGAAGTTGATATGGCGTGTAGATCGGTGCTGGAGAGTTGACTGGGACTGGGTTGGGGGGTCTCGATGAAGCAGTTTTTTCAGGTGAAGCTGTTGGCACTGGTTGCGAGCCCGTCGGAGAGGCGCTTGGCAAGCTTTTCGGAGATGAAGGTAAAGGCGAAGGAGCTCCTGTGACCGCGACAACTGGAGAAGGTTTGCTGCTCGTCGCTCCTACAAACGATGTTTTGGCAGAAGTCCCCGCACCAGGGTCAGAACCTCTCCGTGGGGTGGGTTGTTTCGTTGTAACGGCGTTTTTCGGAAGGGCCAGTGTTGGAGGCGCTGCCTTTCCCGACAGAGCTGCTGCTGCTTTCGCAACATCTTTCACTGCAACAACGGCTTTGCTAGGTACAGCTGTAACTGGCTTCGCCTTGTTGTCCGCCGATTTTGCTGGAATTGTTGCAGTACTCGGTGACTTTACAACAGCTGTATTAGTGCCAGGCTTCACTGCAGGAGCTTTTGATGAAGCGTCGCATTTCGACACTACGGGAGGGGCCACCATTGCTCCAGGTTTTGCGGTAGCACTCGGCTTTGATGCAGTAGATGCAGATGTTGCTTTGTGATGTGGATGCGTCACTACTCTTTCCTCGACGTGGGGAATGTGCGCCATCCGATCGAAACCCCATGTTAACTGAACATGAGGCTTGTCTTCCTGCTCAGACGAGGATAAGGAGGAGGAACTGCTCGAGAAAATGTCGCTTTTTTCCTTGTTAGAGAAAGTGATTACCAGCAAATGAACAACAAGAGCATACTTCAATGGACGAGAAGCGACAACTGAACCAGAGATGATGAGAAATGATCAAAAAAACAGCTCATCGACTATCGCCACCATAAGTTCTTCTATCCCTCCATCCGACGCTGCACTACTGCTTTCTGCATCCTTAGCGATTTGGTGTTCTAGTGGCGTCGTTCCGGGGAAAGGCCTAGGCTTGTCCGGAGGTGGTTTCACCTTGATCGTGGGGGCTTCCATATCGACTTCTGAGGACTCGACTGCACTCGACTCAACTGCGCTACTCTCAGCATCCTTGGCGATGCTGGCTGCCAGCCTATTGGTGGTGGTGCCTGGGAAAGGAAGAGGCTTGTCTTTGGGTGGATCAGATTAGAGAATCAAGTAGCAGATTTTCTGCTGAGATGGAAAAGCTCCAAGTCATTTCTCGGTATGAAAATGCTTTGAAGCGGAGAGAGCAGACAGTGCAATGCAAGAGGACGAGCAATTACAAACACAAAACCATGAGTAATCTAACTAATGTGTTTGAAGAAAAACTGTAAGGCCTTAAGAAACTCGAATCAACGGCGACCCTTTTTTCTTCACCGGGTTACTCTTTGCTACAGTAGAAGATGCAGTTGGTGCTGCATTCTTCGCAGTGGGAGAAGAGGCAGTCGGCACAGTTGCCTTCACCACATTGGTTTTTGTAACAGGAGATGAAGTCGCTGTTCGTGGAGTTGCAGTTGGTGCAGCTGCGGTTATCGCCCTCTTTGCCACGGCAACTCCCACAGTAGTTGCAGGTTTGATTACTGCCACTTTTGCTTTCGGTGCTGTTGCACTGCTGGAAGGTCCTGCATTAGGTCGTGGCGTCCCTGCCCGTGCTTCTCCAGGAGACGACGATGACACTTTCGGCGCCAATTGCGAAAGCATGTCGTATGTGCTGCCAGTACTGGTTCCGCCACCAGTGGTCCCACCTGCACCTTGAGGTTGAGAATCCTTTTCATCGTAAAACATCAATGTAGATCTAGAGGCTTCCCCTTCTCGGCCCTTTCGTTCTCGAGCCCGTCTCGCACGATTCAACGCAAGAAGGGCTAAGACGTCATCATGGCCGTCCTCGTCAATGGCACTGCGAGTTTGGTCCTGAGGCTCGGGTCCTGGGCTGTCCTCGGACTCCTCATCCATAGTCTTGCTCACTGATCTGAGCGAGGAAGCGAAATAAAGACCTGACATTCTATACTGTTTTTGGATTCCTCAGGCCTTCTTCTGGATTAATGTTGAGGACCTAGAGGTATCATACTTCTATAACTATTTTTCTATTTAGAATGAGACGAAACGTCTAGACAGCATTTTTCGCTGTCCCAGTCTTGTGGCTTTTGGTCTCTTCAGCAGTTGCAGTCATTTTTGCAGCTTAGAAGTCTGGTTTACCACTTTAGGACACTTCCCTCATCTCCCTGTTTCTTTCCAGACACGGCTTTTGGAAAAACCGGATTTAACAAGCTTGTCGCTTGTTGCCTTAGATTGCTTGTTAGTCCACATTTATTCATTGAGACTGCGTCTTTTTATCTGTCCGTGTCCGGACACTCATGCTACAGGAAATCCAATCCAATAGGTGTTTTTTGCAAAAAACCAGAGATGAATCTCGTCCTTGTTAGAATGTTCCAACGCAAAATGCAGGGACGAGGACAACAGGTAGCTCAACCTGGTGGTTGTGCTTGTACTACTCATTTCTCAGCACAGGTGTATCGCTATTTTCTTATAAAAACGACTGGTAAAACCAACAAGAACCAAACGAACTACTTATAAGCCATCATACTTCTTTGTATGTAGTGATAACATTACGACCTCGAATTGATATCTATTTGCTAAGCATTTTTTTACTGTTCATGTGAAAAATGTGTGTTCACCTAACTCCTAGGAAGATAGGAATCCTATGTTCATTCTTGAAAATAAATCTACTGCATCACAATTCTAATATACATTTTGCCTCCAATACCAGCATCTACTTCGCTTTTCTCACCGGAGTTCCCATGATATCTGCGTCGTCGATAGTATTGGACTAGTGTTTTCTTCACTTTAGCAAACGTCCAAGACAAGATGATGATCTTGGAATATCGTATTTGATGCGGATCATAAGAAGATAGATTGCATCAAACAAAAACTCAAAATGTCGTTCAACAAGTATGTTACGCAAGTAAGAAATGTATGTCGTTGTAGTGCTTATGCTTACCTATTTTCAACTATAAAAATAGTCTATCAGAATCATCCTAGCACAAAAGCAACCGTGAGTTTTTTCAGAATATCTAGTACTCCACATGGTTTTGTTGTATTCAAATTTCAACCAAAGACCTTGCTTTTTCACAGGTCATCATGCTTTCGCCGCGATTTTCGCCTTCACTTCGTCTACGAAGCCTGTGTCAGCTTTCACGAGTCCCGCAACTTTATCATCGTTCGCTGATAGCAGCTTCTTTGATAGAGAGCGCGTCACGTCATGCTGGGAAAGCACTTGAGCGCAGAAACGAGCAGCGTTGCCGACGGAGTTTGTGTTAGAGGCACGAAATTTTTTCGTGCGGAAGGGCTTGTATATTCATTACGTGTCTCTTGATAAAAATGGGAGTCACTCTGCATCTCACAACTCGAGGATGTTGAGCAAGTATCAAAATCTTCAACTTCAAGTACTTAATACAGCGTCCACCATAAAAATCAATGCGTTGCTGCTACCCGGTGGGTTAGTGAGGCAAGTGTGGTTCACATGGCCGTCTGGAGGACAGGAGACAACCGGGAACTTGCTATGAAAACTGGCTGTACCCGAAAGCGCATCAGTGCCGCCAGCACAACCGACTATGATACACATCTGCTCGGATTGGTTGTACCTGGGTTGCGTTAGTATCAGAGAGAGTCAATATAGAGGTGATCGATGTATCAGTTTAACATAGGAGGTCAGGAGTAAGTAATTTTTCCTAGATATTCGCTGAAAAAGAAGGGGAGCAAGAAACAAAGTATCTATTCTTATCAATTGTTGTGTCTCTAGAAAGACCTGTTCAAAACATCCTCCAATTTGCCTGGTTGCTTGTGCGCACTGCAGATCCTCGTATGCACAGCTGAAAGCCCGACTCTGTAGCAGCTCTCTTCGATTTTCTTCAGATGTGGCGCATCTGAGCCACTGCCTGCGAAGATCAAAACGACACCTGGACCCAGTAGCTTCGCACGTTGCAGATTCCTCACCACACGCTTTTCCGGGTTCTCTGCCGGCAGAAACGTTTCCCAGGGAAACGCATGTCCCGTGATTTGCTCAAAGACGGAGATGTATCTGTGGAGGCCGTGGTGGGTGATGTGGTGCTAGGTTTGACATATGGATGTATGTGAAATGTTGTTGTTCCAAAACCCATGATCTTTTCTTGTCGAGCATGTGTACTAGTAGGTTTCATATATGGAGGAAAAGTTTGATGATGATGTTAACACGACAGGATTGCGTCCTTTCACGACACAGCATGATTATACCTATAGCTGCATTCCACCACCTGCATTGGCGTGAGCTTGATCTTCTCTTTCTCATTTCCGGTAAACCCCATTTCCAGTAGGCAATCACGCACGTATTGCTTCGAGTACTCCTTGATTTTGTACTTGGTAAAGTTAGACGAGCGCAAAGCAATTCAACACTTCTGCCCTTCTGCCCTTCAGTTCTTCCCTTCAGAGTCCTGAGATAGAAGGAAACAGGAGGTGACAGTAAAACCGTTGGACATGAATTGGCATTGCACCGAGCCTTAACAAAAGGGTCACCAGCTTCACCACTAGTCACTGCCTTTTGGATTTCTTGCCATTTCCTGCCGTATTCCTCGATACCGCACATGCGACTGGAATCGGGTGTATTGACTTCGTCGATGACATGCAACACGCCACTCTCGTCAAGCCCGAACTCGTACTTGGTATCAATGAGGATGAGGCCTTTTTCCGCCATTTTCTCAGAGCCACGCTGGAAAAGCTTGAAGAGAGATTAGAAGACGTGCTGAAAATTTTTGTCCCTGCATGCTGTTGATATGGAGGGAACCAAAGATTCATGTTGTTCAACCCAACAGTTGTTCTGAAGCAAATACTTACTATGAAGATGATCACCGTAAGAAATATCCCTGACTTTCTCAGCCATTTCCTTGCCAATAAGCTCCTCCACCTCTGCGAATGTCATGTTTTCGTCATGGCCAACTTCTGCCTTCGTAGTCGGAGTAAAAATCGGTTCTGCCAGTTTCTGGTACCGCAATAAACCATCGGGTATTTTCAATCCGCAGAAAAGCCGGTCACCCTTTTCGTACGCCTTCGCCATGCTGCCCTAGAATTAGAAAGTGACCACGGTGGTGCGAATTCATGATCTAGTGAGTGGTGCCATGAGTAGACAAAGTATTAGCATCACTAGTGGCCGTAATGGGAAGACGTAATGGTAATCCACCCTTTCTTATATTATAAAACGCGATGCCTTAACACAAATATCCCCGCACAATGCATTCGATATTAAGATTTTTCATCTTCTTCTGGACCACCACGGAGGGATCAGGAGACGTAACCAATGCGTTCGGCACGATATCCTTCGTCTGCTCAAATGCCCACTCACTGATAGCGTTGAGGACGAAACCCTTGAACGGGATCAAGTTCGGCAAAACAACGTCGAAGGCACTGACACGGTCGTTTGTCACCATGATAACGTTGTCATCTCGAAAGTAGATGTCGCGGACTTTGCCTTTCTTTGCCTCGCCCCATTCTGGCAGGAAGACAGCGTCCGTCTCGACTTTGTTGAGAAATTGATGAGCAATCTTCTTCTTGTACTCGCATGCTTTAGCTTCTTCTGGCGTTCGTGGGGCAGGACCGAAATCCATAGGGCATGATCCAGACTTTCTGGCTGCGGGTTCGCATTCCGAAGCGGTGGTAGAACCTTCGCCTCCTGCGCCCGACTCGACTGCACTGGCGGGGAAGGCGATTGGTTTGGTGTCCTTCTACTTATTAGAACTATGTATTATTAACAATTATCCATTAGACAACTTACGGAGCACCTTCTTGCCTTCGTTTTCCCTTTGAGAAGCCATAATCTTAGGACATGTTTGAAGATGACCTTCTGGAAGCCTTAATCTTAGTGTCGTCAGCTCCTGGTGCTGGAGCAGGTCCTCCTGAACCGCCAGCTGCTGCGGCGTCAGCGTAAAACACGGGACACAACTTCGAGTCCGCAGATTCTAGACTGGCGACTTTTTTCTTGTTCTCAGCATCCAAGTAAGAAGCAATTGCCGGCTGCTTTCCCGCTAATAACTGAGTGCAGAAGCGTGCACAATTTCCGACTTTTCCGACAGAGATTAGAGGGTCGTGAGGATCCTACTTAAGATTAGATACAGGGTCGTGAGGATCCTACTTATAGTTTGTTGCACGGGATAAGTCTAATATTGTCGAGGCATACTAATGAATACTTTTCAGCTTCGGATCCTACTTATATTGTTGCACGGGATAAGTCTACGATTGTGATCAAGGTGAAAACTAACCGGTTGTTTTACTTAGTGCTTGGAGCGCCTACTTATAGTATACTTGTTGAATGATTTAATTGTTATAGTTGTGATTCATTTTCATGAATGAATGTTGCTACAAACTGAAACAATAAAGGCTGGCCTTAAAAAAGCATTCGAGCTTCCTGGTGGGTTTATAGTGCATGTTTTATTCTCGAGACCATCCGGCGGACAGGAAACCACTGGATGCGTCGACAAAAAAGATGCCGTTCCCGACAAGGCGTCGGTGCCTCCTGCACAAGCGATGATCACAATCGGCTGGTCGGAAGTATTGTAGTACTTGAGGACACCTTGAAGACGCTTCGGTTGCTTATGCGCAGAACAAATGCGGACCTTTTTCATTTTGTGGTTCCAAGATTGAGACCTATTGTGCCAACATGAAGAAAGTGGAGATCAATTGTACCTACACCGGCTTCCTTCGAGATGATTCCTTCGTTCCTCGCTGAAGTGAAACCACTCCTCACAGTCATAAGTTCGCGCCGGTCTTGGCGAATTGAAGTGAAAGGAGTATTCCTCAGAGTTGTCTAAGTTTTTATATATAAGTATACCTGCGTCCCAATCTTTGCTGTGCACCCAGCTATTCTCGCGAGTCCAGCATTCGTCTTCGAAAATTGCTCTTTCAATTTCTCGATATGAGGCGCGTCCGAATCGGAACCAGCAAAGATGCAGACAAGACCACTGCTAATCATAGATGCAGCCTCTAGATTGCGCAACAAGCGCAATTTCGGATCCCCAGATGTAGTGGGGAGTTGGAAAGGCTCCCCTGTAATCTTCTCGCAGACCTAGATGCACAGAGCGAGGAGAGGAGGAGAGGATATGATGAAGATCGCCCGGAACACCTTACCTCATGCGTAGATGAAAAGGAGCATAAGCTCAAAAAGCGAGACGTCGGATGTTGCACTTCATTATAGCATAAAAACGCCGCAAAGAAGTACTTATACTTAGATGTAGTCGTTGTACCTCCACATACCTCGCACTGCATTCCAAAACCTGCTCCGGAGACAGAGTGATGGCTTCCTTAGCCGTCGACGGATCAAAGCCCATCTCCAAGAGTGTGTCCCGTACATATTGCTTGCTGTATTCCTTGATTTTCAGCTTCGGGTCGCTCTTGAGACAGTCGTTGACGGAGGATAAGGGGCTTTCTGCGACGGCGGCTTTGTGCTTAGAGGTTTGTTGCGGGCTATGCAAGTTTAGCGATACTTCTGGTTCAAACTTCCTACGTCTAAATCCGTATGAGTTTTTCAGAGTTCTAATTCAAAATCACGCAAACTGCAGAGACACAAGTACGTATAACATATTCCTAGCCATAATGATCAGTGGCCACTTCTTTTCGTATTCCTCTATGCTGCACATTCGACTCGAATCTGGTGTGTTTACTTCGTCAATGACGTGCAAATTAGATCTGCCTGGAATCCATCTTAAGAGTCATCATCTTGGGTCTCTTTTTCGCTTAGAAAGTGTTCGAAGATGCTTCTGAAGATGGATTTCCGGGGGCCATAAGCAAAACACCGTTTGCGTCAAGCCCAAATTCATATTTGGTGTCTAAAAGCAGCAAACCTCGCTTCGCCATCAATTCTTGGCCTCGAGCGAAGAGTTTGAAGGAAATATCGCGCACTTTGGCTGCCATCTCCTTGCCGATCAGCTGCTCGACCTTGGGATTAGAAAGAATATGTCGAAGGACAAGAACAAGTCTAGCTTCTAGTAAGTCTGCTTGAAACCTACCTGTACGAGTACTATGAAAGCCAAGGCCAACTTGAACTTTTTATAATAGAAGCAGAGTATTTTTGAACACTCACTCCATGGGTTGATATAATTTGGTTTTTACCATTGAAAGCCAGCACTATAAACTCACAATCACTCGAGTCTTAACAGCAAAAGTCATGTTTTCGTCATGTCCAACTTCGACTTTCGTAGTCGGCGTAAAGATCGGTTCCGCGAGCTTTTGATACCGTAACAAACCATCAGGAACATTGAGTCCGCAGAAGACTCGATCCCCTTCTTCATACGCCTTGGCCATACTGCCCCAAAGATAGCCACGAACAATGCACTCAACGTTGAGGTTCTTCATTTTCTTCTGCACCACCACAGACGGATCTGGGGAGCTCACAAGCGCGTTCGGGACAATGTCCGCAGTCTCTTCAAAGGCCCATTCTGAGATGCGGTTTAATACCTGGGAGGGGGCAGACCATGTGAAGGTGGAACGATACGCGAATGGTTATACCACAGATTTTGATGATCGTTGTACCTCCTGAGTGATTAACAAATAACCGAATGCTGAATCCCACAACGAACCATGAGAATGATTGAATTACCTGTCCCTTAAACGGAATCAAGTTCGGCAAAACGAAGTCGAATGCACTCACGCGATCGTTCGTAACCATGACAACGTTGCCGTCACGAAAATAGATGTCGCGGACCTTGCCTTTTTTCGGATAGCCCCACTCCGGAAGGACTAGGTCATCCAGACCGTAGTCCAGAAACTTGTCCTTGATCGCTGCCTTCATGGTGGCCTTTTTGGTGCTTTGAGCAGCTGCTAGTAATCTGTGTAACTATATTCTGAGTACTTAACTGTATTTCTTGAAAGAATTGGCATTTTATTTGGTATTGGTTGGACAGTTTTATATTGGTAATATTAAGCCTTTTTCAGCCTCCAGCTTGTTGCGTAGTTGTACTAGACTTCCCTTTTTACTACGAGCGGTCCTATGGTCTCTGACCCTATCCCGCTTTTGCAGGCCTTTTACATTGTGAGTCTTGAATGATTCACTTTTGCGAGATTTCGATGGACGTTTCTTTTGCAGCTGGTTTGAAATAAGAAGAACAAGGCTACACACATCAGAGCAAGTATACATACCCCCGTCCGGCAACTATAGCGTATTTTCAAATGGTGTTTTCAGTGGCATTTTCAACAAATGACAATTTGCGCTACTGTGTCAGACCAAAAATATTGCGTTACATTTGTGTCGCGGTGTATGCTCCTGCTCGTCCCGAGTTGACGCCATTTCATGAGATGTAGCCTTGTTCATGCGTAGAAGAAGGTTTCAAAGCTCATTTTGCGTGTTCATTGAAGAAAAAAAGTTCCCCTTCATCCCTATGCAGTAGTCGTTATATTTCGTCTCCCCATGATCCTCTTCATTAGATACTATAACATACACTCAAATCCCCCCTCCTCAATGTACCCCTCCAGCTTCTCCCAGTGCACTCTGCATTTTCACTGGTACGTGCTTCGAGAACCATAGCGTATGTTCTGCGCGTAGAGTGCCAACAACCGTGTTAAGAAGCCTCCTCTGCGCTTCGGTCAGGAACATACGACCCTGGATTGCACGCTCTAAGCAAGAAACCAAAATCCCATCCTCCAAGTAGTCTGCAGAAGCACAAAAGAACGCCAGTTTTAAGGTGTCCTCCATTTTCATGGAGTCGAAGTTGTGAGTGACGAGGTTTTTCCTAGTGTTGTTCTTTGACGAAAGAAAACTCGCTGAAACAGGACCTTGTCTACTTCGTCTTCCACTGCTCGATGATAGGAAGTGTAAGCGATTCTGATGTAGCCAGTGTTTCAGTAAGGCCATGGTTGCAGAGTCTGCGGATGCGCGTTGGACCAAGGCAACTAGAACTGAGAGCAACGCGCTTCGTGTGCGATCGTTAAAACGGCCTGTGGAGGACGTAGTTATCTCTTCAGCAATTCTGCGATGAAATCGTTGCCGCAGCTGTTTCACTTTCTCCTTGGACTTCGTATCGTCTGAGTTCACCTTGGTCTGACCTACGACACTAGCGGCCATATGCTGATCACTCACTTGAAGAACAACGCGGCGTAACAGGTCTAAACGTCTGCCGCTTTCTTCTTCATCTATTGCGTTTGCGATCGGTGCCAGACTAGAACCTTGTTGTTGAGAGTCGTGGTGAGTTCCAAGTCGCGCCACTGCTTCAATAAACCGAACATCAGACGGTCGCTCCACGATGACAGAGAGAAGGGCATAGAAGGTGGTGTTCAAGTCGTTCTTACTTGTATTGTTCAGCACGATATTGAGCAACCTGTCAACCAGGGCACTAGTCGCTGCTGTTTTTGATGCTGTAAGCCAAGGAAGAAGGTGCGGGATTATGTCGATGTTCGTTACATTTCTGGTACTACAAGCGTGAGAGTTACTACCGCCCTGCTCGCTATTAGTACTGGTTGTTTCTCCGTCCCGGCCATCAAGGACTTCCATTACTGCACTAGAAAGATTCGCGCAAAAGCGAGCACTATGGAACCAGTCAGATGGCATGCCAGGCCGACTCAACTGGGTTCTCAGGCCCTGCAGAAGACACTGCAATCGGGAGGTAGAGTTAGAGTCGGACAAAGAGAAATTCGTAGACTCCGAATCGTCGTCTTCAGATGAACAACGATCTGGTTCCTGAAGAGCTTCCCGCACTAGCCGCATTATCGTGCTAGCTCCACCTATTGAGTGTGAGTAACTCGACATTTGCTTTTCAGATTTCGGGCTTGGCGTTGGTGCAGCAAGTTCTGCCTCCAAAAATCGAAACATCCGCTCGAGTAGACTCCGAGGAAGTGCTGGTGCCCCCCGCGTCCGTGCAGCATCTAACAGTTGTATTGCAGAATCGATATCTTTTACAATGGGGCGACCCGCCGTGAGCCTTTCTGCTAAAATATCGAGCTTAGATTGCGGTATACGAACATCAACATCAGCGGCCCGCCGATCGTAGAGGCGGAAGCACTGAGCTAGTAGAGTTGCATTCGCCCCTCCAAGCTCACACAGTTGGCACATTAGGTCAAAGCCAGAACGACTTCTACTTGAGGATGAGCGAAGGTCCTTTTCATCCTGACGAGCTTTATTTTGTGCAACTTCATCTGGCTCTAGCTTCTCCGCTTGCTCCAGTTCATTCTTCTCCTCCTCCGCCCTCAACACCGCAACTTTCGATCGTAACTCATCGACGTCGCGCAATATCGCAGTAGGTAAAACGTGTGGAATCGCTGGCACCGAAAACTCCGCACCTGGAGTTCTCAACAACTGCCCTACAAAACCGTAATCCTTCAACACGCCAGCTTTTAGCAGTGCATTCGTGATAGCGCCGAAACGTGCGAGATTCGAAACATGATTTTGAGACGATTCCTCCTCTGCCAAATCCCTCAGCAACACCATCTCAGTCGATGAATGTAGGGACCGAAGCGAATGCGAAAAAGCGTGGTTAAAGGAGATTGGGTGTTCATTTAAGATCTGCTGTATCGAAGTAGCGGCAGCGGTAGTGGCCGTCGTTTTTTGAGGCTCTCCGCCAACTTCAGGCTGTGACGCACTAGGGCTTGAACCACAAGAAGTCGTCCTGGTGTGCAAAAACTCCGACGAGTGCGCCACATAGTTAGCCACGGCTTCAAGTGCTCCGAGTTCTGTCGTGGTTGCAGGAGTAGCGAGAGCACGATTGATAGCATACTGAAACAGGTCTGCGTCGTAAACACGTAGACGACACAAGGATGAAAGAAGAATCTCCGGACAGACGTGCTGCTCACCGGCTCCGGAGACGCGCACGTGTGTAGAGATACTCCGAACTGCGCGACTCACCTCACTTGGCCCATTGTCGGCCTCAACAGCCCTCTGGAAAACCGAATGCCCAAGGTCCAAAGCACTGACACTTTCCAATATCGAACCCAGCATTTGCGCAGAGTAGCTGCTAATCGCACCATGCTGAAACACGCGAGTGCGAGCTAACTGCAAACCAAGTTTCTGTCCTGCAGTTTTCAAAGAAGAGTTGTTCTTGTTGTCACTCTCTGCAACTACGCTGTTGCAATGCAGCTGCAATGCGGTGAGTCCACCTGTCTGAAAAGTGTGCAGTCTTGCTAATGCGTTGAGCATATTGCACACTTGCTGGGTAGAAAAGATCCGATCTGTTAAACTTGAGGACTCGCACTGACTTGTTTTCGTAACGTGGTCTAGGAATACATGAGTCACTGGTTGACCAACACGACCAAAAGCGTACAGGGCATTGACGACATGCTGAGTTAGGAAGCTGGCAAGACGATCCTCTCGAAAAACTTCGGTAGTTACCCTCGTGAACAACCCCTCTGAGAAAGGAGGACGAAGCGGGACTTTGTGTTCGGGTAGAAGGTGTACCCCTTCAGATCCTATCCTGCTAGACGTAGTAGAGTTGCTGTCGTCCTGGGTCTCCGTCTCGTCTTTTACAACCGCATTTGATGCCTGAATTCTCGAAGTTGACGAAGCGGCAAGAAGTTCAGGTCTCGCTGCAAAACGAGTGATGGCGTACAGCGTGTTCGCTAGTGTCTGGTCAGACATCGAAGGTCCGACGAAGCTCTCCAGTGTCATAGACACATCTCTGAGGAACTCTGGATCTACGTAGGTTCTCCTGTCAAAGTGCGCTTGTCGTGCATAGGCAGCGAAAATTAGAGCGAGGAAAACCTCACTGCGAGAGCTGTTGACTGCATGGGGCGCAGACCCCCTCGCTCGATTTGACGCCAAGTGAGGATTTGTGCCGTCTGCTTCCACTTGTGCCTGGCCTGAGTCAGGCGTGACGAAAATGTCATTTTCAGTGCTCTGGGCTTCTAAAGTTTCGTCTGCGCCATTCGCTACTCGACTCGCGCTGTTCTGGACAAAGCTCATCTTAGTTCGGACATAACTATGAAGACGAGCTGTGCTTCTCTCGAAGACGCGCCTGGTTGTTATTAAAAGGACTTGGTTTAACGAGGAAGAGCTGTTTTCGGCCGCTTGGTACACAGCAGTTGAATCCTGTTCCTCTTGCTTTCCTCCTGAGAAGGGCTCTTTCATCACACTACAATTGTTGCCACCTTGCTCCCACGAGCTGCACAAACTCAACGCGTTCAGCACTGTGCCTAGCTGTTGCCACTGGTAGTCTTGCATGTTGGTGTCTACAGTTTGCGCCACTGCTTCAATCGCTTCGGCATTTTCTTGGCGCTGCGGAAGCCGAACCAGTGCACTAAGACAGGCGACCGCCTCTGCAGGGATAAACTTGGGTGCACGCTGTGTAACGCAATTCCGCAGATACGTTAAAACAGCGGCCAAAGATTCCATTTTTGACTCATCTTGGTCATTGTTGCTTCGCAACGTGCTACTCTCGTTGAAGACGCCAAGCTTGCCACACGCATCGAGCACATTGGCTATGTGTTGACTTTGTTGCGTCTCAATTGGAAGTGAAGCAAAACGACGTAGTAAAGCGGCGTATACGTCACCCATGGTTGTATTGTTACTGGTTGTCGTTGTGGAGCTTGTTGCATTGTTACTGGTTGTCGTTGTAGAGCTAGTTGTTATAGAGCTAGTAGTAGTGTTAATCCTTTCCCCTGGCCGAAATTCCAGTCTTGACATGCCATACAACACATTTGAGACACCCTGTGCTGTGAAAGAGTTTGCTTTCCGCAGAATTTCTGGTGCGATCTTATGGCACAACAAGCCTTCATCTCGCAAACCGAGCTTCGCAAACGCATGCACCGTGAGCGCCAGATGTTGTTCAGTTGCTGGTTTTAGGAAGCGCTCCTCCGAGACTAAGATGCTCTGTGCCAGCGACTTTAAGAGAGGCATGAAGGCATCTGCTACATTGGTAGACGCTGCATTGGTAGACGTCGAAGAAGCTGTAGTAACAGTACTTTCAGTCGGAATCTCAGCGTCGTCCGTAAATAGATTCTGGGTACTATCATCTACTTGATCGCCACGTGAAGCTGCCCCAGCAACACTATTACCCACCGATGCAAAGTAAAACTCTACGCCAGCTCCTTCCAGTTTGGTGATCGCATTGAGTAATAAGGCTGCTTCAACATGGCTGAGACCTTGACATCTCAATCGCTCTAATCTTGAGGCAGCTCTGAGGAATAGATTTCCAGAGGTTCTTGGATTTGACCCCTTAGCCGGACCGCAGACTATACTTCTGACCACGGTTGTTCTGCCACCAGAAGCCCCGCCAGAATTTGCAGAAGCACTGCCACAAGTTGCTGCCTTCGCAAAAGCACAAAACACGTAGGCCACCAGTCTGGGAGCCATCGACTCTAACAAGTACAAAGTGCGTTGTCGGAAAGCCAGCCAGACCTTCGGTCGAGTGTCTCCGCGTTCCGCTGCCCTTCTAACGGCATGCGTCAGGTCTGCGCCAGTCAGTCTCGAGATTTCCGAGGGCTCGATTCCTGAAGTGGGCCTCCGAGGTCCCGTGGATGAAGAAGCGGTCGAGGAGGATGATGCTCCAAACGCGCTGTCCCCGTCTGACGATCGATAATGGCCTCGAGAACCTCTGGTGCCACTTCTCGTGGAGTTCAATGGTCCTCCAGCACATTGAGCAGCTTGCGGTCTAGACGAGGTAGTACTGGGCGAAGCACTCGGGACGCGCACTGTTTCAGCAACATCGCCACCCTCAACTGGGCCAAAAGACCTTGGTCGTACGAATCCGGCAACGGACCCAAAATTTCGTTTCGCCTCAAACTTTATCAGGCTAAGACGACTACGAGGCCTCGCAGGCCTAATCCCGAGGGGTCTCGTCATGGTCATGCTTCTTCTAGGCTGTATCGATGGAGGACACCTCTAATCTTGATCTTCATCTGCTCAGTGACAACATCCGTTCATCTGTTTAATTCGTTGCAAACTCATCTCACATTCCCTTTACCCCCTCATGGTCAATGCCAATTTCACCTAACAAATATATTCCTTAGTAGCATTATTCTCATTTTTCACACAGAGATAGAACAACTCAAGGCTCGAGGAGTACAAGCAGTTTCATTTTCTTGCATCAGGTACTTTCACTGTCTTCGTAGAGTAGAATGGGGGTCGTGGTTAAGAACTCCATCTTTTCATCAGACCGTAAACATGTCACTGTGTAAACATGTCACTGTTCATCAAAGCCTGCGCAGCTTTTGCCATTTATCCATAGACCTACCGCTTTGACCCTTTACCAGTGCTATCTTCAGCTTCAGACCCTTGCTCTTCAACTGCCACCTCGATTTTTCTGCGTCGATGGTACCATACAGTTCTCGACATAGGAAAACGATGTTCGGACGTTTGGAAGAGCTGCTCTGCTTGTCCCCTAAAATCCGAACTTCCATACTTCTTTCTGTGAACCACACCACCAGAGCAGATTCCTCCACGGAAAAGGGCAACTGCAGACTAACTTGCACTTCTGAGTCCTCGTTGGAGAAGAAAACTTTGCCCCCCGCCGCCTCAAACTCGGTCCAAGGCTCATTCTCTGCTACCCATTCCTGGCGTTCCGCTATGCGCTCTAGCAAGCGGCCTACCTGGACATCCGCTTTGTCCTCGTAGAGACCGGCTACCATCTTCATCACAGGAGGAGCGACGTCGGTTTCAGGACCAGCCGTCATTTTCTAATCCTCAATATTACTTTACAGCCATATGATTTTTGTTGTTGTTGTTTTGCACCCGTGAGTAGTTTGCTAGGGAACGACCGACGGACAAATTCCTATTTATCCAATTCCAACTCATAAGCTGCTCGTTCAGGTGGATCAAGGTATTGAACTGAGAGCTTCACACAGTGCAGGAGCGTGCTGGAACATCAATGGAAAATAGAAATATTTTTGTTATTCTATACTTTGATCTGAAGCTGAACAGTGAACACTTCATCCCTCCGTCTGAAATAGCGCACTTCTATCATGAAGGCAGATCATGTTAGAGTTGTAGACAAAACTACACGAAATCGATGTAGGAGAGGAAAGGGAGAATGTAAAAGAGGAGGATGGGAAGTCTCGTTGGGAATGTTGGGAATGCAAAATAATGTAAGAGTAAGAGTCACGCACAAAACAGGGAGCGATTTAAAGTACACCATCATCAATCAAGGATGACATTAGCATTACAAATCTTGGAATGAATATGAAAAATGCAACTTTAGGCCCATGAAAAAATTTTTCATCAGAATGGTTTTTGCTTGATCACCATCCGCCGCCGTGCGAGGTGCGACTTGTCCTTGTGTTATCCCGACATCGGGGTCGTAAACACTTAGAAGACCTGCTTCAAGATCAAGTTGAACTTGAAGATCAAGTTCCCCTGTTCAACTTCAACCTGCGACAACAAATCTTGTTACATAGCTTCGTCCGTCGTTGCTGGCTCTGCTCTCCGCGTTTCACGATGATCGAGCGCGCGTACCATTGTTCGACTGCGTCCGCAGAAGGCAGGACCGATCTCGGGCTCGGCGTAAGCGCCATTTCCGAGCGGCCGCGTCGTACGAGTCTGCTTACATGCGAAAACACTCCGCGATTTTAGCGGCGAGATTTCCGCGAAACGTTCTTGCCGCGGATTCACATGAACGTGTTGCATCCCGCATCGCCAAACATATCATTTGGAATCCTCACGCGAAGTCGGAGAAGCAATATGCGGACTAAAGGATACGAAAGGAGGCGCAGCAGTAGAGTCCGAATCAAGACTGGCTCGAGCTCCCATGGAACCTGGAGTAGGCAAATAAAATCTCGTCAAAAATGGGTTTTCACTCTGCTGGATGACCCTACAACTACGGAGATACACTTCTACTCAGCACTTCTAATACACGCTAAGGCTACAGTGGAAGCAACTCACTACGTTGTTTCGGCGTGCCCAATTTCGGGGATCATACTATTACTAGCTACGTACAACTTCCAAGAAAAAATTACCCTGTTTCGGCGTACCCAACTTCGGAGGCCCATCTAGTCCGAGAGGTCCGATTCCAACTTCAGACACAGTCTCGTCCCACACCCCACGAAAGGCTTCGGTTAGCCTCTCTAGGTTTCTCCCAAATCGTTCGTCTGAAAACTCAGAATGAAAAGCACGAAGCCAAGTTTCGAAAAGACGCTGATCTCCTTGGGGAGGTTCGGGTTCTCTCCTGCGCTTGTCAGCTAAAAACTGAATTATGGAGTGACGGACCACCCCAAGGTAGGTGGACGAAACGATGCCGCTTGAGGGGTTGACGACAATATTCTTTTCACACTCGATTGTATGAGCCTCGATGGCGTCGGTATCTGAAGTTTTTGATTTTGCAGACGTTTAACCACTACGGGGCTAACACTAAGTTAGTATTAACTGACTCTTGTCACATGATCCTTCATTGATGGTGGAAGCCAGGTCAAAAAAAGCTAAGGTCCAAAATCATCTGATTACCTAAAGGCAGCCTCGCTCCGCACCGTCCGCATTTTGCTACCCCGATCGCGTCCAATGGTGTGTCAAAGTCTAGAGCACTGAAATCATCAGCAGGCGCATCGTCTCCAGGGTCTGAGTCACTATCCAGAGTGAACTCTCTCGCAGGCGTGCCGAATCCTAGAGATGGCGCACCACGACGCCCATTGGGCGAATTAGAATTACCGACTCCTGGGTAAACTTGTCCTTCATCTTCTGGTCCACCGCTACCGTTTGGAGAATCATTCCAAAAATCGTGTTGTCCACCACCCCCTTGTTCCATTTCCCACTCTACCGTCTCCCCTTCTCCTTCAACTCCTGTGACAGGTTTCCTGTCAACATGACCTTTTTGTTGCGGAAGTCCTCCTCCGGAAAAAGTAGGAGATTTGGACCCCCTCCTAGAACTTCTTCCACCACTTGTCCTCCCATGATCAAAACCACCCTCCTCTCGTCCAGACAACGAAGACCTCCTTTCGCTCTTTCTCCGTTGCTCCGAGTAGATCCGTTGAGCGCGCTCTCTCATCTGCGCAATGAGCCGATTGCGCATTTCCCGCACGTCCCTCAACCGCTCCTGCTGGTCGATTACAGCTTGCTTGCACCGGACAAGCGCCTCTTCCTCAGCACGAACCGCCATGTTAGCTGCCACAAGCAGCTGCTCATCACTCTCCTGCTCTTCCTCAGCCATCTGCATCGCCTTTCTTGTTGTGTTATCCTGCCCCCTAGGAGTGACCTCTAATGCTAATCTATTGCTTACATTGGCATTCTTGGTCGGAGTAATTTCATCCTCTGGAGGCATGCTCATGGCATTCTTGATCCTGTTCGGGGTAACCTCTACCCCTATCATATTATCCGAAGACGCCGTAGCTAGCGGAGAAGTGTAGCTCTGGTCCGGCTGCGCGACAGCAGCAGAAGGTGGAGGCTCCTCAAGAGCCGACATATTTGTGGGCATTTAATGGAGGGAATGAATGAAGCAAAGTTAAAGCATTATTGATTCAAAAATGTCTATGTCATAAATTTTCTCAAATAAAGCCAAAATGAAAATGTTAATAATTTACGAGGAAAGTATACTGATTTCAATGTTGCGCTCATGTGACTGACCATGTAGGTCTAGGTGATTTCTGAAGAAAGTGGCAACAGTAACAGGCTTCATTCTTCTTGTAACTACAAGATCGGGTAATATCGGGGGGCTACATCAGGAGGACCAAAAATTTATGGACTGGTGAAAATGGAGTAGAAGATGAAAATGGGGTACAAGAACCACTTATCTCTAAACAGTAAATTTAGCCTCTATTGATCTTCATTCTTGGTAAATAGTATTTAATAAGACTCTTTTCATCTTCAATCCCTTTTAGTTTTTCTCTCTCGTCTCACTAAGTTTGTCACTCCAGGAAAAATCACCACTCTGAAACAGAAACGCGTTTTTGCGTTGTTCTCTGACAAGACACCTCGTGAGAATGAACAAGAAGGACATGCTCGCGGCCAATTGTTTCTCTGTGATCTCATCTGTGTCGGCATAGCCTGCACCGATTTGCCACGCGTAAACTTGTCTTAGCTTTGCTTCAACATAGCTGCATACACTAGGTTGGTAGTCACAACCTGTCAATCCCACGTTTTATTGTTCGTACACTGACTTGTAAAATTTTCTCAATAAAGAAGAAAATCATACTGTTGATGGCATGCAGTTGCATCGAAATGCGTAAGTCAGGTGAGGACAAGCAGTTTCGTTGCGTAGATTGATGTAGTTGCTTGATGTCAGCTTCACCTTGCTAACCAATTCAAAAAAAATGAGATGAAGTTTTGGTGTTGAAATCCTATCAGCTCTACAATTCTTGGGACAAAGCCTCCATATCTCCTGTGGGGATTTCGCGAGGGGATCGGAATTCCTCGTCAGAAGCGTCCTCTGGAGAGCTGAAGGATTCGACTCTTGGGGGCGCTATGCTTGGTGCTGGACGGTCAAGGTTCTTTGGTGGGCCAAGACCTTGTTGATTTTGTTGTCCGTGTGGATCCTGTGCGCTTTGCTCGAAGCCTTGATTCGGAATCTGATCAGCTTGAGTAGAAGGTACAGGTCTCGTTAGTGCACCAGCGTCCTCTGCTTGTGGTCTTCTAATTCCAGAGGAAGTGTTTTTCGACGTGTTTCTCCTGCCATCTTTATGATCGATGTTGTCCTCCTGATTCCCATCGTGTGCATCTTCAGCTCCGTCTTCATCCTCACAACTGTCTCCACTGCCTGGATCGTCCTCCGCAATGGTACTGCTTTTTCTCCTCCTAGCTCGTTTTCTACGCCGCCTCTTCCTGGTTTTCTTGCCGCCAAACACCAGTTGAGCCTCCAAATCGAGTCCAAGATTGTGCGGTCCTATTTCCAGTTCGTTCTGTGGGCCAAGGAGAACGGTGGAATTGTGAGGCCCAGTGGTTCTTGTTGTACTGGAAGTAGAAGTCCTCTTGGCATAATTATTCCCTCCAAATACCACGTCATGTTGTACACGACCAGCTACAGAAAATTGCTTTTTGCGATGATCTGGTACCAGTTTGTCCAGGGACAAAGCCGTTTGCGTCATAACCAGCAGTGGCGGAGAAGCTGTGAACGAAGCCTCAGTCATAGGATTCAAAATTGGCGTCGCATTGGTTACCGAGGGGGAAATCACCGGTGTATTACTACTTGTCGCGGGCAGCTGTGGAGGTAACTGCTCACACGGTGCGAGAGGACCTGATGGACAGAAGGAGAAGACAGAGAGTGCTAGAGGACCTGGTAAGGAGAAGACAGAGACGCAAATGCGATAGAAGAATATGGGCAAGTGAAAATAAGGAGAGGGGGAAGATGCAAATGATAGAGAAGACGGTGGAAGATATTATGAATGTGTCAGGACGTAACTAGGACAACAAAAACTAAGTCATATAATGAAAAATGCTTTGATGATTCATTATAGTTTCTTCTTTTACTATACTACGTCGTCCAGCCATGCCAACTGACATCCATCTTAGCCAATGATTCTACAATATCGATAAGGAAGTACCTTCGCGATGACTCTCCGCGTCCCACTCCCACCATGCTGACTGAGCATCGTAAAAATATTGTGCACCACCAATGCCTGTCGTTGCGCCTGCTACTCCCGGATAGTAAGCCGCGTTATAGTCATGATAGGTTTGGTGTTGCATTCCATCAGTGTAGTTATAGCTCTGCTCAGCAGCGTAGTTAATATAGTTTTCACCAGAAACTGCAGAACTGTCGTAGTAAGCGCCATGATCGACACTGTGGTAGGGTATTCTGCTCCTGTATTCGACATCTATAATTCGGGTCCCATGTTGGTTGTAGCTAGGAGTCGGACCAACAGCAGCACCTCCCAATCGTCCGTTGTATGAATAAGGATAAGCATCAGCTACTCCCGGAGCATGATTATATGGTTGCTGACTGGCATTTGCATCTGCACCATAGTTGTTGTGAAAAGCGCCATAGTTGTTGTAAAATTTGCCTGCACCACCGTATACCATTCCACTGGCTGTCACACCTGAGGCCGCATTTGATCTTCCACTGGTCCCATGATGAATGTAAGGCCTATTCTGACCATTTTGACTTTGACCATTTTGACCTTGTCCAGAACTTGAACCTGCACCTCCTCCGGAAGAAGTACCGCGACCTCCTGGTCCACCAATGGGAGCTCCACCTGTTGGTCCTCCAGAAGCAGACCCTTTAAAAGCAGACCCTCCAACAGCACCAACACCAGGAGGACTCTTACTTTTCAGTATTTCTCCCGCAGGCCCTCTGGCTTTCGGCAGACTTCTGGGCATGTAGGCAGGCCATTGCCACTCCCCGGTTTCGTCGAAGAGGTCAATCGGAGTCCGAGCCGTCCATTCTAACGTGTCATCTAGCGTCTCGCTCATCACATCCGACTCGTTGTTGTCTAGAAACGGCACTTCACGACCCCGCAGCTCTTGGGGACGTGGAGGACTGCCCTTTCCACCTGGTAAGGAGATAAGTCCTCTGGAAAGAGTCCGAATGTTGACGTCGTTTTCTGTTGACGTCGTACCAGAGGTGCCTCTCACTATTTTTTCGACCATGTTTTCCATGTCGTAGCTGGTGCCAATAGGTGGCAACTTGCCTTCGACACCCGCTTGAGCACCAGGATTCTTCTCGGAAGTAGAGGAGGTCTCCATATTCCTGACTTCTCAGGTTTTGATGGGAATACGAATACGATTGAGATTCATGATGCAGAACAACCAAGATGGAAAATGGTGAAAGAAGATCAAATAAGAAGTTCAGGTTAGGTTACGCTACAAGAAGTAGAAGTACATCATGATAAAAATTCTTAGGAAGAGTTATACATTTCGAGGTGGTGAATTCCAGGAAAAAATAGGACAAAAGAGATCAGCAACAAATTGAAAAAGAACAATTTTTCAATGCCCCTGTGCAGCGTGGAACACAAGATAGAAGATAGAGAATCACGGGAACATGGATGGATCTCAGTCAAGGTAGTTTTTCTTCAACGTCAAGACGCTAAGCCACCCAGATGTCAATCCAAAGACCCTCGTCTCAGAATGAAAAGTAACAGAGAATACTCAGGAGCCAGAAAAGAAACAGACAAGATATCCTCGTAAGCGCAAGATATCGTAAGCGCAAGATATCCGCGCTTCACCCCCAGGTTGAACGTGGGTAGGTATACGTGTAAACGTCATATCAGAGACCATCTCCCTCTCTCTCTTGCTCCAACAGACAAACAAAAAAGGACAGATCATGATAACATGTATGATCATACATCTTTCCCATTCTCCGTGTGCACAGCATATTCATTATTTTAAGTACTCTCACCACCTGACATGCCTATCTGCTCACCGATTTGCGCGTGTCGTGTTTCTTTATACCATATAGGTTTCCATGCTTCTTACCGCTATTTTTCCATAGGATTCCATGCTTCCTACCGCAGAATTTTTCCATTAAATTTTCTAGTGATTTTAAACGATTCAGTTGTAAGCATCACCTAATAATATGATTTCTATGAAAGTGATCGACGATATGTCGTGAAGTATCAGGAACCCACCCTCAGAAACTCCCCAACACCTTCAGGAACTCAGCAACAAGAGCCACCCGCCAGAAACTCACTGCCACGAAATCACCATCAAGAACTCACCCGCAGGAACTCATCATCATGAACTCATCAGCATGAGGATGGACTCATCCTCATGAACTCATCAGCATGAGGATGGACTCATCACCATGAACTCATCAGCATGAGGATGGACTCATCATCATGAACTCATCAGCATGAACTATTCGCCGTAAACTCCTCGTCACGAACTCCTCGTCATGGGCTCATCATCGTGAACTCATCACTTATGCCAACAGGCTTAATATAAAAAACCGCGCGCCTCACTCTGTCAAATTCCGCGGCGCCTCTGCCCCGACTCCTCCACGGCGAAGCAACTCCGCCGGGAAAGCGTCGCGATCTGGCTGAAGAGGAGCGGAGGAGGCGCATCTTTCTTGTCAGAAGTGAAGGAGGTGGAGGATTCTAGTGAAGGGAGAGCTGTCGGGCAGCGTTGCTTCGCGGTCTTGCACATCTTCATCTTCTACCTGACGACCCTCGCCCATTCTATATTCACGAATGAGTGAATGAATGAATGAATGTACCCAGAAGTTGTTTGCACAGAAGTTGGTGCAGAAAGTTGTAGAGTAATGCATAGGAGACAACGCTCTAAAGGTTTCAGAGCTCTTGGAAAGACTTCCAACATCTTTCACGTGGATGAACTGGCTCGTTTCGCCTCGGCCTCGCGTGCGCTGTTAGCACACGAAAGTGAGTCCTCTCGCCTGTGTGTTTTGTTCGCCACCAACTAAGCCAGCCAGTGAACCGATCGCGCGCTGCCACATCTTTGAACTTCGGCAAGCCCATCTCTTTTGAAATTTCGTGAACAAGATCGATGATCAGGTCCCGATCTAAGTGAATTTGTCTTTCTCCTCGTAGGTAATAATAATGTGTCATGTTGTCCTCGGTCTTTTTGTTTTATTCGCAATCGTATCCCTAGATTATACGAAGTAAAACCAGTCTAATATACTTTTCAAAGAGCAGCATGCGTATGTTCTAAATGCGCGGTCCTTTCCTATACAAATGAAGAGGTGTCGTGGTCCTGTCCCTGTATGAAGATTATGTAGTTGTTTTGTCCACTTAGTAGCAGTGGTCTACTTCATAATGAATTCAGACATGTACTACGAGTTTTCAGGCGAACAATCGAACGGACCTTTATCTATCGAAGAGCCCAGCTATTAATTCTTGGAAGAACAAGCACGCCAGAAGTAGAAGCTTTTACTAGTGCGTCATCATCATGTACACACAAGTAGAGTATCGATCTAGTAAAAAAGCGGCCCTAATTGCATCAATCTCTAATCATCGATGTCAAATCAGCGCTTGCGAACGGCTAGTATTTTCGCACTACTTTGCAGGATAAGTACCATCATTGTGTGCTTCTTGTGTGTGATGTATTATTTGGTATTGTTGATGATGTGAGGATATTTATTAGTACTAGATAATTGATGAATGTGAATGTTTTACATGCAAGGGGAACTTGTATAAGTTATAACTACATAATGTGACTACGTCTACCATTGCCTTTACGCTTGGAATGCCAATACGCTTAGAATCAATATGAGTGAAGACTGAGAGAAGTGTCTCATAGAACCAGACAAGATAAGTCTAGGAATGAAGAATGAATCAAATAGTAGATGAATGAGTGTGTTGTTAAGGTATATCGAAGCAGATCACGATTTCTTCACGCGTCGTTTACTTCATTAGAATGTCAGTGAGCAGATTATTTTCCACCATGGCTAAGAATACTCTTGTAGGGGTCTTAGAATCTTAGATACTCATAAGAATACGTTATTTTTGTCAAATTTCCAAATCTGAGTTAAGTAGATTCAAGTTAGCACCAGTTTCATCGACATCTATGTTAGATTATTTTCATAGCAGAAATAACCTCCATCATCGCAACAACGTCCATCATCGTCTCTGTAAAAAGCGTACCAGTAACGTTTGCTGCCCGTCTCTTTGACTACCGGTGTAAGTAAGCTGCATCTCGTTCACACCGACCTCCATCGGTGTCTCCTCTTACCAGTAATTTTGTTGTCGGTTCTGATGCGGATACCAGGTCTGATTCCATGTCTGCAGGTTCTGGCTCGCCTGGTATCCGCCACCATAATGTTGAGTCGTACTGGCCGATCTGTGGCGCTTAGAAGGGGTTGTCTCTATTTCATCACATACTTGTAAAAGCTTGCATTCACTTATTCGCAGATGATCAATCTATCAATCTCATTGGCCTTAGAATTCATCAATCTATCAATTATACTTCTTATTTTGCAGTTGAATGTATGACTATCTCAACAGGAGTAGGTCAGCTGAGTATGTCAGCTGAGTATGCCAACTGCCTTAAAGTGATGACTCATGGTCGAAGACGCCCCTCCAACAGAGGAAAGCTGGCTTAGGGGATTGTAATACTGGGCGCCGTTGCCGTCGTACGTGTTTGATCGGTTGTAGCCTGCTGAATTAGACAAAAAGCTTACACAGAGAAGCAGACCTTGGGTTGTAAGAAGTACTTCTAGAGTGACTTCTAGTGAATCACAATCAATCTCCTGCTCTTGGTTGTCTCCTGCTCGATGTAGTACTTCCGCTGTACAAATGCCAATAAGTCAGTGTGATGTTGTACTACAGGCCGTTATAGGTATTCTCATTTCATCGTATTTGTATTCTTATCTGTAGTCGTAAAGCTCTTCATGTTCCAGGACTCATATTGCGATTGACTCCACGTTGCTCCAGATCCCTTCGACGCGCCTCCTCCAGTGTTGCCCCCTCGTCCCGTGTTCTGGTAGTTAGAACTATATTTAACACGGGTTTTTCGGTATCGAGCCCTGGCTTAGTGTGTTGTTTCCCTTTATTTTCCCCTTTAGTTCTTTTTCCCTTAGCGATGAGACTCCAGTAGCGATGAGACTCCACGACTCAACATAGTTCACATGGGATGTAGTCTTAGAGCAAGATGCCCTAGTTGTGGAATATAATGAAAAACTAGCCTTAACATATCCTTTGGACGCACTTCCTCCACTGCTCTTATAGTCAAGCCCCGCTTGTTGAGTCTGATGTTGATATAGATGCGGTTTGTGATAGCTGCTTTTCGTGTTTTAGAGTTGTCAGCTACTGTATGACAGCAAATATTTTGTTGGAAGGGCTACACGCTAGAGGTAAAAACGAACCGGTTGTTTTATTTAGAGCTTTGAGCGCCGCTGGACCTAAACCTCGACCCTATATAAAGGGAAGAAGCCAATCTAGATTTGCAGCACACCTCAACATACTGTATGACAGCAAATAAAAAGGATAGACCTGCTATAGCATGCTCCTACGTTTTCCCTTGTAAGTATTCCTTGGGACTCACATATACAATAAAAGCTGGCCATAATTTTTGTGTTTTGGCTCCGGGGCTATCTTTGCTTGCACCTGTCGCGCAAGGGCGAGAGCTCCTTCAACGATATCGCGAATCTGATCATGATCACGCTCGTTCTCGTCTTCGTCTACTGTAGTAGTATCTACTTTAGTAGAGGTTGTATTCGCATTCGCACAAAGAGGCTGTACTGATGAAGCTTGAAGATATTCATCTTGGTATTCTTGTTGTTCTACTTCTTGCTGCTGTGCACCTTGTAGCGCTTCTTGTTCTTGGTGTCCCTGTTGATAAGAAATTGTGAGACACTGTTCTTGTTCTGCGCCTAGCGTCCACCCTATCATGTAGGGGTCTTGTACTTGGCAACTATTTTCTAGAGCGCCACTTCTGTCAACGAGGACCACCTGATCTTCTAGTACTTCTTCTTCTGCAGCACCACCTACTACTTCTACGTCTGCTATTTCATCTGTTGCATTTGCAAAGTACTCAAAATAATCCTCATCTTCGACACTGCTTGCAGTATTCTTACTGGTAGCCATTTCAGCTTGCGAATTGTTATGCAATGTACTAGGTTGAAGATTTGTGGCCGTCGTAGCACCTGCATCGATTTCTAGACCACTTTGTTGTTGTTCAGTCGTCGCAATATTAGCCGCCTCTCCTTTATCGTTGCTCGCCACAACGCACGAGGAAAAGCTACTACCACTAAGTGGAGGCTCCTCATCGCCGGGTTTATTGTCCTTGGTGTTTGAATATGCATGTTCTTCTACTCCTTCTACAGGCCCTACTGGCCGCTCTACTTGAGCTCCATGTGGATATTTCGCGCTCAACCAGGCGACCATTCCCGCTTCGTCGTGATCGTAGATGCCACTAGATCTCATTTCAGCCAAGTCTTCCTCTCCGATGCGCACAAAGACAGTACTCGGAGGCAGACACAACGGATTTTTGTTACCTTCACCTTCAGCTGTCATCGTCCCTTGATGTTCAGCTCCTGTCATCTTGGTGGGAGATAAGATGTCATCTTGGTGGGATGTGAAAGGATTTGAAGTATTGCATGAAGGGAGAAGCCTAGTACGATTCAGAGGGAAAGCGAGCCCGTTGTTTAAAGTACTAGAAGAATTAGAGCTCGAGACTCCATCTCCATCTCAAGATTCAACATGCTGGAGGACCTCTTTTCCCCTTGATGAAAAGCCACTCCAGGATGCTTCATGAGATGAATTGGGAGAAGCCGTAAAAGAATTTGCTCCGGGATTTGCTGGAGGTGCGATTATTTTGATCCTATCAAGTACAGGAGGAGGCACAGAGGGCGCCTTGCTTCGTCCAGTGCCTCCGACTGCACTCGCAACAACAGGTGTTCCTGTTCTGACTGCTTCATCAGGAGAAGCAGTAGAGCTCCGATCGATTAGACAGTCCAGCAAACTCGTACCTTGCAGGTCGAAACTCGTTTTTAGAGGTAGGTTTTTGGTGCTTGCTTACCCCGCTTTTTATGCCTTTCTCCCTTAGGAGAGGCATAAAAAGCGGTAAGAAAAGCACCTTTAACCTACCCTTAACGTTCCTTGCAGATCGAAACTCGTACCTTGCAGATCCAAACTCGTTCCTTGCAGATCAACGTCAGTCGCGAACGAACTCGCAACACCTCCAGGAACAAACTCCTTAGCAAATGGATTCAGACATGTTTGGAGCGAACCGGATTTTGCCAATGTTGTTCCTGATGATGTAGTGGTTGCTGGGGCAGTAGTTGCTGGGGCAGTGCTGGTTGCTGGGGCAGTGCTGCTTGCTGGAACAGTAGTTTCTGGGGCAGTGCTGGTTGCTGGGGCAGTGCTGGTTGCTGGGGCAGTGCTGGTTGCTGGGGCACTACTCGTTGCAGATGCTGTGGGAGTCGCTGACACCACAGTAGCTGATGGGGCAGTAGTCGCTGATGCCCCCTTTGTTGGTGATTCTGTCGACGTACCAGACATATTGGTAACCATTGAAGACACTTGCAGTTTAGGAGCAGCTGCATCAAGTAACGAAGAAGCAGATGTGCTACTGCTACTAGAACTAGTAGCAGAAATAACCGCTGCAGTAGTAGATAACGTTGACTCCGTAGTTGACTCTGCCGATGAAGAAGAGGAACATGCTTCATCAGACTCGTCTGCCAACTCGAGATCTTGTCCAGGCTTGTTCGTTTCGACGTCCACAGGAGCAGTAGCACTACTCCTTCCACTACCACTAGAACTGCGAGTAGTACAACTGGACACCTTCTCATCGAGAGAAAAACTGCCACGACCCTCTACAGGTTGATCCCCAGTGAGATCGAGTTTCGCTATAGTCCGAGGGCGCAGAGTAGCCTCCAAAATTAGAGACGCGCAGACAGAGAGAGTAGCCTCAAAAATATTGTATGAGTGCGGGAGTGCTCCCTTATTTTCTCACCTTCTAGTATGTTAATCCAATAAATATAGTTGGTGGAGCAGACCTAACTAGAAAAAACAAAACCGAAAAAAGAAAAATCGGCCAAGTACTTATCTACTACTAACTAAGCGCCGGCGCTGTCGTTGTCCTGTCAATAAATATAGTTCATTCTCGACTCAGGGTCAGGTGAATACTCGTCATTTTGGGCGGATGGTTAAAAGCCTAAAAAATTGCAATGCTCATCAATCATGAGTCATGGTCTTGCCTTTGCAGCCTTCTCAGCATAAAATAAAGGGATTCGCTGCTGCGAAGAGGTCACGATGGACCCTGGCTTCCCATACTAAGTTTGGATCATCGTCTGCGTCACTTGCGGTGCTGGCCTCTTTACCACTACTCTCAAGGTTTTGCGCCGTTGTGGTCTCTGCAGCATCTATGGGACTGGATCTTTTAGATGCTGAACAGGATGAAGATGACGACAACTACACGAATTCACATTTACTCCAGGCTGTTAAAGATAACTAACTATCGGATAGTTACAACCATTACAACCATCACTACAACCATTAGTATCCATTACAACCATCGGAGGCATAACTTCTTGACCGTCTCCATTCCCTCCAAGATTTGCCTCTCCCCCTTGGTCATTGCTATCATCCGTCGGTTGTTGAAGAGTGCCACGTAGAGATTGAGGAGCCTCCTGCTGGATTGCTGTGTTCTCAGAGGAGTCACCTGGATTTTCCGGTGCCTCCTTCGCCTGGCTCGGAAAGAGAAGTCCTAGTAAACCTAAACCTTCCATGATGAAGATTTCTTGTTGCTCAGTTTTCAGTTTATGAAGATGATGCACATGTTTTCTGAAGATGTCACTTGCTTATAAAAAAATCTTGCTACCTCCTCTAGCTCTCATGTGTTTCGAACCAAGTGTGTGGAAAACCAAAACACTAAATCGCAGATGATCGATATTCGCGGTATTGTGATGGCATTTTGCCACACAATGCGAGGACACCATGATAATTACCGCTTGAGATTTTTTTTCAATTTCAAAGTCTTCAGCCAAAGGGCCAGCGCACCAGCTGGGGTTGGAGCAGAGAAGTCTTACATTTCACAGACGCAAAGAGAAAGAGGGCACCATAGCTAAAAGAGAAGACTCAATCAACCAACTAAGCGCTACCTACAACAGAGAAGCAAAGCAACTGCGTATGTCTACGTGATAAGAAGACAATGCTTGAAACTGAGTTCGTGGTATTCGATCAGCGATCGTAGGTGGTAGGAAGGTAGACATACTCAGCGACCGATGTGGAACTGCATGATCGATTGGAGAATGAAACCGATGCCGTGAAGAACCGATGCATGCCTCTTCTTCTTCGCTCATTGATTTTTTTACCTTAGCTCATCTACGGGGAGCCTTAAGGTAAAAATCAACTTTGACGTGCACTTGAAAAGGAACACACAGAGACAGTTCACAGCAGACTTCATGATCCAGACAGCATCCATTCTTGGGCATTGTGGTGCAGCTGAGAGTAATAGTACATAGTGTATTGTAAAAAAGGAAATCTATTCGCGGTAGGTATTACAAAGACGTGTTACATTTAAGATTCAAGGCATCTGAACAGCTTCTGTAAACGAGCATTTTTTTTACAAACTTGTTGAACAAGGAATCTGCAAGAGAGTTCAGAATTCTTGCAAAGTTCTTCTTCTAGCTCGCTGAGTAGGTCTCTATTGTACTTTGAGTGGTCTTGTGAAGAAAGGAAATCATTTCAACAAATATAATGACAACGAACGGGTACGAGTATTTACAGGGCGAACGAGATCATTTTGTTCGAAATGATGGTCGTGATGAGAGATTTTTAGTAGGTTATCAACAAGTACAACCAAGATTAGTTCGAAGAAGTATTTACATCAATCTCTAAACAGTTGGTTCAATATCTACACTTACCCTACCCTCCAATCAAAGACGAACTCATAGACGTTGTGATGATGTAGTTGTTCATAAAAAGTAAGTAGATCGTACGTAGGTCTTTCTAGTACATAGTTGTAAGTAGTTCATTGACACCCAACATCAAAGCAAAACCAACATTCAGAATTTGTTCATCTGTCTGACTAACAAGGAATCATTCTAACCTTCAACTTTAAGGCATCTTCAAGACGCAGTCGAAATCGTTCAATAACAAATGATACAAACAACAAAGTGACAACAATAGGGCGGTGAAGCAATCAAGATATCAAGGCTCTGACTTCTTTTGTTCATAGATCATATCAAGAACTGACAAAGAGAAGTTTCGATGAAGAGGTGAAGCGTGATTACACCATTAATGGTATTAGTAGGAGTGGAAGAACGAACATTTTCACTTGCTGTGAAAGCATCGTCAAAAATGGCGCTCTGACATGGGATGAGTAATGACAAGAATAAGAGAGAAGACGGAATAATTTTTTACGTTGCGTCTTCTTGTTGTCACTCATAGTGGTTTTGAATGTCATCGTTTTACACCTGGGTACAAGTCAATAGTGCTGAAAAATTTTGACTATCGATTGAACAACAGTCATAAGTAATCATTTGGAGCTGCGGTCGTTCTACGTGCATGTGCAAGCACAAGAACGAGAACAACATAACATTGACGGCTTTTTTTTGTGGAACCTCCGAAGTACTTTTTCTTTGATAGAAAAAAAAAATCCCCCCCAAGCAGAACAAAACGTACTTACACAACCTCGAACAACAACTACTGGATCATTTGTTGATACTACGACGAACAAGCGGATGAGATGAAAACAGGTAGAACCACGAGAAATTAAGATGAAAAATGATTACATTAAGAAAGACGACGATGAATACAACGACCAACGACATTGGAATTCATTGCGTGGTTCAATAGAAGTGGGACTGTCTGATACTGTACGTTCATACGTCGTCGTCGGTTGGTCGTATGAAAAGTCCGAGAAAAGAAACTACACTACATTAAAAGAATCATTAAGAGGCCTCATCTTTGGTTGCTCCGTCAACGCTGTAACAACTAAAAGTACTTATAATTCGAAGGTCAAGAAGGGCACTTAGCAGTAGTTCAAGTTCAAGCCCAAGGGTCTCGATCTTTTTTTTTGTAGGCTAATACCGCCGGAAGGGTGATCCCAGCGATATCCGGCGTGCCTGCCGGCGACGGGTGGAGTCCATTAGCCTCCTTCTACTACGGTGCACTAATTGCCTACGAACCCGCCGACTTTAATCGGATCAAACCTTGGGGCAAAGGAGGGGATTAGTTGTGTCATAGAAACCTCCACCGGCCGCCAACCGTCCAACTCTTATGATAGCAGGCGCGCCGACGTCACGAGGAGTGGCGTACAGATCTGTTCGGCATCACAGTCCGGGCGGAAGGCGCGGCTAGGAGGCGGACCCACTGATTGCCCTCGCCTTGAACCTATTCGAGCCTCTCCAGCTAGGTTTCAAGTTTCAAGTTTTTTAGGTCGACTATTGTCAAGCTATTGCTAGTATGAGAGCAATAGCCAACAACAGGTAGGCATTAGTCTGTCTCTGAGTTATGCGTAGCTATGGGATTGTCAGCAGTAGGCGAAAAAAGGCAAGAAGGTTGGCAAAGGGCGTGGGTGTCTGGTAGGTCTGATGTAGTTTTACGTGGTTTAGTTGTATGTACTGGAAGAGGGGCGGTGATTTCAGTGAATCGAAGGAGGGCAATGGGTTACTATCTATGTACTACTGTAAGAAGAACAAGGCAGGCACAATTAGACAGGTCAATGGCAGTCGTGTGTAGCAATAGTTCATGAGTACTCCAGATTCAGGTAGGTGAACATCATCAAGCTGAGGTTATAATAGCGTATTGTGATTCTTGGTCTTCAAATTGTTCAAATTTAGTTTCTAGCTAGAAAACCGGAGTAAGCATTCAATTTTTGGCAATCGTATCTGTACTTGCTCTATCAACGGAGATGAGCTGAGGTGGACATATTTCATTTTAGAAATCTAAATTCGCACTTAGTTCTTTGTCTAGTACTACTTCTAAATTTCAAATATTTTGTTGTTCGTTGTAAATGATGTAAAAAAAGAGGAAAAGAATAATTATTTCCACTAGTTCATCATCGAAAAATCAACTAGCAGTTGTAGTACTTAATTAGCAGGTTTTCCAGATTCTTGCACAGAAGTACAAAACTATATCTATGTATAATATTATCTACCTACCACCTAGAAGCACCTAACGACCAGTGTTATCAGGAGGAGGCCTAGAAGCACTCAGCCAGTGTTATCAGGAGGAGGAGACAGTTGTGACTGACCTCTGTATTATTATATCTTATTTCCTTCGCACAAGGATTATTGGCATCCCCAACACTTCCTTTAGGCTGTCTTCTCCAGTTCCGCACCTGGCAACAGATAGTCTCCGCCCATACCAAAGAAGTCATACGCTGCGCCCTCTGTGTGTTGTTGTGAGAGAAGGACGGTTTTCTTGGTCTATTTGTTAAATTGCTTTTTTGTTGCCTCGTAATTCTTGTTAAATTGCTTTTTTGTTGCCTCGTAATTCTTTATTCTGCGTAGTGGTGGACGAAGGAAGTACAAGTACAAGTACTACAACTCCAAATTACTAGATCCTTGCGGAAAAGGAGAAAAAGAATAGTACAAAAACTCCGCCGTCTACACCTCTAGCGGAAACAAAAAATCCACCTAAAAGAGTTTGCCGTCTTGGTTTCTGCCTTAAAAACGAAAACTAAAAAAGGACCCCTTGTAGTTTATTTTTTACAGTAAAACTCGCAGCTTATTTATTCAAGTCAGTGAAATACGAGTACCTGGCATTCCAGGTTGAGCACCGTAGGGCATTCCCGGCATAGCAGCAAAGGGGTTAAGGCCGGAGGCGAAGGGGTTGAGACCCGTAGCGGACGGGGAGAACGGGTTAACAGCAAAAGGGTTCAAACCGGCAAGGTGAGGTTAGACACTGTGCAGGGTTTCCCTGGCAGCATGATGTGTTTCTTGTTGTAGCTAGTGGTCCACGTCCATGGAGTACTTGAAGAGTCTATTTGTGATTAACATTTAGGAGTAGTTAGGCTGTTATTTGAGTGGGCCCACATTCTCATGTAGACATTCTTTTTTTGAATCTAACACGCGTTGTTGTACAATGTGATCCATAACATTGCGGATTCAGTTGAGCCCCAGCAGCCATGCCATTCAGCTGCGCTTGACCACCAGCGCTCAGCGGATTGAACAGGTTTATGAAAGAGGATTCGTGGAGAGAGGAAGGTGGAATTCAAGTTCAACGCCATCAATTATGTTGTTCTGGCGCTTCGAAAATCCAGTGAGACAACAAGATGAACATCTATCTTCTCGAAGTTTGTTCTTACTTACTTAAAATCATCATCATCATCATCATCATCATCATCATCTAGTCAGTACTAGTCAAAGTTTGTTACCTAGACTTATAAATAAAATCATCATGATCTAGTCATAATGTTAGTAGCTGACATGTTGTTAGCAGCCACAGCAGTGTTAGCACCAGCTGCAAATACAGCGTTGCTCGGTCCACCAGGAATCAGGTTTGTCTGTGCACCGGGAAAGAGTTAGACGAGGTTGTAAGTACAACTATGATAGTACTCGAGCAGACTTACATCTCGCTCCTGCTGATCTAGATCATATGCACGACGGACTGCTGGTCTGACAACTACATCATGATTTCTCATAAGCAACCATATTTCCCGCCAGAATCTGAGCATTCGGGTTGTACGGCGTGGTGTTGAAAGCCTCAGCGAACTGCTGGGAACCAAAGAAACCATTACTGTAAGCATTCGCAGCAGCGGCAGCACTCTGCTGTTGAAGTGACGTGGTATTGAAGTGCTTGCTTGATGCTTGGTTCGAAGGAGCGAAAGAAGAGTTAGAGGCTGAGGTTTAGGTATAGGTGGAGAGGAGAAATGAAGCAAGTGCCAGAAGTTAGTATGTGCTTTAGTATTACTCTGCTTTTATTCTCGTACCATTAAGACGTTGTGGTATCTATCCATCCAAGCCGAGTAATACTCGAGGACAAAAGAACAAAAACTAAAACCTTTCCATTGATTGTTGCCAAAACTACTAGCAGTCATAAAGGAAGCATTGGTGCTATTGCTGCCTTTTCCGCTGCTCCCGTGGTTGTTCTGGTTGTTGTTGTAGTTGCTGTAGTTATAACCCGAGTTATGCGACGAGTTGTAGTTCGAGCCCTTGTTGTAGTGGTTTCCGTTGCCCCACGATCCCTTCTTATGCTTTCCCTCACCTTTCTCCGTGTAGTTGTGGCCACCTTTGGAACCTGTGTCTTAGAGTTAAATAATACAAGTACTAGAAAGAAGAACATCCTGTTAGCGTTTTTCCTTTCAATACACTTCCGAGTATGCACTCCTGAAAACCTCAACCATAATTGTGAGATGCGCCCTTGTGCTGCGAAGCGCCCTTGCCAGCATAGGAGCGAAGATTAGAAAACATCAACATCTCACTCGCTAACAAGTTACAGTTGATCCAAACCATTTGTGGCTTATTTGACCGGGTAACGCCCAATTGTCATGGCTTATACCGTAAACTAGATAGCTGGCCTGGAAAAGGCGGAGTAACGTTTGCTTGAAAGAGGGTTTGATCATTTTGAAACAGAAGAACTACAAACTAAACAGCAACAGCTACCAGCCATAACCTCTTGCCAATGCGAGCCCTTTCCGTAGCCCTTCTCGCTGTTCCATCTCTCGCTGTTCCATGAATTCCAGCTCTTGCCGAAGTGTCCACTCTTGCTCTCCGAGTTGTAGTTGCCGCCCTTGTGCTCGTGGAGTTTCTTAGAGCTTGAGGATGGAGGGTAACGAAGTATTAAGTAATTTTCACACACCCTTACCTGGAAACGAGCACTATAATCTTCCTCTATATCCGCCATAAAAGGCGCTCCCTTTTCACCCCAGCAGTCGAAACCGTAGGAAGCAGCGGCAGCAGCAGAGGAAGCGAGAGATCGGTCTTCAACAGTCTCGAAGGCAGCCGGATTAGCCGCTTGAGCGTCACGGAGCAGCTGCTTGATCTGCGACTCGGGTAATTTCATCGTGTAGCCAAGTATGTAAGCCACGTTCATGGGGTCACCTGAGATATCGAGAGTGTGAGATGTGTGTCGGACTAGCCAAAAATCGCGTTCTTGAAGTTGTATCTCAACATGCTAGACACGAATGTATGCTACCTCAAGTCTAAACAACCTCAACGAACTCACAAAAAGAAATCACAACATATTTCTACCTTGCTGCGCACAGGCCTTCATGAGACAGCTATATACAGCACGCGTTGGTTGAACTTTCCACATGTAAGGCATCTGACGGAAGACCAGGTCAATAGCATCATACAAGCGGTTGACCCCGGAGTACAAGCGAACCAAGATCGAAAAGGTGACACAGGATGGCGCAATACTGCAGCGCTGCATCTCAGCAAAGACGAGGAGACCTGGTGGAGAGGTGAGGAAGAAAGTATACTAGTGGCGATGAGAGCTTCTTGAAACGAGGACCACATCCAAGAGGAGAGATCCAATCCATATCATCACGAGACTTTCTGCATTTCTCTTTCACGACAAAACCATAACAGTGTACCAGTTTCAAAATCTCCAATCTTAGCGCAGCCATCGAGAAGGGAGTTGAACATGATTTCGTCCACTCCCAAACGGCGGATGCGAGCTTCGTTCGCCACCAGCAAAGCCTTGCGAAGATTTCCTTCGTTGCAGAAACCCTTGGGTATTAGAAGCAACCTCAGGGAGTCTTCAGTAGGATAAGCTAGTATGATCTTCTCGGTGTGCTCCATTGTTATCCTTAATCTTGAAGCAGAGCTGTGCAGAGTCTAATGCGGTTCAGTGCATCAATTGGCTTACGAAATAACTATAACTAGACGATGGTATATTAACTTGATGCTTCCGAAACTAGACGATGGTATATATAATCAAGTATGATGGCACTAGCTTGATTATAATATGATGAAAGTGCCATAAAACAAGCGTCGAAAAGGTGATGATGTCAGGCATGATCCCCGAGGACTGCATTTCCTGCAGAACCATAGCAGCAACCTTCATGTTATTGCATCGGACTGCGACGTCGATAAGAGAGTTGTAGGTGACCACGTTGCAGGGCACACGTTCTGCAAGCATTTCGCGGTAGAGCTTCATTGCGCGGGATAAGTCCTTGATCTTGGCGAAACCTTTGATGATGGTTGCAAAAAAAAGAAGAAAGATCAATCGTGATTAAATCTCACCAGCCCAATATACATCCCAGCGATACTCATGACCGTTCTTCTATCTCATCCTCTTACTTATTCTCTTTCCACATACAGCATTCTCAAACTTTCAATTCTGTCCGCTTCAACAAAACCTGATCAATACCTTTGATGATCGTGGTGTACAGCACAGTGTTCTTGTGGAGATTAGTCGCCTTCATGTCCTCGAAAGTAGTGACTGCCATTTTATGAAAGAAAAAAGTGCACTCACACTCAAAAAGAGTGGCCGCTATTTTCCTACTTACTTAAATCCTAGCCAATTAATTCTTGAGTGTGAGTGCACTTTTTCGTTTCATACATTTCTACGTGGTTACATTTCACGCAGGCATCGAGCATGCACCCATACGTTACGGCGTTCGGTGGAATGTCCGTTCCACGCATCTCTTCCCAGAGGAGGAGAACTGTGATAAAAGACCAACAAAAATGGGGAAGAAGATTTTCTTGTTCTTTGGAAGTCTCCGATGAGGATGGAAGTCTCCGATGAGGATGATGAAAGGGTAGTTTCGAAGACAGAAACATGTTGATGTTGTTCTTGAATGGAGGAAGCAAACAACAACAACAACAACAACAACAACAATGAAAAGTGACTATACCTCGATTAAAATCGCGAAGAGTTCCGTACGCCTTGATCAACGTTCCGTAGGTCACAGCGCCAGGACGCGCATGATAAGCGTGGTTTCGCAAATCGACAAGTGTTTGTTCCATGCTGCATTGGGTGTTGGAAAAAATATTCGATAAATATGTAGTCTTGCTTCTGCTTGAGTTGTATCTACCCAGAGAGTTGTCACATCAAGTTTCAGCTCTATCTACTTACTCGCCCCTGTCTGTACATTAAGTCACAGTACTAACGAAGTTCTTACCTCTGCACATCAACTTCTAGTAGCTAAAGTTTCTTTTACCTCTGCACATCCCTTAGCCTGGCGAAACCATCGAGGCAGGTGTTGTAGAGTCCTTCTTCAGCGTCCTTGGATCGCTTAAGGAAACGTTTCAATAGCGAAAAAGCGCGACGAAGTTTGCCTTGACGCAAGGAGTCTGGACTGTCCAGGGAAATTTTCACCAAAGCAGAAACACTTTGGTATAGAGGTTAGAGGAAGTAGGCCTTTCCGAAAAGAGAAGATGTTCACTTCTAGGTAGATTGATTCTAAGAAAGAGAAAAAGCGATGAATGGAGGGAACACAGATTAGCTGCCGTTCTTGTTAAGTTCTTAGTTACGCCGAAGATGGAATGTGAAGAAGGATTGTAAGAGACGTGGTAGAAGAACCAACAGTACAGCATTCACGGCATAATCAATAGGCATTTCTGCACTGGTCATCTTATCGACCCAGGACCAGGCTTCATCCACCTTCTTCCAGCGAATGGAGCTATCGAGATACTTCTGGTACCTTGTTGGAGGGAAGGTTGATGTTTTGTCAATAGAAAAAGTTCTTTCACTTGTTTCTAACAGGCGGAGTAGACAATGTATAATCGCTAGTGGTGATACGATAGCAGCCAGTTTCTGCAAATTTAAGATGTTGTTCACCAGAGACGAATGCCTTAAGACGAAACTGTTTCTACCGCAGAACGTGTTCATCATCTTAGCGCTATGCATAATCCATCTCTTTTCAATACATTTCCAACACCTAAGTACCACCTGTTTCTTCAGGGAAGGTGACAATACATTTCCAACACCTACCACCTGTTTCTTCAGGGAAGGTGAACTCAACAAGCTTCTTGAAGTCACAACAGTGTCAAAGAGATGAATTAAATAGCCTTAATCACTCGGGTCGGACTGGGTAGGCGGCTTAGCAACCATCGCTTTCTTCTCCACCTTCTTTTCTCCATCAGTCTTCGTCTGCTTTTCTTCGAGTTTCTCAGCGACGTCAACGTTCAGATATTAGAAGAGTATCAGTGGAGAAATGGGCTACACAATATAAGAAGTCTGTACTATAACAAGCAGAAAATGTGCTGTATAACAGGCAGTAAAACATTCGCTGCACAGAGAGCACTTGCTGTGCTGTAGTAGAGCAAGCAGGAAATCTTCTGCACAGGCAGGAGCAAGTATGCTGTAAAACTAAAGCTCCTGTAAAACTTCTGTACAACAAGTAGTTCTACTTGGTATGCTCCTCTAAAAGCAGCTGTACAACAAGTTGTTCTTGTTCGTCGCATAAAGTAACAGCTTCTTGTTCTCCTCCATCAGCAGCTTTTGCATGTTGTCCTCCATGATAGCCTCAACGCTTTTCTCCGCAATTAGAAGGTGTGTGTATTGTAGTTCTATTGTAGTTCTATTGTCTAGTTCTATTGTAGTTCTTCTATTGTAGTTCTTCTATTGTAGTTCTTCTATTGTAGTTCTTCTATTGTAGTTCTTCTCTTGTAGTTCTTCTATTGTAGTTCTTCTATTGTAGTTCTTCTCTTGTAGTTCTTCTCTTGTAGTTCTTCTCTTGTAGTTCTTCTCTTGTAGTTCTAGCACTATGTTTTTCATCTGACGAGCATAACATCATCGATTCCATGGTCGTTTCTGGTTCGGTCGGGAGGTTCGGCGAAGTGTGAGCAGTCGAAGTGCAGGTCGTGGATGCGTGAGACGACTCCTCAGCGTTCATGTCCGCACGTGCGACGTTGTTCGTATGCATCACGCCAGTGGTGGACTCTGAAGTTAGAAGAGGTCGCTAGTATGGGGTTCATATTACACTCAGACTAGGGCCCTTTTTCGGACAGCACGTTGGCTTGTTTCTAGTGCATTTCGGAGTTAGTGGAAGGCGATTTTCGTCCTTTACTTCTTTCCTAGTTGTTGTAGAAAACATTAACATTTTCTGTGGAATAGTAGACAAGGAAAGCCCGCATAAGGTAAACGTCGGCGAACTGCAGGACATTTTCATCATCATGGTTGTTCCCGAAGCAGGCGACATCAGCATCCCCTTGTTCTCGTTGGGCGACATCAACATGCTGTTTTTTTCCTCCTTCGCATCCTGTTCGTCACCCGAACTGGCGAGGGCTGCGTCATCCTGTTGGCTGTTAGACAAGACTAGTTCTGTACATCTCTCAAGGTGAGGATAGGGGTTAAGAAGGGAAAGTCCTTTGTGTGAAGGGGAAGTCCTTTGGGAGAAGATGATCCTAGGTGTAGGCTGTAGCTCTCAAGGTGATAAAGTCCTAGGAAGCTAGCATCTTCTCATTTTTATATAATTTCAGTAAATTTTCTTCTTTCCTCCGTGATCAACATAATGCTCAAATTTTCTTCGTGCAACATGTTGTTCTTGTTGCCTTCGTCCGGTAGTTGCGTTGAGGCTGCGTTGGCGAGCGCAGCTTCCAATGTGGCTTTTTCAAGCATACTGTTGGTGGTCACACCAACCGTAGTGGCCATCGATCAGAACGATCAAGCAAACGTGGTGACGAGCAAAGGTGCAGTACGTCGGAGTGGATACGGATAGAGGAGATGGACAAACGCAACGTCCGCAAGTATTGAGACGCACAAACACAACCTTGACTTACTTGAAGGAGGAGAAGAACGTTAGACAAAGCAAACGAAACACTACTTCAACTTCGTCTTGTGACTACAACTACTTACAACGCGCTTATTCCAACCACCCTTGTGCTAAACTAGTCAGTACTACAACTGACCTGCAGAATGGGATGAGGAGTGGTGGATTTCGATCCTTTCAAATAGGTCCGTCAGTGCTGAGTCACGTCATCTTGAGAGGCAGCGGTGGAGAGCAGCTGTTGTGTATGATACATCCATGATGAGTGTAAGCGAACAATCATGGATCCAACCGGGGAATTTGTCCTGTCCGTGAATCTCTCGCATCTTCTCATCTCTCAGTGTCCATGCCAAAGATGATTTCTTCACGATATTGAGTATGCAGTCTTCAACGATGACAGGCATTTCTTTCAGAAGCCTCTTCAGAGATGATAATTGCTAAGCCGGACACACGTTTGTCCTGCTTCAGGAGGCTGGAGCATATTTCAGAGCTTACAGGCTGTGCTCGAAGATGTGAATCATGTAAAGACGGTATATCTGCTACAAGCGGGCTATATTCCCAGTCTATGGATATTCTTTTTATCATTGTCGTGGTATACGTGATACATAAAATGTGTGAGAGCTCTTGTGTCGCTGGGGTAAAGGGTTGTGGATCTCATCAGGTTCGGGAGATAGAAGGGGACTGAGAATGATGAAACGCCAAGCTACGATCAAACTCAACGACCAGTACCCAGGTTTTCTATACAATTCAGTCTTGAGATGATCATGATCGGAGACAAGAATATAGTTTTTGGAAGCAGAAGTAACGTACGACTTATCATTTCTTCTTGTCAACCAGAACCCGCTTTCCAGCACAGAGAACATTCAAGCTGTTTGGCTGAGAAAGAAGCCTATGTAATCCTTTCGAGACTTGGAACTTTTGCCCAGATGAAGCATCGAATTTTTCAGCACTGACCTGTGACTCCTGTGCTTCTGGCGCTGCTGCATCGAAATACCGTTTCAATTTCCGTCTAGACTTTGACGAAGTTATTTTGGTTTCTTCATCGTTCTTCACGACTGCTTTCGTTATCTTCTGCTCTCCCTCCACCTCCTCCACTTTAGGCCACTCCGCTAACTTCCTAAAGAGACAACAAAAGAAGGCCCCCGTGTTCGCGTAATGGGGCATCAATCGTAAACATCGTGGTAACTGGGCGTTGGCCCATGATCTAGCAGTTTTTAACTTGCTTTCATGGTCCTCGTTTGAAGTCGCCCACATACTCTTGCGATACTTTCGACGTTCAGCTTTGCCGTCTTTACCAGGAAACACTTTCTCCAAATCCTCATACCGAGGAATGTCTTGAAAAAAGCCATTGTGTTGAGTCTTGTCTGTCCCTGTGCCTTTCTTAGAAGTCTTCTCCGAAGAAGAACTAGAAGAACTATTCTCCGAAGAAGAACTCGAACTAGACCCTCTAGCCGTCACAACTTTCCATTCTCGGATTCCAGGTGCTACTTTGCAAGGCAAAATGTCCTTCTTACTCCCAACGTTGACCAGTTCCACTTTTCCCGGACCTAATCTGAGCAAAGCTGCTTGCACCACAGCCTCGTTCTCAAAAGGGTTCAGACTGCACGTAGAGTAGCACAAAACACCACCTACTTTCAACATACGCAAACCACGGAGAAGGATCTGCAATTGCAGAGAATGCAACTGCAAGCCTAAAGTTGGGGACCAAGATCTCCATTTTTCCTCGTACTTGCGCATAGTGCCATCGCCAGAACAAGGCACGTCGCAGATAATGCGATCGAATCGGAGATATTGTTCCTTCTCATTCTTTTTGGAGGTGGAGGTCTGGGACCTTGCATGATCTTCTCCTTCTCCAGACGATGTTGATGTTGCGAAGCAGCATTCTGGAAAAATTTGTGCTCGATGGTTCACGACTGCCCGTACAGAACTCGCAAATTCTGTACGTTTCGCCAGTGTGCAGGCACGCTTTATGGCCATTTCGTTTGCCAGGAGGAAGCCTTCACCCCTCTTCCCTTGTGCTCCAGATGTTGACAGGGGCGTTGAAACATCATGTACATCCAGCAATCGTTCTGCCGCTTGACTCGTCTTGCTTCCTGGGCTCGCGCAGAGGTCTAGGACAGAATGATCAGGTTGAACATTGAGCAGAAAGACCGGAAACATGGAGACAATTTCTTGTCGTTCTAAAACGCCAAGCCGATGCTTGTCCAAGAGCCACTTTTGCAGGTCGTTGAAGTGTCTTCCCAGAGTCTTGGCGTCGTAACAAAGCTGAAAAGCCACTAAATTCTTGTCCACATTGCTGGAGGGAAGGGGCTTAGCGGAATGTTCTGTGTTCTTCCTGTCTCCACCAAGCATACTAGTCTTCTTTCCAATTCCAGTTGGACTACTTGTCCCAATAGTATCCAACCAATTTCTTCCGACTTGAAAGCGAAATTTCACTGGTACTGGAACTTTTCGCCCAGTCTCCTCAATGACTGAGGGCCATAGGAAATGATCCTTCACCTCTGCTAGTGCCGCTTGAACTTCCGGTTGACGGGAACTCAGCGAAGAAAAGCGAAAGGACACGCACAACGGATGGTGCAAAAACTTGAAAAACTTGTCCCATTCGGAGTCGTCCGGTAAAATACGTTGCACATTCCTGTAATAGTCTTCGAATCGGATAGCGACGTCGTGTTTTTCCCTTTCAATCTCCCAGTAGACCGCGTCAGTGAGCTGAGAGAAAGCATCGTCTTCTGCCTCAGCTGTGTCTGTCCCCTTCACAGCAGCAGCTATCTTCCGTCTCTTTGATGCTGGCAGCTGTCTGCGCAGCTTACGACGTCGCTTAGGGGGGGCCGTTTGCGAGGCAAGGGTCATAGTCTCATCTCCCATCTTGTTTATGAATATTGTGTGTTTCTTGTTCTCATCATACTAGGCTACTTACTACATAGAACAACAAAATGAAACTACAACACATACATGATCCTATGGAAGAACTTATCCAAGCTTATCCACGACACGGATTCAACTAGGGGTCAAACAGGTCACAGCTGGTCCTGCTTGGGTTTACTTATCAAGTGGCGACTGTAATCATTATCACGCAAGTTAATGCAGGTTCTTTGATCTTATGGCAGTGGCTGTGATCATGAACCAGATCAGCTTAGAAGCCACATTTGGATCAACGACCAATTGCCGCGTTCAACACGATTATTCGTAGAATGTGGATGATCTTCTACAAGAGGGATCGAGGAGAGGACATTCTTCTGCGGCAGTTATAATCGAGATCAGAATATTCTCGAAATCAGTGTTGGCGTTCGGAGGTATCATCCTAGAAATTGAAGTTCAACAATCATGATCATCCTTCGAAATAATCAGTCATCAGTACTATCCACAGCCTAATTCGCTGTTCGGTGCAAATCGGTGTTCAACAATGATTCTTTGAATTGGCGTTCAACAATCACACATCCTAAACAAATAGTTGTTCAACATCCTCCTATGCAATGGTGATTAACTTACTATATCCTCTTCTACATCCTCCTCATTTCCCACCTGGCCTTGCTGGTCCTCCTCATTTTCCACCGAAAGAAGCTTGGATGATGTCGGAAACTCCGTACAACTAGGAAGGGGCGGAGGCAACGGCAAGCCACCCACACTAGGAGCACGATCGCTGACGCTCTGGCGATCGAAAATTAGAGCGCTATAGTTGACGACACACGTTGACGATGATGTACCCCTAACAAATGGAGAACATCGAGGACGAGGATGATAGAGTTTTATACATCAAACACGTCATAACATCAATGCTCGGGTGAGCTCGGATAATTTGCCAATCGTTGCCTTCTTGGTCTTGATCACTGTCTTCAAGTCACGCTTCTTCGTCAGCAAAGTTTGGACCTGAGTGAGTTCTATGATGCTTCAGGATAGCATACAGAAACAAATACGAAAGGATGCTTCAGCCTAGTGCTGGCTACGCATACTTCTGAGTAGAATGAATGATTGTACAAACAACATACTCTTATACATTTGTCTCCTTATTTGTCTCATGAATGTGATAGAAACTTCACTTCATGGCTACTCAAAGACAAAAATCTTCACCTGCTCATCTTTTTCCCTCATTTCCTGTTCATGCTGACTGGCTCGACTCTGTGCAAGTTCTTCTGCGAGCTGTCCCTTCTCCTGTTCCATCTGCAACGTATCCTCTAATTCCTTCACTCGCTTGTCCTGCTCCTTTAGTTGCTCTCGCAGATCTGCTTGTTGAGCCCCGAACTCCAACTTGATGCTTTCTCGCTCCGTTCTAACAGCCTCCTCATGCCCAGCTATGTGCGCAGCTTGCTGCTCAATTTTTGCCGCCTGTTTTGCGATCACTTCCTCTCGCTGCTGTAGCTTCTGGACCAGGTCCCTCCGCAGCAGGGCAGCTTCCTCTCCTCTATCAGACCGGTGCAGCAAAGCTTCCTCGAGCTGTTGTTCTAGTCTCAAGATTTGCTCGCGACTATCCTCTAGCATCAACATCGCACGCACTTGGTCCGCGGACTGCGACGTAGCCGGGTCTGGCTCTTCCGAGACGGTCGTTTCCTCATCCGTCTGCCCTAAAACTCCTGAACGCCTCGAATTTCGTAGCAACATTCTCCCGGATATGGAAAGCCGTTGTTGCTTGTTTGCACTCACACGCCCCTTAAGAGCCAATGCTACGACATCGCTTTCCAGATCGGCGCACTGCTGTTCGAGCCCACTACACTTTTCCTCGAGCCTGCTCTTTTCGCGCTCTCTTTCGCTGTTTCTCTGTGTAGTGGCGTCTTTTGCACCAGCAGTGTTCTGCTTTTCGATTCGCACAGCTTCTAGTAGCCGGTTAATCTTCTCCTGTTGGCGGATAAGCTTGTCGTGAAACTTTGAGCGGACTTCGTCTTTCCACGATGAGTGCTCTTCACCGTCGGCAGACGCGGCCAAGTCTACCAAGAACTCATCCACGCCCAAAGATCTCAGCCCCAGCCAACGTTGGCGCACCTTATCCAAAATGGAACGAACTTCCTTGAGCAAGGCTGAAGGGTCGTCGTACTCCTTGTCGTGGCTCCCTTGTTCAGCATTCTGACTAGTACCAGCACGGCGAAGAATTGATGTTCTACTACTAGTAGCACTGTGGATAACACTAGAAACTAGTTCATGATCTACGCCACGACGTACTAATTGCTTGGAAACTTCGTCATCTTCTTCTAGTTCAAAGCCAGAAGGAGCTAAGAGATCTTCGAGAGCCGACTGAGCTATACTAAACGCCTCTGGCGATCTGACCACATGATCGTCAAATGTTGATCCAACTTCGAAGGTTGACCCGACCGCATCATCGTTGTAGTAAAACAGCATCCGACCTCTCGCCTTTTCGCTCGTCTTGCTAAGCGATTTCACCGTGTTCTTGCTGCTGAAGTTGGAATAGTCACGTAATCCTTCCTCCCAATGAACTGGTGATATTTAGAACTAAGAGAAATCCATCTGCAGCAGTTTCGTGGGCCCCCTTTTCCCTTTGAAAACGGGACCAAATTGCCTCCGAAGATGGATCTCTTGCGGCCTTAAGATAACCCACCTGGAGGACCTCCCGGAATCGAGTCGTAATATGCTCCATCGTTGTTCCCCACACTGGTCACGTATATCGCAGGCGCCCCTTTAGAGAAGCCTGCAGCCCGTGGTGACTGCATTCCACGTCTGAACTGCGTCGTGGGACTACCACCGTGTCCACTGTGGGCTACTAAATAACGCCCTTTGGTGCTTCCTGGACTGGTCTCTTGTCCACTAGCAGGACTAGAAGGGTAAATGCTTTTCGTTTTACCACCAGGACGACCGACGACACGACTATTGTTGTTGTTGTTGTTACCCAAGGGAGACCGACTCCGCGACGCCGGTGATTGTGCACTAAAAGGTGAAGGACTGCGCGAAACAGGCGAGGAACGTTTCGATGCAGGCTTTATTAGAAGAGGTTGTAGCAAGTCATACTCAGGAGTCGGAGTGAGTAATGTACTAGGAAATAGCTTTCAACATATACAGGTACGACTGATACTAGAACTAGAATTAGGACGAAAAAGACGGTAATTATTGCTTCGGCCTTAACTTTGAACTATTTAGCGGAGAAGACCCAAACCGACTTAGTCTCGAGCCAAAGGGGGCCACAGGAGCGGAACTTGCTGTGACGACTACCGCTTTCGAGTCCTCTAGCTGTTTTTGCTCACGCTTTTCCCGACTATGTGCTCGCGACGCCGCCCTTTGCGATGTGAAGAAGTTTCCGCGCTCCGTACCGAAACCTTTGCTAGAGGACAGATAGGATGTGTTTGATTGGGTTCTTGAAGATGGCAGCAACAAAGTCATTCCAGTCCCCGTGTTGATATTCCGCTGCACACCTCTAGGTCTCGAACTGTACTGCTGTGCACCACCACCTCCTCCATCTCTGTTGTTCGTCAAAAACTTCGTGGTGCCTCCTGTTGTATTACCACGTTGTTTCGATCCAGCAGATCCACCGCCTTTATCCCCAGGCAGCTGCGATAGAACCGAGTCATAGGAGTCCAAGAGTCCTAGGGCTTGGGTTCGCAGTTGCTGAAGTTGAGTCATGATCGTTTTTGTTGCTCGCCTCTGTTCGCTTAGTCGGTCCGCGGCCTCTTGTTCGCGCCGTGCTAGGGCTTCTGACAGCGCTCCTGCCTCATTCCCTTCTACACGGCGCAGAGCGGCCATCATCTTCTCATGCATGATCTCGATCCGGCGTTCATACTTCTCCACTAGGACATCAACATCCGCTTGCGAAAACACCTTACTAGTAGATCCACCAGACTTACTAGATCCACCAGTACTCCTGTTTGACGTACCTCCTCGAGTCTTCTTCCCTCTTGAAGATGCACCTGCAAGGTCGTCAAGGTCCTCCTCCATTTCTTCGTCTATATCCCGAATAGGCAGGCTACTAGGCGCCGAATCCGGTGGTTCGGTCCTCAAGCGGAAATCGAGATCTTGAATCCGTTTTTGAAGCTTCTTCGTTTCCTCTTCCCGCTCTTCTCTTTCACGCGCTTCGTCTTCTAGTTGCTGCCTCAGAACTTCCGCCTCTGCCGTCAAAACTGCGTTCTGCGCACGCAACCCCGACAACTCGCTCAGAACCTGATGCGCTATGTCTGCAGTTCCTAATGGAGGAAGATCAGCTGCATTGTCAAGATCGGGGTCACGAGACCCATCGTCATCCACTTCTACACTATTTTCCTTTTCTACACTATCCTCCGACAAGTGGTCGTCACCTGGTGTTAAAGCACTCTTAGAGGCATCCCTGGAACCTCGTCCTCCGTTTCCAGTATGCACTAGAGTCGCAGATGCTGGCAGCGATCCTCCAGAAGTACCCCCACTGTTGGTGCGACGCCTCCTGGAAGCTCTCGTGGAAGAGGAACGCCTGTCATCAAGGAAGCGTCGCACTCTTGCTTTGCTGGTTTTTCTAGGTTCCTTAGCGCCACTGGTTGTGGTTGTATCCCTAGAATTAACAGCAGAAGACGACCGCTCTCTGCCTACCAAAGAAAAACTCTGGTGCTCACCGATCTTCACATCCGCATCTCGGTCGTCAACGTCATCAGCAGCTATTCCCAGGACTACATCTTCTTCTTGTCTTCGGTCGACGTTCACGTTGGTGGTGGACTCCTTTTTTCTAGTTGTACTACGCTGTTTCCGACTATCGCGCATCACTTCATTAGCCAAAGCTATAGCATCTTCTGTGTCGTCCAGCATCTCCCGCAGAGCCTCCTGTCGATTTTGATCAACTTCCTCCTCCTCTTCGACGCCCACAGCACCATAATTTTCAACAAACTTTGATGTTCTTGTTCCTCTTTTGTCGAAGATTTTGGTCAAGCGCTCGCCAGCCTTATGGCTTATCTTCCTAGCTGCTTGCAGCGCGTCCTGGATCGACTCTCGTTCCTCACGCAGCTGTCGGACCGTCTCTGCAAGTTTCTTCTTGCGCTTAGAGGTAGTGCTGTGTTGTAGCCGTTGCATAAGTCACAATAAAACTTGGAGTAGCCCCATTTTGATTTCTACGCGAAAAAAAGAACAACAGAAAGCGATGGTCCTGAAAACGGAGAGATACATTAAATCTAGCCTTAATCTCCATCTCCGCCTCCGACGCTCTTTCCCCAGCCTCAGCTAGGGCGTCCTGTGTCGCTCTCAAATCCTCACGAGCTTGAGCGAGCTCCTCTGGGAGCGGCTTTCCCTGTTCCAGATGCTCCAGCTTTCGCTTGTAGGTACTCGCACTGACCCATGCTCGAGTAGCTTGCTCTTGCAACCTCGAAACTTCGCCTTCCACCGCTTCTTCTAATTCGGCTATTGCCATATGCTCTTCTTCTAACAATGCGGCTTCGTAAGCGTCGTGCTCCTCGGCTTGTGCTAGCTGGGCAGAGTCTGGGAAGGCAGGGGTAATTTCCTCGGATTGTAATGCATTAACCAGCAGCTGCGGTTGTCGTTCTTGTGGTTCTGTTTGAGCCGTAGGCGCAACTGAGTCCTTCTTAGCCTCTGGAAGTTGCGTTGAGCTATCAACATCAGCATCTTCTCCTTGTGCACCAGAGCCGCTGTGAATCCTGATGAAACTCTCTCCAGCTCCATAGTCCTCTGAAAAAGGTTCATCCTCAGTTGCCGAAACGTTTCTCGCTTGTTCTGTTTCTTGAAAATCTTGTTCAGCTTCCTTCGTAGCAACTGGCGGCTTCCGTTCGTCGTCCTCTCGAACGACATCCCGTACAACTGATTCAGTCGCTTCCTCATTCCAATCTAATGCAGCACCAGCATTCGCAACAGTATCGGCACCAGCTTCGGCACCGAGAATTTGCGTCAGGGCTTCTTCGTCCGTGCTTCTTCGGTTAGCGGAAACACGTGCAGCCTTTTCGTTCAATTCTCCACCTAGAGTACCTCGTTGTGATTTCCTAACTGTGAGTCTATGCTTCTCGACTATCTCTTGGAGCAAAGAGGTTCTTGTAGGAGGAGGAGCTTCTTCTTCTTCTTCGTCACCATCCTTCTTGGAAACGTCACCTGCAATTGTAATTGCTGCAGGCTTTTCTTCGTTTTCCTCGTCTGGAGCAAACCGACTGCTTAGTCGGAAAGACGACAGTCGTGCACTACTTCCCGCAGTGAGCATCAACAACGCACTTGGTCTTGATTTTCTCTCTGCAAAAGTGCTAGCCCCGGTTTTCTTCATACCGGTGGATTCTCTACTACCAGAAGTATCTGCCACTTCACTACTAGGATCCACCTCAGCGTCGTGTTTGTTTGTCAATCGCACAGTTGTAGTTGATCCAAATCGAGTGCGCCCACGTCGCAATGCTGGTTGAGGATCCTCCATTTCTTCGCCCATAGGATACCTCACATGAAAAATCGTGCTGCTCTTACCTTTCATCAATTTACCTTTCTTGCTTATCCCCATCTGGGGTGTTTCTCCACTACAACCAAGTTGACCACTCCTAGTAGTCATCCGCGAAGCCCGCGTTACCTTCGTCGCTCGATCTGCTCCTTCCTGCACCAAAGTTTTGATATTCTGGATCAAGCTTTGATTTTGCTCACGCAAAGCCTCGACTTGTGTCGAGTGTCGCTCTCGCCATCCTGCGTCCAAGGCCTCGCGATCCTTCTGCAAGAGGGTGTGCGCTTCTTTGAGTTCTTCATGTTCCGCCTGTAAAGCTTTGTGAGCTTGCTGCAACGCGCTGAGTTCTAATCGGGCTTGTTCTAGGCCTTCACTTGTCAAGACCGGATCAGCAAGTTGCATCAGACTTCGCCGTCGTACGCTAATGTCCTCCGAGGCGCTATTAATCTGCTCTAAACGCGCCACACTTTTCCGTAATGTAGATGCTAGGTTGTTCACATTCGACGCCCCTAGCGAAGTTGAAGCACAACCATCCTCGCGTGCAGTTTGCGGGTCTCCTTCTGACATCATCGTCGGAACAGATATTCCTAGCTGCTCAGAAGCGAGAAACGCCGTGTCTTTAGTACTGATCGGTTTACTTATCACCTGGCCACGTGGTCCCTTCGAAATGATTTGATTTCTCTCGTACAGTCTAAAGAGGTCCTCTTGTTCTTGAGCAATTTGCAGTGAAGGTGGAAATCGGCCCCGTGCGTTTTCAGCTGGCATAACTGGTTTTCCGCCGTCGAGAGGCTTTCGAGCAAGAACGTCACCAGCTGAAGATCCAAGAACTCCTGGTACACCTAGATCGACACTGCTTGCCCACGTGCCGACAAGACTTCTGCCTCCTACCTCATCTGGATATTTGAAGAGCTGTGGCATGTCCTGAAAGGTAATAGCCTTTTGCAGCGTTTCTTGGAACATCTTTTCCTGAGCCTTTAATTCACGACAGTGTTCCTGCATCTCACGTCGAGATTGAGTTTCCCACTTGGCCCTCTGCGTCTCGGATACCGTTAAACGAGAGCGAAGCCAGGAACTCTGCGTGTTCGACAGCAACTGCACAAACGCATTCAAGTCGATAATACTGCTGAGTAAATCTTCAGCGCGATGTAGTTGTGAGCTTGGTGATGCTTCTGCTTGTTCAGGGGATGCTCCTCCTTGAGCTCTAGGAACTTCTTCGATAATAGATGAAGGTTGATGATCCACAACGACTTGCTGCACTACCACACGTGGTGAAGAAAGTCTCGCCTGCTCTACTTGCGGTTCTCTTGCTGTTGTGCGTCCTCCACTACTCGAACTGCTTGACCCTCCCACAGCCATTTTGACCAGCTTGGCTAACAGATCGGTAATCGAAAATAACTCGCTGCGCGGCGTGGCGAACCGCTTTGGCTGTACCTTCAATCGAACCAAATTTGACGTCTCCTCACTTAGCACGGCCTGTCTTGCGCGATCCCAAGCGTGCGCCGCATGTGAACCAGGACTGGTGTATTTTCTCCTGGGTGGAGATGAGCTCGAAGAAGAGTTTTGGCCTTGATCTTCTACAGCAGTGGGTCCATCTCCGGCGTTGACAGTTTTTACATCTTGTTCGAACTCCCCTAAGACGTCATCGACTAGACTCAGGCCTCCTGCAGAAAGATCTGCCTGTTCAGGTTCCTCTCCCCTGTCGGGCTCGCTACTGAAAAGGAAAGTTGCGCCATCCTTCTCCTTAGCTCCGGCATCCTCTTCTCTATCCCGCTGTTCTTGATCCTCGTATTGCACTTGTGCACGACTCGGTCTTTCGAAGAGGTAAGACGTCGATGACACTGTGTGCGAGTTCTCTTCTTCAGTGGACACGAGTTTTTCATAGCGGTCGATAATGTCGTCTAGGCGATCAGTGGTGCCACGAATCGCATTGTAGTGTGGTGGTCCCACGTCGACACATGCAGCCGCTTTTCTTGTACTACTCGCTCCAGTCGTGCCAACAGCCGCTTTTCTGGGAAACAGCCCGTCTGCAATGTCCGAAACGGTCTCAGGAGACAAGGTGAGCAAGTCGAAGGCATCTATGGATGCACCTCCAGCATCTCGTCCTGCCGTGGATGCCTTAGTGCCTTCAGTCGCTTTTTTCAATACTCGTAACAGTTCCCGAGCACTCAATTCTTGAGACACGGGATCATCAGGTGAGTCCACAAGTAAGTTGCTCAGCGTTTGCTGCACGATAGTCAAAACATCCTCCAAATCTTGCCACGACTGCTGTGACGCTGATGCTCCTTCATCTAGAGGTGGCTGTTGAAGCATGCTATACAAGTTTTCGTGTTTGGCATTAGAATCTGAAGAAAATCTCACACGTCCTGACCTTCCTCCAGAGGAGATGGTCTCTCCAGTCACCTTAGCTTCAAGCGTCGTCTTCTCCTCTTTCCCTTCAACACCTCTACTTGGCGAGCGTCCTCCTCGCAGAGGAGATCGACCTGCTCTTGGTGACCTAGACCGTCCTCGCAAACGCACTGTTGGAGAGGGACTGCGGGAGAGCCAGTTTCCGAGCTCTGGATCTACCTCGATAGTGTGGGTATCGTGTTGGTGCAGCGCCAATTGAGCTCTGGCATTCACTGCAACTCCACGCTCCACCAGCTGCGGCGCAAAGTGCTCGTTGGCGCAGTGCTTCAACAGTAACACGTGCTCCGCCAGCGTCTCTGATAATCGGTCACGGAGGAAAGCAAACTGCCGGATTTAGAGCAATTTTTAGTTATATCCTACTTTTAGACCTGTTAGTGATTCTAGATGTTGATATTCTAAGTCCACGAAATTGATCCTCAAACGAATATCAAGCCTTAATTTTCAAGACTGGTGTGTCTCCGTCGCAGCTCCTGATCCGACCCAGAGGCAGGAAATAACGCTGAATGATCGCCTGCTCCTCTACCAACATTTCTACGACTAATGGCACTACTTTCTTGTTGCTCTTTCATGGCATCTACTTTTCTGCCATGATCCGCGAATTTAGCTAACATGCGGTCCTCTAAGATGGTCACCTCGCGTCTTGCCTGTTCCAATTCGGTTTCCTTTAAGCGCGCTTTTTCCGTTTCCCAGCGTAGCTCTTCGCACTCTTTTTCTCGAGCTGACAATCGTTCGCCTTGAGTCCGTAAACTTTCGAACAAATCGCTTGCAGTCTGCTCTCGCTGCGCAAGCTCTCCAGTGATTGCGGATATCTAGCAGATGATAGATTTGGTGGAGTTTCAACAGGACAGATGAGGAGGATGGGAAAAGTAGACTCCGAAATTGTAGAAGGATCATCTGATTATACAAGAATTGGGGAATTGTTGTAAGTTGTACCCTGTCCCTCTCCTTTTGCACCCTCGCATCACATTCTTGTCGTAGTTGCTTCGTTTCCTTCTCGTACTTCTTCTCATATTCTCTCACCGTCTCCCTCAAAGCGCTTGCGGCTGCGCGCTCTATCGCCTGGATCTGTTCATCCAAAACCCCTGGCAGCTGTCGCCTCGCACTCCCGATCTCTGACCCGAGATGACTGATACTGGTCTCCACCCCAGGTGGCACCTCGTCTTTCAGCTTATGGGTTAGTGCGGCTATGTACTTTGTGGAGGCTGCTGATTCAGACTCTTCACCGTTTTTGGCAGAGGAGGTTCGAAGGTTTTCAGCAATGAATTCGTCTTCAATCATGTCATTCTCAAGCTCATCGAGTTTAGTGTGTATCGGCGTTTGTGCTGATGCATCGCTATCGCCTTCTTCTGCTCTACTTCGACGTTGTCCGATCATACGTCCAATCATGTTCTCATCCCTTCTGTGACTGCTTGCAGATGAATAGAAATGAAAAGCACTGCGCTGCTGTGGGGGAGGTGGAGCAGGTGAGAAAAACTGCATCTCCTTCTCGAATTCGGATGCGAGCGAAAAGAGCTCGTCTGGCACCCGATTATTTCGCGTCGAAAGCGGGGTCTTGTTAGACCGACCAGAGGGCGTCGAGTGCTTCTCCATGTTGCTGGGACTTTGCTTGTGCGTAGAAAACAACGACATCTTGATTATAGGGGGATGTTTTAGCGGAAAATGTAATTGTAGTGTTTGTAGTCGTGGATATTTTAGTCGTGTGGTGTGATGCTGTGGCGCTGAAAATGTGTCAACTAGTCAAGAACTTAGAGATTTGTCCCACTTACAGCAACCCCTGCCCTTCTGGGCAGGCCTATCTCTAAGGTTCGACTGGCAAGGCAGGTCGATCGAGGGATCAATATCGCTATGACTCGGTATTGCATACTAGTAAACCAAAGAGCACTAGCAAAGGGAATGCATCAGAGTAACTGGGGAATCAAATCAACTTCTACTAGGCAGTGTGATCCAGGGCTGCACAGTTTACTAGCAGGAGTTGAGAAGACCACTCCTGATCAGCACGAGCACACTCGGGTCACTCTTAATACAGATTGCATGTAGGGATAGACCTAATATTAGAACGATAGACCAAAGATTCTTAATACAGATCAGAAACAGATGTCGTCTACTCTTATACTTAGACCGATACCGAACCGTAAACGACATCACCGATTTTGGAAGATGCACCGACGCTTATGATCATCCAGTACCGAGATGGAATCCTCGCTGTGCGACAGATCGCCAAGGAATACACTATTTCCAAATTGGAGTAGCATTACCAAATTCTTTTAATGTCACCCGAGCACTACTTGAGAGTTCAGTAGTTTCTTTCCAACAGGAGGAACACACGTGGGAAGTTTCTCTGCTCAAACATTTCTCGTAGGCGAGGTACGCTGGATAGACACCAGGAGGAACACACGTGGGGAGTTTCTCTGCTCTAATATTTCTCGTAGACGAGGTACGCTGGATCGAAAAGTCGTACATTGTTGCGCCGAGGAGCTCATGAAGAGCAAAAATCATCATGATCAACGATATCTCCCTGTCCGTTGATAGTGGTCTAGACCCTTGCCTGCTTTGGGAAGAGGTCTAAGAGGGGCATTCTTAGGTGCAGGCGGGGCAAAGTTTACGTACATGCCATTTCTAGAGGGTTGTTGTGTGCTGTAGCTACTTGTGGATGAAGAACTAATATTGCTCCAAGTGGTACTACTAGAGGCGCTATTGTTGTACCCGTTCTGCTGGAGCCCTATTGTTGTACGATTAAGAGGTCTAAGAGTTGTTTGGCCCGTCTTCCGCTCTCCTGCACTAGTTGCCGACGACGAGTTCATGTTTGTATAGTTGTGATACGGCTTTTGCCCACCAGACGTCCCGCTTCTAGTGCTAGTACTACCCTTTTGATGCCTATAGGTAGAAGCACTCGCCGCCTCGAGAACTTCACCAGTACCTCCCGGATCGATACGGCCATTTAGTTCATCATAGCCAATCTCGCGCTCAGCAAAAACTTGGTTGAAAAGCTTACTGTTTTTACTTTCTCCTGATCCTTCTCGGGCTCCTTTCTCGTCCTCTCCTTCTTCCTCCGTGTCCCCATCCTCTTCTTCATTCTCATTCTTCTGATCTCCAACCTTTTCTCCTCCAGCTCCATCTGCTCTCGAGTTGTCTGCTCTCAACAGTTTCAGAGTCCTCTCTACTTCGTATTTGACTATGGCCCATCCGGTAACACGGACCGATCTCGCTGCGTTATTACTGGGCTGTGCAGGATCCTCAACCCACAATACTTCGGCGGAGAAATCAGAGCCGTCCGATGACACCGGTACTCGTTTTCCGCAGCGAACTGACAGCTTTTTCCCAGACAACTGCTTCTGTTCTTGTTCAACAAGAGACTCAAGAAAGCAAAGAAACTGTTCGAAGAGCTCTTCTGGTGGAAAGAACAGGTCGTCAACAGCGGTACTAGTATTATTCAACAAATTAATACTAGTACTCGACGTAGTGGTCCTCGTTTTGCTTCCCGCTTTGCTCACCGCACCTTTGAGAGCAGTAGTGGTAGAAGTTGTAGTGCTGGAGGTTTTCCCTCGTCCTGTAGTTTCGACTTTCCGCCTTTTCGCTACAGGTTCTTGAGCGTCGTCCTCATCGTCTGAGAGCTCAACATCACCCTCCTCCTCATTATCACGACGACTTGGTACAACAGATATTACGCTATCTCTCCTGTCCTTGGAGACGCTCCTGTCAGGTGGACATAGCAGATCCTCTTTCTTCTTCTTCGCAAGTGCTTCGTAGCTCTGGATGTATCCACGCTCGATGCAGAAGAACAGGTACAACAACACCCACGAAAACGAATTGATCAGACCGTAAAAAGCAGGCGTTTTATCCGGAACGCCCATGAGGCGCCTCTTCACCCACATTTTCACAGCAAAAAAGCCTGCGGCTACCCAGTCTTTCTGTTCCAACAGCTCTCGTATCTTCTCATCAGTCGCTCCGCTGGTGCCTTTCCCTACGCTGACATCCGTTTCCAAGACCTCGTCGAACACCAGCTTCAGCAGTGGAATCTTCGCAAACCAGACTTGGGTAATCACCCGACAGCTCCCACTGTATCTACGCAAATCCCTTGCTAGCCTCTTCAGCACGTCGATCTTCTCTTGCTTCAGCCATTTGTCTTTGTCATGGACGTCAACGTCGAATCGGTCGAGGCGGTCATGAAAAATCAGTGCTAGATCGACGTCTGAGCCGCGCAGAGCGGTTCTTTGCGCATACGATCCGAATGGTCTCACTTCGACTCTTTCTCCCCAGTATAGGTCGGCAAGGTATTCGAGGACGAGGGTCGTGATATTTATCTTATCATCAGCAAGAAGTATACAATCATCTTCATCTTTTAAAGACTTTAGCCTAAGAATACCAAAGTCACGCTCACTTCGTTTAAGCATACACAACTCAAGAACTGCTTCATGAAGTATTAGTATAATTAGAACAAGAAAAGTAAAATCTACTTGTATGAGAAGCTCATAACAGTAACGCTGTATCCTCCCTATTACGCGGTCGCAATCGTCCCAATACGCTGGATCTGGTCTCATCTTGGCCACTGCTCCACGCACCGCACGTGAAAAACTTGAACTACTCGAGGAACTACTGGAAGGAGTTGGCTTGGTCATTGCCACGTTTTGTTCGTGAGGGATACTTCGGCTTTTAGGAATTGTGGAAGACACCGTCATTCCTCGCGAAGAGTTGGTCTTTGAAGAACTCGACGTCATCTTGTTTTTGCTCTATAAGGTCTTCGTGTTGTAAAAAGAAATTAGCTCAATGATATTTTTTTAAACCAAAATTATCATAGCGTCTGTCGTCAGTCTTGTTCTTGTGTTGTACGACTGCTGTTGTAATACCCCGACCTGAAAAAGAAGGTAAACCGGAATTCTCTAAATCGAAACCATAATCTCAGTCAACGGCTAGCAATCAAGTTCTGAACGTAGTTTTTCACAGACGCAATGGATCGAATTTCAGGCATCTGAACATGTCACATTTCATCATCGAAAGAATCCTCCATTGTGCAGCAACCGCACGATGGATTATGCATCTTCCGAGAGAGACTTGTTTTCGGCACAATCACGGCAAAGCTGAACACATCATGAGCATTTCGAACGAAACATCATGAGCGGATCGAATTCAAATGGATTCTTTCATTCATTCGCCACTACAAGAAGTTGTTTGGGGGATTCCCTGCTTGATTTCCACTTTAGCACCTGTCGATTGCACTAAAAGAAGTCATACAAGAACGCGATCTCCTCTGCTCACGTTAGAAGTGGGAGAAAAATCTGTACAACAGGAACTATCCCTTTAAATCCTCTTGTTGTGAGCATCTTTCTTGGGATTCTATACCATGTTAACAAGAAAGAGAGCGAGTCGTGCCGCCTGTTCATGATGATAGGTAGATAGAGGCCAACAACCAAGCAGCAACTGGCCGAAGAAGAACATGCTAGGGATGCCAGAACCACGCCACTGCTGTACCAAACGCAAACCAGTAAGGTGTCATCCGCGCAGATATTAGATGAGTGTGGTCAACAGAATGGGGGGCATCGAGCATATAACTCATTGGTATAGTGCGAAAAGAGACTAAGATCTACATCCGAACCTACGAGGAACTCATTGATATAATTTAGATCAAGACAATTTTTAGCCTTAAATAGTGCCATGCTGGAAATCGGTGCGCTACTACCGCAGTGTGTGTTATGCCGTTACCTGAGTGTGCGAGACACATCGCATATCGAGAGATTGTTCTTTGTAATAAAAGCAGTGCTCTTGCATCCAAAATCTATATGTATATCTCTTGAAGATCATTGTGGGTAATTCTTCAAGACAGCCACAGACACAGACCACAAGTCTTCAAGCAAGAAAAAATGTGAAAAATACAAAATGGCGGAGTCGACGTATACTTGCAACCGCATAATCTTCGCATCTGGCCTTCGTCTGTGGAAATTGTGAGAAAAATATTAGATTTTTGACCCCGCCTGGTGCTCAATGGCAAGCACTAGTGCAAGGACTTCTTCTGATTTCACAACGACGAACTTGTCATGTGTTCCCCTCATTGTTGTAGTCCTTACTCGACTACCTAAGAAGCCATATTACATCACAGTTCTTCTAAAGACCTATACCTTGTTTGGACAGATTAAAGTCGAAGGAAAATAAATCGGTAAATTTTCTAGAGAACTTTAGTACACACTTAAACAGGCTCACTTATTCGCTAAACTGGAATCAAGAATTACAAATACCTCTAACAGTAAATCGCACTGGCTCCATTCCAGTGCCGATGTGTTGCTTGCCATCGCACCACGGCTGAGTATTTGATCGCCCGCAGGAGCACCAGTGATAATAGGTCTGTGGTGACAGTGATGGACGAGGATATGTCTGTGGTGACATCAACAATATGTAAAAATTGACGAGGATGACGATGTGGTGATTGACGAGTGATAATAGGTCTCCTGTGGTGACATCCATAAAGTGTTTCTTCATATCACGATAGAACAAAAGCAGTACGTGGCTCCGCAAAGTTGAGAGTTTGTATGGGTAGAGCTGCGGAGTTTTGGGCCGGTTCGCCTCATACGGAAAAAGATCGTGCCACGGCATCTTTTCGGGTACGTACTCCTAAACAACTGCTAAATTGAACAGAGAGAGGTGAAGTTGCCAGATGGATAGCGTTTTTGTTTTGTTGGGGTATGGCGACACAAGTCATGAAAGGGATAGTCAGTGGTCAGTGCAAACTGGTTGCCCCCTTTACAATGTAGAATAGTTACTTTTTGTCGTAAACTTTAGCTTTTACTTTTCAAAAATTACCGGACTCACAGATGCCTCTCGCGATTATAGGCAATCCTCTCGCAGTTGCGCACTCATCCATCTCCTGTTCCCCCTCGTCATTCTAGAGGCTCAAGATGAGGACTGCCATGACGTTTTATCCTCCTCACTCAATCGCGAATGGTGAATTGAATTTCGTTCGTCTCTCTCGCTCTCCGTTTCAGATATTACGTTTGTTCAAAAGGGACAAGGAAAAAACAAAGGTCCAGGAGCTCCAACAGCTTCGTTTCATTCGCCAATTTCCTCAGTATGACAGACATCAAAACAAGTCGCGTCAGGTTACAAGTCATCTGTAATCTAGGATTCAGAGGTGGACATGATCATAAGGCACAATATTGAAGTCGCGAGGGTGCGGGTTGTATCTTCCCACACTATGAGTACAAAAAGGTAAAGGGGTACCTATCAAGAGGGCTTATCATCAACCGCTATAGTACACATCATTGAAGCAGTTGTCGTGAGCGTTTTTACAGGAAAAATCAGGAGTCCCATTTCGACGCCTTCTCTCTCCGTGGACTTCGTTCTCTTGGAGGAGCATAGTCAGAAGTATTCGAGGACGCCTCAGCACCACGAGGACCACCTCCGCCAAGTGGTATCATATTTGCATTCTTACTAGGATCAAAGACTGTTCCTCCTCTGGATTTTCCACTAGAAGATCGCCCCTTCTTTGACGCTGCTCCAGGAGCATTTGTCTGCTCCTGAGCAGCTCCCGCTCCTTCACTGCGACCTGGACTGCCTCCTGCGTTCGAAGAACTTGACGATCCCGGAACGTTCGAAAACCTGGAGCCACCGTAATATGCAGGTGGTTGATTTTTACTCTTTTTCCCACTTGGTGACTTCCCCTCTTTCCCTTTGGAAGGCGGGTAAGCAGGTGCGCCGTACGCGTCGTTGCGGAGGTTAGAGCATCCGCAATCAAAGAAGTACTATGAAAGAAGTAAGTCTGCCACTTCCTCGTACAATTATATATAAGTATACGTGCCTAGTCGGAGCAGGTGTTTTAAATTTCATTGAGTTTGTAGTCGAGGATGATTGTACAAATTGCTTTCCATGCATAACTTTCGTTGGCGCATATCCTTTCGGTGGTGGCTGTGCGTATGGCGGTGGCCCACCCGCGTAAGGCGGTGGACCACCCGCGTATGGCGGTGGCCCAGCTCCATATGGCGGTGGAGGACCGGGTGGCCCTGGAAACATACCTCCAGGCATCATAGGTCCAGGTGGGCCCATCGGAAATCCATGTGGTCCTGGAGGCATATGCGGAGGTCCTCCTGGTCCTACAGGAAATGCACCTGGAGGTCCATGATGTCCAGGTCCTCCTAGTTGCGCACCAATGGCCTCTACTCGTGCTCGCTTACTTTCGAGTTCGTCCCTCTTTTCGTCTACGAATCGTTGTGGGATGCCATCTGGTCGCTCTTGAGCGGACAAGAGCAGGTCCCAAAGCTCGTGGCAGAAAGCCTGTGGAGGTCAGGTTGAGATAGCTCGTTGAGGTGGAAAAGGAAAAGGACTTCAATAGAAGATGGTTTGGAAAAGGACGAGTCTCAGAGAGGGAGGTCCAAGATGCGAAATCTGAAATTTGAATTCATTCATTCATTCGAACCACGTAGCAACTACGAGCAGCTGCCTGGTTCCGTTGTGACCCGAGTAATGACACTGCAGCTACATAATATCTGCACATGATAATTCTAAGTACATCAACTAGGTTAACTGTATCTGCAAGAGATTTATTACTTTCGAGAATTTCTAAATCTTCTTCTGCACAGGAGCCACTGTGCAAAATATAGAACATCAACATCTTTTAGTACAGCCGCTTGCTTTCCCAAAAATGGTGTCAGGTTCATCTGGAACTTCTTCGGCTCCACCTTCTGGTGTGCTTCGACTTTCTCAAATGTCAACTGCGAGGACACGTATTCTATGACGATGTCGTCTTCGAATCCCATGATTTCGATGACCTTCTTGTTTATCCAGGGCCGCAAAACCTCAAACTTGATTTTCCTCATGTCGATATCCTGTTTATATCTGTCGCTGAAGAGCCCATTCTTGTCCATTTGCTTCATCATCCGGGTTTCGCCATCTGCAACGTTGCGCATCTGGTTTGCGGACATACGTCCGTGAAAACCACCAGAGCCCTGCATTTTCTTTACTATGTTGACCTGGTGGGACTACAAAAATCAGGCTTATTACAACTTACAACTACAATGATGCTTATTGATGAAGAACCCTAGATAGGAGAAGCCCTCTGTTACTAGGGTCTATTCACTAAATCCGTAATACAAGAAAGACATCTAGCGAGTACAATGATCATCCTGGGTACTTGTATTGACGAATGTTTTTAAGCATGATCCAGCATCGTATCACAGTACAGGACAAGAATCTGCCAAGAAGTACATAACAAGAAGTGTTTGCAGGAGCGCGCCGTAGTTGTGACCAAATGAGAGTGCTGATTTTGGCATACCAGAAAGAGCAGGAACCAACCTTTACATCCTGTGACTTGTGGTATCTGACGCGCACAACAAGTCGTCTACGTTTTCTGGAGCAAATACATCAAATTCCATCTTCTTCAAGTTCTTTTTTACCGCAGGCCACACTTCACTATTCATTCTTGCAAGGAAAAAAATGTTCAGTATCGTTTTCTTCTCGATTCGCTAGACAAATTTTCGAAAAAAAGTCTTCATCATCAAACTCCAACAATTTCTCGAAGAAATCGTCATGTGTACAACAAAGGATCAGACCTTCATCGATTTTTAGTTCCCGACCTCTGCACAGGTTGACAGACAGCGGACGTACGTGTTGCCGCTATCATGACACTTCTCGAAGCACTGGACTTATTAGACAGGAATCATTTTGGACTGCAACAAGACGGTCCACTACAACAGGAATGACCTTCTACATGAGAATAATTGTCGTATAACTATGTTTCTGCAACTATCCCTACGTCTTCTACTCTCTAGTCCACGTCGATCTATCTTGTTGCCATAAGCTTTGCAATATGGGCAATCCTTTGCGGTGGCTGACTGCGCGACGGCTGACTGCTGCAACAATGCCAGGTTGTCCTTGCTTTCTTCATAAACTTCCAAGATCTCCTGCTCCGGAGGCTGCTCTGGAATGATATGAAGAGTGTGGCTCTCCACGACGAAAGAGTTCCGTGGAATGGAAAAACAAAAGACACAGCAAACGAATATGTCCTTTGAACTGAAATTTGCAACACATTTTTTGCAAGGATGATAGAGGCACCCATGTGGAGGTCATCTATGATGTAAAATATTGGGCGAGATTTCATAACTTTCTTCCGCAGGAGGTGGTAGCGCTGCACCCTGGTCTTCCATAGGTTCACCCACACCATCACCGTCTGCGGAGACGCCCGGGATTCCCTGTCCGGCGGGATGCTGCACGTCGATTGTAGGTGCTTCGCCTAGATCCTCAAACGGAATTGGGTCCGATGCTGCAGATTGAATTAGTAGAAGGTGCATGAAGTTGTAGAGGATGAGAGGGTATCCATCGTCACTGACTATGATCTTTGGAAATTGTACGTCGATTTTCTGCAAAGTTGATCATCCGGTGTCTTGTGTCTCTAGGAGGTATATACTAGGAGCCCGTCAAAGTGCTTCAAATCTAGCGGAGGAGACGACTCAATAGGTGGTGTTCTACAGTGTTTAAAAATGCGCATATCAACATCCCTGTGCTCATACCGCCATTCTTTGCATGTCATGCATGCTCTTAATGAGCTCCTCTTGCGCCTCCTGGAGTGACTGTGCATTTGCGTTAGAAGGTGCACCTAGAAACACACGTCGTGTCACGTACCCTCTGGCCGGGCCTGATGGTCTGTCAACGTATACTGACTAAGATTCTTAGCTACGCAATACGAGGACTCCTTAATTAGAAACAGTACTATGTAAAACAAACTCACATTCCAGTCACTAAGCATAACGTTTTCCTTCACTGCTTTCAGAGCTTTTTGCATCACTTTGATATTCTTCGCGGCACCAGCGATCTCGGCGTGAGTCATTTCTCCACTTTCACGGGCTTCTTCTAGGCGCTTGACCATACCCATGATCTTCTGCTCTAACATGCGGACGACCTAGGTTGGTTATTCCGGGAAAGGATGAAAGGATATTGGTGCAGAACAATTCATTGCAGTTGTAGTACTTTCAAATTCCATCGTCTATCATCATCACATCTCTTCTAAAGGTCATACTTCACCACACAAAAAAAAACATAAGAACCATTTCCTTCTGATCGTTTCCTTGTGCAGGAGGGTTTTTCTTGCGGCGTACAACTAGTCGCTCATTCAGAGCTTTTTGCTCCTGTTTTTTCGTTTCCGTGTATTAGAGGTGAGGGCTGGTTATACTGAGAGAGGAGAGGAGGTTATAGTAAGAGCAGGGAACAGGTTAGCCTGAGAGACAAAAGGTGCAACTCGACTGAGATGGAAGCGGTTCAATCTTCCTTGCGAAGGACTCTCGTACGATAATCTACTTTTCAAACAAGGCACGAACGATTATGATGTTCTTCTTGTCCAGTAAGTATGACTTGTTAGACACACAAGTAAAATAATCGCCTTAATCCTCAATTTGCTTCTCGACCTTCTCTTTGTACTCTGCGCTTCCGGCTTCCTTGGTCGACTTCTCACCGACTTCGTTAGCAGATGCTTCCTTTTCGTCTTTACCTGCTTCATCCTTCTTGTCGCTGGGTTCGGCCTCTGAACCCTCGCTGGCTTCGAGCAGGTTATTTGACGTAGGATGGCTGTCCAAGAACTCCCCACATTGCTCAACCAAAGCACGATCGTCGCTGCCCTTTTTTCCGATAAGATTAGAAGAGGCTATATATAAGGAAATAACACCCTTTCCTGTAAAGATTCACATTCATTATAATCCTCGATTCTTGAGTTGTGAATTCACCTAAACCTACTGATTTCTACATTAGAACCTTAAGAACAGACTTGACGACTGGTAGCTCCTTGAACTGGGAATCCGCGAGGACTTCATATTGCTCTGCCAACGGCGCAGCTTTTCGACTCAAAAGCACTCCGAGTAGAAGATCAATTTTCTGTTTCTGTTGGTCGCGCAATAATTCTCCTCCACGCTGTTGCAGTCGGTGCACCAGTGATTAGGTTAGAAAGTTGACAGAGTCACTATCTATACCTGATGATCTGTTTAAAAACTGCTCAGGGACATTTGGTGAAGAAGTTGGTGAATCAATCTTAGTTTGTTATATACGATTCAAAGAGAGAATCAAGGAGTTCTATCAACATGCTATTCGCCTTAACAGCGTAAGCGCATCGGCTTGCTTCTCGACAGCACCTGCACTCTTCTGGTCAGTGTCCTTCTGGTCCTTGTGGGCCAATAAGGCTTTGACCTGAGCAACAAAAGGTTGGAGGATTGTCTTTCCCAACTCCGTCTTTTGCGTCGCCTCCAGTGCAGATAGCGACTTGGCTACCGCAGCTAGCTTGTTACATTAGAAGTTGTGAAGGACACAAAGAGGAGGTAGTAGCTTGCTTTTAGAAGATGAAGAAATTTGTGAGATGATAAGAATTCATGAGAATCTTCGGGCGAACGAGAACTGAGACTGAGTATGAAAGTTCAAGATGCCAGCGTAAGAAAGCTTGGCGCTTGTAGCTGCTGCGGACGTAGCAGAATTCGGACCATTGCGCAGTTTCAACGCTGTAACAACCGCAGACAACGAACCAAGAAAACCCAGACAAGGAACCAACCAACTTTTCTTCATCTTTTGGTTTGAGTGCTTGCGACGTGTCACAGAAAAAATAATCTATGTTGAGACGAGTTAGCGAACTTCTTCGAAGAAGTCGTGACAAATTGATCTGGTATAAATAAAAAAAGTCTTCTAATTACAACCACGTGCACCGATTGCATTGCTGTAGTACACCAATAATCTCTTGATGTTCTCGTCTCACTCGGAGGACCATGGACTTCTCACTCTAGTTGGCTACAATACCACCACGACGGCCTCCACAACAAAACTACAAGTCTTAATGACATTCGATCAGCGAGCGCACGTGGTCATCTTGAGGAGCCATTGTTTTTAGTACTCATGAAAACATGAAGGACTCATAAAAACAACATTAAGGGCTTCAAATACTAGAGAAGCAGGTCCCAACATACGTCAACATCCGTGCCTTAGCCACCTAAAGCCGTGAGGCACAATGTACATGTAGCAGGCAGATAGAGCGAGTGAGTGAGCGAGAAAATGTATCTTCTAGCATCCAGGAGTTCAGGAGCGGTTCAATCACTCACGTGAGCCGCGATGGTATTTTAGAGTCTGCTAGATTACATCTCCGCCCCCTCATCTTGACCCCTTTTACCTTGTATTCCATGAGAATACAAGGGAAAGGGGTAAGGAGATGCGGAGAAAGATGGACAAAAGCTGACCTTAAAAGTATTGCCTCCAAGGACGCCACTACTTACACTGGGAGTCGTGCTAGCACTAGAAGTAGAAGATGCTCCCTCGTCAGTATTCTTCTACTTCATAGCTGTCCTTCACCGGTTTCCTTCTTCGGCCGCCTTTGCTTCCCTCTCCGCCGTGGCCAATTCTTCATTGACTTTTGTATTTAGACGTATACACGCGAAATGCCAACTAACGTAACTCCAGTTCAGCAGCACACAACTAACGAGCAGCAAACAACTAACGAGCAGCACACAACTAACGAGCAGCACACAACTAACGAGCAGTCTTTAGAAGCACGAAAGAGCCTTAACTCCAGTTCCTGCTGTAATTTCTTTGCTTCTGCTTTTTTAGCCGCGTCGAGTTTTTTCAGTGTCTCAATTTCATCCGCCACCTTTGAGCTTAGAAGTTACCTTAAATACATCGAATCTAAATCTACTTAGACGTACAGGTGGAGAGGATTCATTTTGGCATAAAAACGAACCTACTAGTTCTTACATGTACAGACACACGCCCAGGAGTTTCAATGCATGCTGTTGTCCCTGTTGCCATCGTTCATGATGACTGTAGAGACGTGGCCTGACAGTGTTTCTATGATACTGGCAGCACTCGACAAACCTTGAGGTTTCAATTTCACGTAAGTATGAGTATAGTAACAATATAACTGTTCTGCCTTTGAAGCGGCCTTCGCTTTGGCACCCTGGGCTTTGGCTGCGCTCTTGAGTTCTTTCAGCTTCGCGTTGTTTAGACCGTGTCTGTATTCATCTCGGTCCGCGACCCACCTTGGTACTACAACCCTTGTTACAACCGACACCTGTATTCTTTTGAAAAACAAAGGGTAAACATTTTTACCGAAGACACCAAATGCCGAGATGAATAGCTTGTTGATCATGAAGGCCCTAGAGGAAATTTAAACTAACACTCTAACTACAACTAAATGTCGAAAGGTTACTACCAAAGAAACTATAAACGCCAAGAGGAATGAATAGAAAGGTGAATATTATGGAGTAGAAGATGAAGATAAAAAAAAGGTCGACCAACATAAGTTTTTTTCGGCTTTCAGTTCATCGAGTTCGGCTTTCATTTTGTGGATCTCCGATGTGAGCTTTCGATTATCTTCCTGTTCATCGCTCTCAAAAAGCCCAAAGCATTTCTCGAAAAAACAAGGTCCGCTTGCTCTTGATGTTGAATCAGAAGTAGAAGAAGACGAAGGTCCCCTTGCTGGAGCTGTGGATGGATCGACTGCGTTGCTGTAATTAGAGGGAGGTTCGTCTTGGCCCCTCTGTTCCCCGTTCGATGCTATGCTCTTCTCGCCTCTTAGGACAGCCATTGATTCATTGATTGATCGATTGATTGATAGATGTGCCTATTCTTGAGGCATAGGGGCTACCAGCTCTGGGGGAAGGGGGTAAGCGAACTACCTAAAGCCTACCCTTAATGTAAGAGCCATGGTCAAGGTCGAAGGGTAAATCGCCAGCCAAGTCCAAAGCAGGTACAACTGCACCTCCTCCATGCGCTTCTCGCAACCGGTCGAATAACACTCTGTACAAATCAGACAGTCCTCCATCTTAATCCTCCATCTTGAGAGGTAGTACATCCTCGACGGTGCCCTTTTTGCCTTGAAAAAAGCCTCTTGCGAGCGGATGCTTCCCAAGATGAATTAGGGGAGGCCTTAAAGAAAGCGACTTGACCTGCTACTATGCTACCAGCTAAGAGGCAAGCCATCGAAGTTGCACATGTTCGTCTTAGTAGCTTATCCCACGACCACCAGGAGCTCCTCTTCTGGCTTACATCAGCCGCATTTGGAACAACGAACTCCTTTGCTTTTCCATTTTCCTTTGCCGTAAGACCAGTTTGTTCGTCTGCAATATCACTACCACTTCTACCAGCGAAAAGACTGGAGACGGCATTTTCTTGAGGCTGAAAAAAAGTTGTAGGACTAGTACCTTGTGGTTGTTGTAAAGTAGCATCTGGCAGAAGTGGTTGCCTGATGTTTTTCCTAGCTTTTTCTGCACCATCATGCGCATCGTAAGCATCATCAGACGCAGGTGACACGACTTGGGAGCCCTTTCCGGTTGGAATATTAGACAGTAGACCATTCAGAGCTAGCAACTTGCAGCTGAATGAATGAATGAATGAATGAATGCACCCACTCCAGGAGTGTGATATAAGGTTTGTGGAAGAAATCTCTCTCTCTCACTTAGTCATCTAGTATTATTCGTTTCTTGAGCTTCTTCTGTACTAAACGTCGGTCTCTAGGTTTCTCTCCCACACGACACTCAGATTCAACATTGTTAGGAACGTATAGCCTTAAATCCGATCGGGGTAGCGTCTTGTTCCGCCGTAGTGCTACGTGGGAGCGCAGTGCAACCCAAGACAGGAGATCCAGCGCAATCATGAAACCGGGAAAAGGAGGTCGATGTGTCGATGTAGGGAAGAACAACTAGGAAAACGGATATAGTAATTTTCAAATCTCATATAAGCATGCATAGACTACGCTTTTGCCTGTGGATAGGGACTAACGACCTGGAGATCAGATCCTATAACGCAGTGGCAGTAGGGAAAATCCGAAGGAAAACCAACCGGATATTTGTCTTCAAGTGCATGATGAGTAATATGTATTGTTGCACGGGATAAGTCTACGATTGTGATCAAGGTGAAAACTAACCGGTTGTTTTACTTAGTGCTTTGAGCGCCGCAGGGCCTAAACCTTCACCAAAGGGTGAAAGCCAATCAAGATTTGCAGCACACCTTGGAAAGGGAACAAAGGGGAATAAGTCCTGCTATGGGATGAGGTTAGTTACATAAGTATTATAAGATTCAGACTGATGCGAAAGTTCCAAAAGTGCTATGTATAAATTAATGCAGTTCTTGCCATTCTATTTCATAAAAATGGCCTGACGAAGTCCTCCTCTTTTTGTTACGCTTTTTGAGCTTCTTGCTACCCCTAAGACCAGGAGACTCGTCAACCGTCGACATCTTCTTCACGCTTTAGAGCCTCGAAGACAGAGTCAAGCGTGATATATATCGGAATAGAAGTGACTATTAGGAGTTTTGCTATTCCGCCAACATGCTTTTCTTACTCCTTCCCTCTAGGTCTCTCGAAGTCTCTCTTCAAGTTGTACATATTACGGAAGACTCTCATCTTTTCTCCGGAATTCACTTCCTATAATTCTGCGTTTTTGTGTTGTACGTTTTCTGGTATGACTTGTCTACGTGGCCTTTTTCTCATACATCTCGCGAGGATATGCGATCCCAACTATAACCGGCGCTCACGAAAACGTGCTTCTACACCCGATCATGTGCACTGAAAGTCACGGGGATATCATTCATTGTGCAAGCTTTTGGGGCAGCAGTCCTTGAAAGCATAGCAGTCATTTCTCAGTTAATAAAACCCGTCGTGTAGAAGTCTCAGTTCCATCAAGGGGTCCTCGCAGAAGGTGTCTGCGATGTGGGGATCACGTGTCAGCAAACAACAAACTCGTAGGCTACTAGAATTGTTCCTTCGACGTCAGCCACTCAATATTTTCCAACAACCCCGAACTGGAATAGAGTCCCGTATGTCCTAAGGCATAGTAGAGTTGGGCTAAATTGGCCATTAGGAGTTGTAATCCTTGTCCGAAACTCTGCAAGGCTTCCGGTCGTTGCAAAAACAGCGGATATTGTCGAGAACTTTGCTCGCGGAGGGTTAGAAAGAGAGAGAGAGAGAGAGAGAGAGAGAGAGAGGGGTAGAGCGAGAGACTCAAGTATCGAGCAGCAAGACTATCTGATGATGAGAGTCTATTCGGCAATCTGCCTAAGAGCAAGACTATCTAAAAGAGACTCAACTTTACGGAAGCACTTCCTTAGACTTGGAGATGAAAGGGGCACAAATGATTATTACGCATAGTAGTGAAGTTGATCTTTTAGTGGTTAAGTTCATCTTCATCATAACTCTTGCAATACCCCTGTCCCTCGCATCAGGTAGTTAGCCGCGCTCATCCAACTGGTCATCGACGTCGATCGCCGAGTCACTTCACCACTCTTCCGCTGCAAAAAGCACCGACTCGTCCCCGTCCATCGGAGACTGTTTCGCAAAGGTACATCTAGATACTTCGAAAGCAGCAGCACGAAGTGGCCTAGGAAGCCGAGCGCCGTGTTCCTAGCATCGCGGTCTCTGGCGTCTTGGCAAAGCAAAGCAGGAATCGCCTCTAGTGGTAACTCTCGGATAGTCCGAACGTTCGCTTTTGTACCGCCACCTCCGGTTGTAGTTCCAGTCGAAGACTTGGTACTTGCAGCAGCTCTCGGAGAAGACGTGTTATACGTTTCGATGGGAAAAATCGACATCAAGTCTCGCAGCATCCATGCTTGGCGTGCGCGCAGACATGCTCGCACCTCAAAAAATCGGTCCGAAAGCTGGTGCTGCGAAAATCCAAAGCCTGTACAACTTCGCAGATAATTATTCCGCTCGTCAGGTTGAGCCGTTATTCTCACGGCTGGAATTTGCGCAGACACTGGCACAGCATCTTCACTCTCCATATCACGAGGACTACCGAAATGCTCCTTATCGAAATCGTCTTTGCTAGAGAAGATGTCCCTAGACCTGTTGGTTCTAGCTGCTGCTGCTCCAATCCGTGATGTTGAAGATGTTGCTGTCGAAGGGGCACTCGAAACAATTTGTTCAACTGCTGTTTTAGTAGGCAATTTTGTAGAACTCGAAGAAGTAGGGGATGCTTCATTCTTGCCCTCAAGGAAGTCCCACAATCGCTGGGCATTTCTTCTGAGCTCCTCTGCTCTACTAGATGACGTATCTGTTGGCGGACCATTGACAGCTACACCAGGTCCGTCATCTTCTGCACAATGAGGAGGCAAGTACATAACTCCCCTAAACGTCTTCACATCATCGTCTAGGGCCTTTGGTAGCTTCTTGGATTCTTCCCGCAACTCTGCTACCATACTTCGTCGCCCTAGCACCTCCTTCCGCTTTAACTCTAACTCTGTGGGTATTAGAGGCGGAGCGGGTCATCATGGGGAAGAGAGGACGGGACGGAAATGAGAAGATAATGATGTTGTGCCAATTTTACTGAAAATTTTTTCTCAATATTCATCGTTTGCTGTCGCGAACGCAATGAATTCATTGAAGTCTACGATCAAATCCAATCTTTCATGTTTATGCAAGGCACCTTAACCTCAAATCTCTAGTCGCTACCCGTTTCTTTCCCACGGCAGTTCTCAGTAGAGATACTCTTCGTTCTGCATCCGTGCACGCTCGAACGCGTGCACGACGCTGGTTGCTGAACAGGGTCGCTTCTCTGATCCTTTGGGCTAGTTCCTTTCGCAAAAACGCGAGTTGCTGTTCTCCTCTAGCACGTTCCCTTTCTACGGACTGCAAACTGCGAGCTTGCTCAGCGAGGAGGCTTAGTTTCACTGGTTGAGAGCGACCTGCACTGGACGAGGAAGAAGCCTTCATCTTGGTGTAGTCTATTAAATGGATGCTAGAAGTAAGAGTAAGGGAGGTTACGATGTTTTAGTCTCTATTATTCGTAGTTGCGCAAAGAGTACGTACAAGTTGTAGCAGCCCACTTACTCAAATCATGATGTCGATATCGAGAATCAACGAACGGGCGCAGGAGTCAGACCGACATACAAGGAACTAGAAATGGCAAAGATAAGAAATGTACTAAAGACGGACATTTTCTCCCTGCAGTTACCTGTCAATCATCTAAGTACTTTTACCAAACACTATCACGTTTGCTTAGCACAGCACGCACCTTTAAATACCTTTCAAACTGCCGCGAGAATTCATTGTGATTGACCGAGGAGCATGAACTTGAACGGTGGATACACTCTAGTAAAAGACATTGTTTGTAGGGGCTGCAAATACAGTTTTTATTCAGGAAGAAATGACATTAGGAAGGCAGATGGGGTAGCAGGCGCCGCACATGCTCTCTTCAAGATCCTGCTCTATTCCTCTCTTATTTCATTTTTCGAACTCGTACAAGATTCGGCCGCCTCAGAAGAACAAGAACAACTACGTCGTGTCGGCGAGTACATGCAGCATGCTGCTCGTCTATCTTCGTTCCCGTACTCATTTTCACTCGTCACTGATATTCACACACCAACATGGGATGTTCGTCTCATCTGTAGTAGATCCGCCAGACTCATTGTCTGCTTTCTTTGTTCTGTCTGATACATACTGACAACGATTATTCAACTGATACTGACAACGGTTATTCAACCGATTATCTTGACAACGGTTACAATCTAATGAACTAGAACTTGGACAACGATAGTTACACTTAAAGTTCTCTTCTGACAACGGTTTTTTCTACAACAAGGTTTCTGACAACTACGTGACAAGGACAACGGTTCATCTCATCAACTTTGTATAGGTTTCTGACAACTGTCTGGTTCTTGTTCTTACCCTTAGTGCGCGGATCAACAAGAGGCAGCTGCAGGTATTTGTACAAAGTGTTTGAGATCGGTTCTCATTACTCCAGAAGGATTCATTTCTGAAAACAGGTCCTATAAAGAGTACACACACGAGGACAAAGTAGATTCTATCTTATTCTATCGGAAAAGATACTATTGCCATATCTTCCCCACTAGTTAGCAGCAGCTTTATCGACCTTGCGCAAGCCCTGTTGAGCCGCACCACCTCGCATATCCTCATAACGCCCATCCTCAGGCCCAGCCGTTCCACCACGCATAGTATCCACTAATGGCTCTTCCAAGGTGGTCTGAGATTGAAAACAAGGAGTCGTTTGTCATGATGGAGAACGATTGAGTTTGAATGAAAAACAAAAAGTAGAAAAGAAAGGTTGATACCATTAGGTACTTTCCTATGTGAGAAAGAGTGATGAATATCACGTTGCATGGATCAGCATAAAAATAGAAATTTCGTTGCGTGGATCAGGACAAAAATGGAAATTTTTTTCACGTTCAAGTTCAGTTACTCAGGACATCATACCCTAAAATTAGTCTTCAAATCAAATTACCAGCTGTCCGGCCCCTGATCCTCCTCCAGGTTTTTTTGCATAATCGGGGATAACGGTTGAAAAGAAACGTGCTAACGCTTGAAAATACCCAAACGGATTAACTTCCACTAAATCATTGTGACCAGCTTGTTGCGGAAAATACGGAGGATACCTACTGATTCAGGAGAAGAATAAGAGGTAGTTGGGATAGTCGTCTTGCATGTGATGCGTCAACGCGCATGAAGTCGAACTGAATGAACTCGTCGAACTAGAAGATGCACGAGGAGCCGTTTTCCCGCTTATCCTCCTGGCAAATGTGCTTCAGGTAATACCAGCTGCTCCTCGTGGTCGGTGCTTTGATTGATTGATGGTAGAGAGGCAAAAACAAGGAAAGAGAATGAATGTGCCTAACAAGAGGTATTTGCCCGACAAGCCTACTTAATTCCTGAATTTGAAACAGAAAATCACACTGAATCTGAAACAATGACAAACAAATTCAACAACTTGTGAAGTTTGACAAGAAACCCGATCAAAGTAAAATTGAACGGAGAGAGAAGATGATACGGATGTGGTCCAACATTTTTACTTTTTTTTGAGAGTCTTTTTTCTTTTTGAGACAGAAGAAATAGGAGAGTTCTTGTCAACAAGAAAGTAGTCGTGGGAGGTGGTGCAAGTGTGATTCACAGTACTTACAGTTCTTCATTTCCACTCGGAGAGGAAGCCAGTACATTAATCAAAGAGGAAAAGCTGTCTGAAAGAATTGAGATGTGAAATACAACAGAGGGCTGCCTTCACCCCTCATATACCCCCAACCCAGGCAGTTAAAGATGTGATGATTTTTTGGATCTCCATAGGAGGGCTACACGTCCCTCTGGAGTCCAGTCTTTACTTAATCGAAGACTTTTAGTCCTTACAGTTACAGAGATGAGTTACTCGTAGTCATAAAGAATCTTCCCGCTTTTATTTTCTCAACTCAGGATCAACTTGTTGTGGTGACGCATAAACTCTAGATGAAGTCTCCACGCATATGCTATTTGCGATCTCCGAAAGCTGATGGATCTCTAGAACGACTGCACGACTCGGCGGACGCAGAAAGATTCTCCTCGAAGATTCCAAGCAGTAATAGATTTTAGGATACTCGCGCTAATAATGTTCCAGTAAAACTAGGTATCTAGTACGCTTAGTTACAAAGCAGAACGAGCGTCATTTAAATGGTGAAACAAAAGAAATTTGCTCAAAGAAGGAGAAGGTGAGTCAGAGTTAGCGAGCAGGTTGATCTTATGCCGCCGACCGATGTCAAACGCAGCCAGAAGTAGAGGTTTTTTTGATGCTCTGCAGGTGCTCTGGTGCCAGTATTTCGTCGACATTTGCAAGAACTAGGGACAGAGGGATTCTTCTCGTCATTCGTATCCTATTTATAGATGTGGATCTTTTCCTTCTCACAATAAAACCTTAAAGGTCGCGGTTCTCTCATCGTCGTAATGTGATGAAACGACGAGAGAAAGTAGAACGCCGCCGCTTATCTTCTTAGACATTCATGCTGCTCCTCCTTTCGCCTCCACCTATTCGCCCTGCCGCCGCTTCTTCTTGGGGATTCTTTTTTTTCTTCATAAAAGCGAGAGAGAGAGAAAAGCACACAGAGAAAGAGGCCACCTGGACAACGGGCTCGACAGCTGCTGGGCTGCGAAACCCCACCAACAAGAGAGAACAACAAGCAATGAAAAAAATGAAACTACTCTTTAAACTACTACTTTTAGTACAGGCGCTACGGCTTGATGGTTGGAATTTTCTACGCAACTGTTATATTGAATATCTAATTCTAATCAAGCAATTTTATAGTCTAACTCAGTCGTAGTACTGCAACAAACCATTATTCAACACAGCACTTCAATTGTTTGATGAGGATAATATCATGATCTGGTGACACGACCAAACTCTGAACAACGAATTAGACATCTTTTTTAGTGCAATGTGAAACAATCACGAGAACGGAAATGGAATCATTCAGAAAATCATCCAAGCTTTCAACCACATCGTATGCACAGCGTTCAATCACGACATTGATGAAACTTACTAACTAAATTGAAATACTTATCGAACTTCAGAAAAACAACATCAGTTCGCGATACGTCCATTAATATTGATTCTTATCACACGTCGTCTTCTGCGGAGCGTAACTCGTAACTCCCAAAGGCTCGCAGGAGTGCTAATTTACTGGGCATGTGCTACAAGAAGATCATGTCGAAGTCGAAGTCCACTCCTAGACGAACTGGCACTCCTAGACGTAGATGTTGTCGCATCGAGGCCTCACTGCGGTCAAGTGGCAGAAGAAGTGTATCGCCGGTTCTTCTTCGCCATTAGAGTCCAACTATGTGATTATAGTAGCTACTAAGTGAGTGAATGAGTGTACCTCGCATGAGGTGGCGCAGTGAGTTTTTCATGTCGATTCCCTACTGATGCTTATAAACAATACATTTATTTTTACAGACACACTATAGCACACCAGGATTTTTTCAAACAATCGTATCACGTGAGGGGAAGATGGAGATGGACAAAAGCGATGTTGAATTATTCCAATCTGTTTTATCAGAATGTTATCTGGAGATATTAAGAGAGATGTTGTTGTCCTTAGAGATGCAGCAGAGCTGGAGGTGGTTCAAAGTGAATTTACAATTTTCTTTCGCATAACAAGATTTTTGTTGATCTTTCATCACTGCTGATCTCATCGTCGCTGCGTCGCAACAAGCATGTTGATGTTTGGACGTGGTCATGGAATCGACGCCGTAGACTTGCTGTCCTTCTAGATTTAAGGGAAGAAGGAAGTAGAAGACGTCGACACGCAATTTGCAGAGCCCACCACGACGTAGCGCAGAGAGCAGATGTAAGTTTGCTCCTCACGCAAAAAAGGACCTTTGTTCTTGCTTTGATACAAGAAAAGAACTACAAGAAGCTGTGGAACTGCTTCAAACGATTTTCTACCTAAATGTTCTTGTTGATTGCAGGTATTTAGACATGACACTTTCTGGCCATGACAATTTCGGATCTTTTTATCTTCTCCAAAGTCATATTTGATTGATGTGGTGCTTCTACCATGAAAAATTGTCGTGAGCAACGGATGTTGACATCTCTAATCTTGTACGAAGATGTCAGCATCGAGTCGCACTCAGTATTTGACCCAATACGAGAAGAAGGTTCTAGTTACTCATCCTCCCAGACTGCCATTCATAGAGAAAAGATGGAGATTGCGTTTACGTCGACCTTCATTTCATTGCAAGTACAACGATCTCATGCTTCATCATCATGAACAAACAAAACCAACGACAAGCAAGAAGTACTCAACATTTTAAGTAGCGGGATAATTCTTGCGAACTTTTATCAAAGAGTTGGATCTTCTTGTTTTGCGACATTTGCTGAACTACACAACTGGTGCGAAGAAGAGCCCATACATTTCTACAACTCTCAGCACTCAATAGAACGAGCGGTCGATTTTTGATCTTTTCGGGTTCAACAACACGGATGAATTTCGCAATTCTATCGTCCTTGAGGCAAGTACGAGACCTACTTGCCATCAAGAAAATAGACATCGATTACCTCCTTACAACAAGATTTATACTAACGAAGGTGGGAACTTCTATCGGACCATCACTACTTGAAACGACCTCCGAGAAGTGAATGAGGTACTTAATCAAGTAAAGATGAAAACAGAGACTACACAGTATTTCCTTTACTATGCCGACTAAACAGAGACTACACCAAGCCAGTATTAACAAGATACAGCTTTATTGGAAAGAGCAGGGAGGGTGGCTCTGCGGTTGTCGACAAAAAAATGTCCGCCCGTACGGCTGTTGTAAAATCAAAACTCATGCCTGTTTTTTAGTGGCGAGGTTCGTTGTCTACTTGTTCTGTGTTCTTGTATTGCATTTTGATGTGCGTACGATCAATCATTTACATGATCGACAAACTCCGCATGATCTTTAAGCCCTGCTCACGTACATAGGGAACAAAGTGTCATCACTTGCTCTCTTATCTCTTGGAAATAAAATCGCTCGCCTCAACCACAGCAACAGCACTTAACTACTCTCTTCATATCTAAAAAAGGCCTTCTCCACGCACAGCAATCGAGCTACCTAATCCGCAAGAACTATCGCTATCATCCTAGGCACAACCGAACGACTCGACCGAAAATATCTCTCAAATTCCCTCAGAAAAAAAACATCAACATCTATTAATGTCGAGCATCGACTAAAGAATTCAAATGCAGTCGACATTGAAACAGAAACATCAGCATCCTTCAACAGATCTCGTATGCGTGAAATCTAGGTGATGAAACAACTGTCAATCTTTGGAGCTATCAAATTGCCATCCTTGACCAGCACATCATCTTTGGCTTTGACGCCTCTACGTCCAATTAACACGTAGTCGAAATACAAAGCCAAAAATGATGCCGCAGTGGGATGCAAGTTCGGTAGCGCAGTCTTAATAATCTGAATCTTCGGCCAGTGGTTCCTCGTGGGCAACCAGTCTCGTAGATCTTGCTGCCTTCTTCTGCGCGGGGTAAGCAACTACGCAGACCCAGGTGAAACATTGCGGCATCAGACTATCCCTGTTCACTAGAATGTCGACGCGACCGTGAAGAGCGACTTCATCTCCCTAAAGAAGTTCTTCCACTCAAGTGCAAGTTCAGGGACCTCGATCGAGCCAGAGTCCCAGGTGTTTTTTTTTCCATAGTGCACCGACCGGCAACGATGTAAAAAGCGACAACGATGTAAGAGTTGTGATCAAAGCGTCATCATGAAAGCGTCATGGTAAAATCGCCGTGATGTAACCCGAAGTGGTAAAATCGCCGTCATGGTAAAATTGCCGTGGTAGAAGCGCAATTGCGGAGTCGTTGTGGTAAAATCGTCATCACGGTGAAAACGCAGTGGTGGAGTCGTCGTGGTGGATTGAGCACCAAACTATCATGAGAGAGCCACAGGAAAAAAAGACAAGACTCAAAGAATAAACTGAGAAAACTACTTAGACACACAACCCAAACAAGGGATCTTCGGTTGTGACAACAGGCATAGATATTGAAGCGCAGTAGTGGTTATGAACAGTCGTTATGGATATGGAGTGTTCTCGTTTGCTGACTGGTAACTAGTACTATCGATAAATCTTTCATTCTATCACAAGTTACGACTAGGAAACAGAGGAATAAGAAAACCCTAAACCATATACATAGAAAAAGTGAGACAATTGAGTCAAAAGAAATAGTGGAGGAGTGCGCGAACAACTCCTGACCTGTTTTGAAGAGCAGAATCCTTGTTCTTTTCTAATACGGTGTTTCGAAGTCTCTCCATTATCTTGATCTTGCGCGTCGATCAGGAATCGATCTTCTAGCTTCGGTCTACTATCTGATATGCAGAAACTGATCACTGATAAACCCTAGATCGAATAAAAAGATAACTCACGATTGATTTAAAGTCCACTGCCACGCACACCTCCTCCAAGGACGACTCAGCATGCCAACGCCAATCTAACAAACATCAAGATAGTCGCTCCGTCTCGTCGCTCAGTCACAAGTCTCTCAACAACAATCGTAGCAACAATCGGAGCAACTGTGATTTTCACAGACTTTTTGCGTACGACATCTTCTCGAAACCAACAAATCACACATGCACTGGAACCATCTCGACTGTGAAACGAAGTTCACCACTTCTACAGACAATGGGTCAATATGCATTTCATCGTACTACGTTGAACAGACCATCCTCGAACCAAGAACTGACAATTCACTATAGCACATGAAAGAAAAAGAGCAGGGAGTACAGGCATCATCATCAGAAGATTAACCCACAAAACTTCTTCGTAGCAGTCCTCTCCCCGAAACAAACGCTCTCATACATTAGCTCTGACGACACACTACTCAACGAAAAGAAGAAAGATCTGGTTCAGCTCACCAGCCCATTACACACTCACCGATACTCGTCGTGACCGTTCTTCTATCTTATCCTCTTACTTATTCTTTTGCCCCAAACCGACAGCTACGCAAGGAATCCCACAAGAAGAAAAGCACGCTCTTTTGCCTTTCATTCTGCTTTGAAAAGTGCGACGCTATATTACCTCATTATCACGGAACAAGACAGAACTACCTTCACAAGTTCTCCCGGAACAAGACAGAGCTCGAACTTGAGCCAAAGCACTATACTAGTGAAACAAAAACATAACCAACAGTACCTATCATCCTCTGGAATCAGTTCGAACAGCTTGCGACTATGCTCAAATGGCACCACGCGGTCTGCTCTGCCATGGATTCTTAGAGCATTTTCAAAAAAAAGTCAAGGATTGCTTAGAATATCGTCGCCACCCTTCACGAGGTTACCACTTCTGTGAGAGAGTGAATGAATGAGTGAGTGAATGTGCCTAGCATGAGGTGGTGCAGTGAGTTTTTATGTCGCTCATAATATAAGAAGCGTTTTCACGCCTAGCTTCCGGATATTTCTGCCATTGAGAAAGAGATCCACACACCGAAAAGTCGAACTTGGTTTACATGCGCCTTGTGGATTGGGATCAAGCACTTGGATGCCGGACCTTGTGGGTTAAGTGCAGAGAATGGGCATAGCCGACCTTGTGGTAAGAAAAGTGGTGTCAGTTGTAGGTGAGAGGATGCTCGAGTACTTCTAATTGTGCACGACCTGCTGGTAGCAGTGTAATTGTGGAAGGTTCAGGATCATGTAAAGCTCGCTCCTCCTGTAATATTACGATAGTACAACTCTAAGAATCGGAATAACAACCAATGGAATAGTGGAGGTACAGCATCGCCGAATGGAGCACCACTCCCGCACAGGGAACTTTCGTCGCTAAGTCTAGTATCGGCCCCGTGCCTACACTCTGGCCGTAGAGTATTATTCGGTTTGGATCTACCCCGTGCTCGTCTACAAGCCATCGGTATGCGGCTAATGCATCCGCTGTTACGTGTCGAAATGATGGCGTTATCTGGAGAGTGCATGTTGATGATGGCGTTATGTGGAGAGTAGTGCGGCAACTACGAAGAAACACGTTCTGATGAGAAAAAACTCGTGCAAAGACTTTATTAGAGAATTTCGAGTTGTTTTCGCAAACGAAACATTAATAAGATCTACAAGACTCCTATCATAGTAAGGAGTACCCTTCTCGGATGGCTTGCCGGATCCACCTCCTTCGCCACTGTAGCAGAGTCCGCAACGCCGACGCCGTTGAATACTTCTACGGATAAATGAAAAATTCAAAATCTTTTTCTCTTTACTCTGGGAAGATTGTTAGTTGTTGTAAGTCCACAAATGAGATGATGAATACCGAAGTTATAGTATAGTACTACCCCTGTCAAGATCTACAGTATTAACTACTTGTAAATATAAATATGACACGACTTTGTCTCCACCAGTCCATACACATCATGTCTCTCCTTCTTGTTCGAAGCTGTAGAAGAAGACGAGCCGCCCGCCTGTTCCGCAAACAGCGACTTCGGAACACCGCTTTCACGCATTACTTTCTCCTTCGACCTAAATCTGTACCTTGGCGGACCATATCCACTGTACTCCACTGCACATACATCCACGTCTAATGCCTCTGCCAAGTCACAATATACAGGAAGCATCATGCCCATGAAATGAAAGAGATTGAGATCATGTTGGATAGAGGTGCTGGAAAAGAAATAAGAAAAACGCTAGAAGTTAGAAGGCTGCATACGCAATACCAAGGAAACATGCTGTAAGGAACTACAAACACGCGGATAGTCCGCAAACAGATCGAAGGAAAAAGACACCCTCAGCATAAATGTCCGTCGCATTCCCATGGCAGTGCAGTACTACTAATTTCGTCCCTGAAAAGCCCGTGCCGCTCCCTTTAGAGGCTTCCCCTAGCTTTTCGTACTTCTACAACGAACTTGTTCCTTACTTTTCGTACTTCTACATTCTTCCATGTTCTGAGAATAGAAACAGAACAACAGCTTTGATTTCCGTCAAGGTCAAAACATGCTTCAAAAATGAAAACGTAACCTGCCCTCCTTCTCCTTGCCCTTCTCCTGAATCCTTCCCATCTTTACCATCGCCCATTTGCTGGAGCATTGGGGGACTTTGGAGAGGTCTTAGCCCCAGCATCGCCCGTCTTCCTGGCCGTATGTAAGCTGTCACGATCAGATTTCCTCGCTCCGTCTTCAACTGAAACAGCCTCGCCTGACCACGTGCGCGCCGGGAGTATGAAGATTTCATTTTGAAGTAAGAAGTAGGTGGACGCGCATGATACTAGACAGAATGTTGACTTGAAGTCCATCAGCGGCACTAGAAGTGCATGATTGGCTTAAGTTGATGGAATGCTACGTCCGAAAAGAAGAACGATCTTGACTATCTCACCAGCCCGATGCCCATGATCGTTCTTCTATCTCATCCTCTTACGCATTCTCTTTCCGCATACATCGCGACTCAAATGCCACCGTTTGGCTGTAGCCAACTTTCCGATCATAAATAGATCGGATGTGCCTCTAATTCTGGAAGGAGAAACTCCAGTTCTAGAGAGGCTGTCCGCCCATTCCATCGTATCGCATAGGATGCTGGGTCTGGTGGCAGGAAACTAAAGCGATTCCGTACATCATCCAACTGGCACCTGTTCACACACACGTAGCACCCCAGTGCGCATGAAGTGGAGCAGTTGGCTCCCATTATTCGAAAGGAGAGCTTGGGAAAGCAGCGCCTACCGGTTTTTATGTGGGGTAAATAGCTTGGCTAAGCGATTAGGTTATTTTGTCCATTTTCTCCTTTCGCAGCTTGCCGAAGTGTACTTCTTCCAACGTAAGTCGTCGTCCACTGTAGTTCGCAGAACCAGTCGGCTTCGTCCAATTCCGTAGGGTCCCGTCCGTGCGAAGTTGGCGGGTCAGGATAAAAAACTCACCAAAAGCAACCAGTACTGCACGAGACGAGAACCGGAAAACATTATTTCGTTCGCTTAGTATACGTACCTGATCTAGTTTTCCAGTCTTTAACAATGCAAGCGTCTGACAGGGGAATTGTCAGTACTGCGAGCTAAAATAACTATTCGCATTTACAGCATAATGGGTCGCACTACGTTACTCTCGCCTTCTACGTTACTCTCGCCTTCTACGTTACTCTCGCCTTCTACGTTACTCTCGCCTTCTACGTTACTCACGCCTTCCAGAAACGCTCAGCTCTCCACGTCTCTACAAAGTGCTCCATTTTCGCTCCCACCGATAGAGTACTTAGAACCCAAGAGTACGTATCCAGCGGAAATAAACAGAGAAAGAGAGAAAAATTGATAGTTCAAGCACCACTGAAATGCACAAAATCATTCATTTTTTACGGTTTCGGCAACTACGTGACATCTACTGGGTGAACCGCACCTCTATATGGACCCAGTAATCATTTGCTGAATCTCATTTTCTTTCTCAGTGAAGTTTGGTCAATTTTAACTTTTCTGGCCGTTGAAGGGAGAGAAGTGATGCGGGGATAAGGGATTTAGGCTTGCGCGACCGAACTCGTAGCACGCACACAGATTCTGTGGTTGTTGCCTTTCATCGTCCTACCTCTCCTGTATCTCTCGCCTTATTCACTCAGAAACAGAGTCTGAGTCTGAGGACCGGTTTACAAGATCAGATAGCACCTGTCTTAGTTGAAAGCACCCGATCTAGAACTGCAATGTGTGACAATAACACATTTTTTAATCACCGACATTTCTTCGTATGGTATTGTCTTACCTGCCTAGGGCAGCACGAACGGAAAAGTTCCCACGCTAAGCGCTTTGAAAACACACTCTTCTCTTTCTAAAGGTGTCTCCTACATCTCTAACAGAGCGTGAGAGAGAAGGAGAGCAACTCGAGGTTTTTTCGAGTAGAATTGTTGTGATTTGGAGAGATGTTGTGAGATTTAACTCAGATTTCAGCAACACCAGCATTTTTTTGTTGCCTTGTCCAAAAATTCTTCTAAACTCAAATGTATAGACGCTGGCGTCCTCGTTTCCTTACGGTCTTGGAGGTATCAGGGAATCAGGGAAAGGACAATGTGTGTTGACCGCTGCAAGGACCACGTCAAGTGTTAGAAGAATCTTGTGTTAGAAGAAGTAGAACTACATGAGCAGTAGAGCGCCGCATACTAGTGATTCGACTACTTCTGATTCGACTAAAGGTTAGGTTAGGTTCCAAATGAAATCGTTCTAAGATGAACCACAACCACCGTGGAGGAGGTGATTAACGCGCCACAAACCCGGTATTTGTACTAGCAAATTAATGACGAGTAGAAATGGGGAAGGAGGAGCCACTACCATAAACAACGATAACAACTTTTGTGTCACATGATCTTCTATTCTGTGTCTCCGGTCCCATCTTCTATTGTGTGCTGTATTTTTAATATGCAGGAAGTGAACAATGAACATGCCTGTAGACTCCATGCCTGTAGACTACATCACAATTTAGGATGCAGTATACGACATAGAATCGGACACAGGTGCCTTCTGGGGGAATTACAACCTACTTCGATTTGACAGCTACAGCTTTAATCTGAGGATAATTTTTAGACCACGAGGACACAATAACAGCGAGTAGGGAAAGCACAACAACACGACCTGACTCTATAATCAACGAGCTACCAGAGGACCACATCGTATACAACAAACATGATGGTACATAAAATTCAAAACAAATCTGAGAGAAGTAGAGGCAGCAAATAACCTTGTGTTATTTGTCACAGTCAAGGATTGTAAGTTTCTGGATCGGTAGTGTTGGAAGTACTGAGGAGAAGTCCCTACATACTACTTCTATCCTTCTTTAAACAAACTACGATATTTGACGCCCGACCACAACAACAGAGGTGTCTTCGTACTTCCTCATTTTCAACCTCCAATTTTTATAATAAAGACGACGGACGTTGATCGACAAGTACATTCTTTAATTGGAAGGACAAAGATCAATGATATCGTTTTATTGATGTAGTTCGAGTCTGACATAATACTAAAGATGATGAATGTTCTACTAGTTCTAGTTTTGTTGCTTGTTGTAGGTTCACATAAAACCTCTTGGAAAGAGCCGTGCTGCTCCTTTGAGTTTTTAACGAGCGTGCGGCTTGTTCACCATAGTTACATTTGAACATACGACCGTACTAATACTTGTGCTTCTCATTTCTAGGTACAAGGTGATCAAAGAAGTTGACGAGAACACAAGTAGTTGAAGAAGATATAGTCCTGGTCGTATAAATGTACTAGCGAACTACACATTTAATTTCATTGTCATGAAGACAGACACGAGTTGTACACCCCTCTAAAGGATTCCTCGAAAATATGGTATTTTATCTCCCAAGAATTCAAGGAATCAACCTTTCTAAAGAAGGTGCACCGTGTAGTACTAAGCACTTCTTTTTCTACTTCCCGGTCCATTAGTCTACCCCATACAGGTAACGGAGACAAAGAAGATGAAGTCGTGCAAAGTATTTACTCATTTTCCTTACCAAGAAGCATTATCTGTCTAAAGCATTAAGCATTTGTTGTTTTTCCTTATATTGATTTTTCAACACCATAGTTACAAGTATAGTTTGTCAACCGAACAAAGTATACAATGTGATGTAGTGAAGATGAAGGAGATCACTTCTTTTTCCCGGTAGGTGCACCAAGTGGGGGGAACTCGTCGAGCATTTTTGCTTGATCTTTCGAGAATCCACAGGCTTTACATGTGCGGTCAGAGAGTGCATTACGCAACGTACAGCGAGGGCAAGTCCAGTCGACCTCTTCTGCTTTCGTCGCTTCCTCTTTGTTGCCGAAAGAACCCGTCTTCCCAGTATTCGGCTTTTTCGCTGTACCAGCGTTCTTCTTCTTTTTCGCGCTGTTGATGGAATGAATGAATGAATGTGCCTAGCATGAGGTGGTGCACTTGGTGGAATAGTTGTTGGCGTTGTTGTTGTTGGCGTTGTTGTTTCATTTTCAAAAAAACGATGAAACGTAGAGGTAGAAGAATAAAATCTACTAATACTGTAGTTTAGGAGGAGGTGACATCTTCATTATAATACTTCATTCAGATTTTCTAACAAGAACTCTAGTAAAAAAGTACTCAGCCGCCGTGATGGTGACGAAATCTCCCATCGTCAAGCCCGGTCTCTGATTCCGATCATTGTTCTGCGTTCTCGTCTCGCCACCTCCTCCGCCAGCACCACCCTGCTGTGAAGAATGATTCGAGTTTGCTCCTCCATTCTGGTCTTTTCCAATTCCACCTCCATTATGCTCTCTAGAACTAGAATAGTTGTTGATGTAGTGGTCGTTGTCAATCCCGAAATGCTTTTGTAGGGTTCTTGCGAAGCCTTCCCACTGCTCTCGATCGTCTTCCCACTCGCGCCCGTTGCCAGCCATGAAATTCGCGTTGACCACATCGGTGAAGAGATCGTACCTAAATTTTTGTTGGTCTGGATTAACCAAAGCATGCTCGCAATTCTTACCCGCGATCAGACACTCATCGTCCATGTTGGTCTCTAGTGGAAAAACGAATGCAAAAATTCAAGAAGAGTACAATGCTGGTCGCTGCTCGGAAGTAATTCGCAACTCTGAAGCGGTTAATGCTGTTATTCCCCTCTGTTGCAGGTCCTGTTCCAGCATTTGCTCTGTAATATTTGGAGATGAAAAATAATCTGTTGGTCGTGTTCCGTACTAACAGTAAATACAGTTTACTTACTACAACTAGTAGTCGACATGATAGAAGGAAAAATACCTTCTTTCCCATACTGTTGGTGTTCAATAAAGAGGTCTTTGATCGAGGGTCCACGATGTCCTTTTCCCGGTTGCTTGCCTTTCCCCTTGTGCGCATTGAGTGCTGCGTATTTGCCTCCGTCTTTATTCCTAGTAACGTTCTTACCCCGTTGTCGCTCTCTTGGGGAAATGTATCCGGATTGATGCACCATGCTTCCTGCTCCACCCATGCCTCCTCCCATTGAAGAACTCTGCATAGTATGCTGTTGCTGTTGCTGCTGTTGTTGGCCACTTTGACCTCCCACTGTACCGCCACTTCCGCCCATCATGATGGAATTCGGATTGTAGACGTCGGAAGAGCCGTGGTAAAGCGGAGGCATTGGCGGTGGTCCTGGGTGGTTCAGACTATCATAGATGTTGTTTGATATTCCACCGGACACTCCTCCTCCTGGCATGGTAGAGTTGTTGTTGGGTCCTCCTGGTCCGCCAGCTGCTCCTGCTGCGGTTGTACTAGGGTTGTTCATGCTGTTGGTATTCATTATATTCGGATTGCCTGGCGTTCCCATAGTATTGTGGTTCCCGACAACTCCTGTCATGTTACTTCGCGGACTCGGGTTCATCATGTTCGAAGTCGCACTACTAGGACCCATTCCCATGTTGTTCGGATGCATTGATGTAGGCCCGTTGGGATGACCTGTAGGTCCTCCTCCGTGGCTGACATTCGATGCGCTTGCTGGTGCTACTGGCCCTCCCATACTTCCGGGATGCTGTCCCATGTTCTGAGGCTGCATCATATGTCCTTGCATCGATGCTTCTTGCATTCCCATGTTGCTTCCTTGTTGCTGCATACCAGGCCCCGCTGGGTTATTGCCGGTCATAGGTGGTTGCTCATAGCCGCCGAAACCAGGGGCCATTCCTCCAGGCTGATGCTGGTGTTGTGCATTGCCTCCCATTGGCTGCATATTACCGCCTCCTGGCTGCATAGTACCACCTGAAGCACCCATAGGAGGTCCTCCTCCCATGCTTCCGTTGCCTTGGCTTCCGCCTGGAGATAAGCCTTGCGGCATTCCACGGTTCTGGTTCATGCCCATGAAAGGGGGCGCGCGGTTGGGTGACTCCCACTGCTGGCGGGGTTGTTCCCACTGCTGTCCTCTTGCAGGTGACCGATCCCAGGTTGTTGCGGCAGGTTGCCTGTGAAGGCGGATAGGAGGTCGTTGGATAAGGCGATTATAAGGATCAGGAGGTCATTTTGATTAGAATCACTCTTTCTTATTTTGCCGGAGAAGTACAAGGGCAAGGCCAAAAAATCAAAATTGTAATAGTACATTCCATAGTGCTGGTGGCTCCAGTCGTATTGTGCTGCGTGGTTGTAGCCGTCGCCGTATATCGCTTGGTCCCTGGACAGATTTTAGAAAAAAAAGTTAAGATAGCAATGAAGAAGAGAGTCAATCATACACATACTTATAGTTATACTATACTAAAAAGTGATCCTATTCAATCATACTATCTTGACATCTTCAATATCTTCTCAAACTACATGACACTTTTAGATCTAGAATTCATTAGGTTGGTAGAGAAGTCTTGAAAGTAAGACGAGTATATCTTTAGTACTGTGCAACTCCTCGTCCAAAGGCATCGTCTTGCCGCGGTGAGTTCGCTGTCGAGTCCTGATGAATTTTATGAGATGATGAAAGGTTATTTGCTTCGACAAGACACTCAAATTCCACAGCATAATCAAATGCACTAGTAGTACAAGTAATCAGGAACAATGCTGAGTCAAGTGTTCTCTCAACAGCCAAAGAATCGAAGTCGTAAGTCCTGAATCAACAATCTCGTAGGCCCTAGAATTCAAGAAACGATCCATCCTTCTTCAAAAAAATGAAAATATTCGTTGTATCTTGTGCAACAGCACCGACCTCAAGAATCTTCTATCTTCCTACCTGTTGTCCCCCGCTGCCGCTTGAACTTGGCGCTCCCTGCCCACTCGAAGATGCTGTGGTTGAGCTCGATATCTCTGCTTTTGCCGTGGAACTTGAGCTGGTGGCCATCATTTGGTGGGGTGGAGGGATGCTGTTGTTGTAGTGGTGGTTTCCAGCTCCTCCACCTCCATTGTTGTACTGTTGCCCTGGTGGCGCATGTTGGTAGTACTGCTGTTGACTTTGGCCGTGGTGCAAGGACATAGAAGTATTGTTCAGGTGATGCTGCGGCTGCATCGTAGATGAGGTATGATTAGCGGAGTGTTGTTGTTGTCCATGATGTTGAGAAGGTTGTATCCCTGCGCCAACATGATTACCGCCCAATTGAGGAGGACCGCCTGCTACTGGGTTCTGGTGCATTCCACCTGACATGTTATTGTGCTGCATCATACTGCTACCTCCATGCTGTTGGTACTGCGAATGTCCTTGCATTTGGTCGTGCTGCGAAGAAGAAACGCTACCTCCTTGTTGGGCGTTCATACTCGTCATACCACCACCAGAACCTGGTCCATACATACCATAGCCATTGGGGGAATTTTCTGTGGGGGTCCCAACCTGTTGATGTTGCTGCATGTGTCCTCCCACATGCTGTTGCTGTGCTGCAAGAGACTGATGTCCCCCTGCTCCACCATTATTTCCAGCACTAGTGCCTCCTCCTGTGTTTTGATTTGAAGCAGTACTACTCTGTTGATGGATGGTAGTAGCAGATGATTGCTGAGCAGAACTACCTCCTCTGCTGTTTGAGTCGGTATTCTTAGAAGAGCTTGTTGTCGCAGCAGCCTTATCCTCTTGGATAACCGTCAGATCCTTCAAGTCTTTCCCCGAAAACACGATATAATCGTAAATCTCGTTTGACATCGGCACCTCCGGTTGCTTTCGCCCTTCTGTCCCAAATGACCGAACATTTTGGACGGCGATGGTGCCTGTTTTTCAATTTGGAAGTTGTAGAACTAGAATCATCATGAAGGATCTCATCAGGTACAGTTTCAAAGGTCCTTTACAATCCAAGTCCAAAATGTTCTCTACTCTGACAATGAACTCATTACAACAAAAAAGACACCATGCGATCTTCACAACGAATCCATATCCAGCAACGTTTTATTAGTAAATAGGAAGTACTTTCTTTCTGGTTAAGCTGTATGAGCACGCCTTCGTATCGTATGTCGTGTGTCGTTATGAGGGAGATTTTACTCCCTATGTACGGCACGCTCTGTGACTCCGTCATCTTGTCGGAAGCGCACGTGTGCTTTTCCTGTGTGCTTTCGCTGCAACGACCGCTGTGCTATCTGCTTCTGCTTTGCTTTTCTATGTGTTTCCGCCTGTTAGCCTGCAGCTCAGGTACTAGTGAATCGAAGATCTAGTACTGCAAGAGAAGCTGACTCTTTGTTCTATTCCCCGCGGCTTTAATATTCTAGTTCCTTCGCAGCCATAAAGAAGATACAGTAGAAATTGAAAACCGGAATCTTCCTTCCGAGGAGCTCAGTATGAAAAGCGCGAGATGAGCGACCTAGTGCGTTTCAAAAACTTGCGAAGAAGTGTATGTATACTTATATGTTGTTGAACGAGTTAGCTCCTCTATTATATTGGGGCAAGTATGAACTTCCTAGTTGTAGTTCCTCTCCTTCTTAAGAATCAATCTGAATTGCCGTACTACACTAGTACAAACAATATGGTGCACGATCAGAATAAGTGGTGGGGTACTTTCAAATCTGAAAATAGGACTCCTGAGGCAAATAACGCGTTCTAGTAAAATCTCATCTACTTCATACTTGTTTAAGTACTAGATGTCGTCGTAATTTGAAGATGGAGATAGTTCGATATTATAGAAGTGGAGGAAAAGTTGAGAAATTGTATGTATCCTTTATCTTCACTCGATGACTGAAGATGGTAGTACTTCTAAATCGGAAATTGGACATGGGGTTCGTAAAAGAAAATTCTTACAATCAATACTATATATCAATCTCTAGTACAAGAAGTAGAACGACCTCTACTGAAAAAAGCTTTGTGATTTCTAGCAGTCTTGAAATTAGAAGTCGTAATAATAGAAGTAGAACTACCTATGAAATTTAAGACAAAGGCAAGAGCACAAATGCTGTTCTTTGCTATAAATATTTTTGCTATTTTTTCGTCTAGTTAATGTTATTTGGTTTTTTCGTACCTGCTTCAGGGAAGAAACGAGGTACCAGTTTTTTTAGGTAGTGTCAACACAATATCGGGCTTCGAGAACCCAAAACACTACACCTCCTGTTGACCCATGGTTTTGCATTGGTGGAGGATGTTGAATGATGATGGTATTGAAATGAGAATGCAAGGATGATGATGTTATTTGGATATCTACTTCTCGTCATCAAATTCTTCTACGAAAAAATCCGCTTTTCAAGATATCCGCTTTTCAAGGTGATTAATTGTGAGAACAGGTGAGTGACAATTCCAAGATCTCTTTCGTTCTGATTTTTCAGTGGAGCTCCTTTTGAAGGAAATTCAATTTTTGGAACACATTTTGCACTCTTGCTTGCGGAGTTCCATTTGCAAGGGACTCTATTTGCAAGGAACTCTATTTGCAAGGAACTCTATTTGCAAGGAACTCTATTTGCAAGGAACTCTATTTGCAAGGAACTCTGTTTGCATCATCATCTTCGTCTCGTTTTTGCATTCTTTTATAGGAAATTTTTGCCATCTTTATTTCGTCGCACTTTTCGACACGCAGCAGGCTCCATTCATCATAATAATTCTGGTTGCATTTATTGGCAGTTGGTTGTGAAAGACAAGGGCACAGAAATTCGCTGCTGTAGCATACAGCATCTCGTTCAACTTTTCTTCGGAGAACACATGATATGAATTCTCGTGATTGGTCTCTTTACTTTGGTAGGGGTTTCTCTTTACTTAAGTAGAACTCCGTGCTCTTAGAGGACAGTCTGTTCGGTACCTGTGCAGTAGACCTAATTTTATGCAAGCTAGCATGATTTGGAAAAAAAGTTGTAATCAATGGATACTTGTTTTGCAGCAAGGATAAGCATAGAACTGGGACTTTTGTATTACACCAACTGCAACTTGCCTGTCGCTTGATGTCCTAGACAGCCATCGCAAATGAAGTTCAATAACGCTCTCGCAGTGTGTCGCAAAGCTGCACCCATGTGGAGGTCCTCTTCTCCTTGTACGGAAGGAGAGGACGCTGATTCATGGATGTCTCGATGCTCCGGAGTTTGTCCTGGAACAAAGTCCTGCTTGAAGCCAGCCGCAGCCTCGTTCGCCGCTTGTAACGTTAGACCCCTAGCCGCATACATATCCGCCACAGAAGGTCGTCGGACGGCGTCTAAGCGTCTGGACGCGTCCATGTAGCGAAGAAGGGCTGATGTAGAGGAGTCATTCAATCTGTATGGGGGAAAGTCGAATTTTCAAAGATGAGCTTTGTTCAGAGATGAAGTTATTAGACTCATACCAGACCACAGCGCAGGTTCATCTACGAAACGATCGTAGCTACAAAACAATACCTCCTGTCGTTTCGACGCCAGACGGTAGCTCGCTTTCTACAATTGTGGTCGTGTCTTCTTGATTTGCATCATCCTCCTGGAGGTTTCCATATTGCTCTACTGGTGCAGAAGAAACAACTCTTGAAGTAGTTCTGGGCCGTTTCGCATCCTCAACATCTCTTCTATTGAAGTGTTCCCTTCCACTGGGTCGTTCTTCTCTCCTCGTCGAACTGCTACTCGCATGTCCCTCCTGCCTAGCTGGAACTATCCTCGAACTAGTCCGAACTAGTCCGTTAGCCGGAGACGCTACTACCTGACGTCCTGCAGCAAGAGCCGCTGCGAAAGGATCGTTGTTCGTATCCCTCGGTACCTCACCTCGAGGCCCCAGCGCTGGAATCCTTCTAGCACCGACACTCAATGCTTGAACGCCTAATAGCTGGTCTCCTCCTGCGAATGCGAAAAGGAGTGTCGTAGCTCTGATGTTTCCTAAAAAGGGGCTACTACAAGCCATTTTGCTCGTATCTCGTAGAGGGCGTCTCCTCCCGACAGCGGCTTTCACCCCGAAGGAAGGGAGCCTCGCGGTCCTCCCTCTCTATAACGTGCTTTCCCTCATTTTTGTTCCTTCATCATTACTGAGCCTTGTCGTAAACAAGGATTCTAAGTATATGGAGATCAAGGCGGCGGGAAAAGTTTTAGGGTTACTCAGTAGTTTTATCAAAGTACAAGTAGCACATCCACATCGAGAGTAGTTCTGCGATCCTACCATTTTTTTTGAACGCAGTAACTTTGAGGATACTGCTCATCTACTCTTTCACTTCTCCATGGCCTTTTGTGTCCCTCAATTTTCTTTGAAAAATTTCGGATGGAGAAAAACCTTGCAAACTTTTTGATCCCGATACTCTCAACACTCATCGCACCGACCACAACTACAAGCTTCTTCATCCCATATCCGTATCCGTTGCAAAGGTGTTCCTCGCGGTAGACCTCAACTTCTCCGGAAAAATTGTCCGTGAACCAGGACAAGGAAAGCTACCCAATACATCTTGGTGTCCTCTCTTATTAGGTGGACCATTTATACGTAGTACTGCGTTTTTTCTTTTATTCTTGGATCACTTCCTTTCGTTCTAGGACCAAAATAGCTGCTGGGGTATAATTGAGTCTTGATGTTCATCAGTCTTCGTGTCGCACTACCACTAACAGCTTGAGGTTTGTATTTTCGTTTTGGTAATGGGCACTCTTCTTAGTTACCACCCAATGCCCAACCAAAACTACAGTGCCCATGCGATGAAAATGCCTCAATGGTTTTCATGATGCGATGAATGATGTCATGATGAGTTTGTGGTTGTTGCCGTCTTCAAGATGAAATATTAGTGATGTAAGGAATTTTCAATATCGAAGATGTTGAGTGAGAAAAATGTGTTTTCAATGGTTGAAGATCTTGTGTTGTTGATATCTTCCAAATTTACTGAGGAACTAGCTTGCTTCTCCCAGCTAGTCGTTGTGGACTTGAGATAAATACAAAGAAATAGTCGTCACGATGTGGTAAGACATGCTGAGTAAAATAGAGCGAGGAAGAGTAGATATACTTAAGTGGTTTAGTCAAGCATTATCAGTGTGCGTTATCGTGTAAAAAATGGTGTGTCGTGAACAACGAACGTGATGAATGTAGTAATTGTGATGGTGTACTGCTTGTATTTTGCTGATACTCTTCCCCCGGAGATAAATAGTAAGACGAATAAAACATACTTGCAGCAGAAGTCACTAACCCACGCAAAAAATAATCCACTTGTAATGAAGACTGCGTTTCTAGTCGTTAGAAACAAAATTACTAGGGAGAACGGACTCAATGTAGATATAAGGTAAATACGAAGATGCTGTTGGTATGGTGCTAGTCGATCGCACCAGTACCAGTATCAGATCTCATTTTTTGTTGGTGATATAAGTCTAGAAATCTTTTTTCGATACCCATGTATGGATACATATGTATCGCTATCGCTTTAAATTAGGAGGAGTAGGAGTACAAAACCAGAAATCGAATCAATATTAAGTTCATACATCATAGACCACGGATTTTACAGCGAAAAAAACCATAGAACCCAGTATCGACGACCACATGGTAGATACTAATCTTATAGTTTTAGCAGCACCATCATCTTCAGAAGATGATCTTCCACTTCGAACATTTAACAAACTTTTACAAGTGCTATAACAACAAGTAAAAATAGAAGTTGAATCGTGTACATACGAATATTTGGGGAATTTGAGCCTCGGACTTCTTCGAAGCTGGAGAGCACGCGCACATGCAATCGTCTCAATCATTTTTTCATGAAAATAGTTGTAAATCCTTCATGAAGCCACTACGCTTAGTTCAACAACAGCAAAGTGCTTCAAGACAACATCATCTTGACCTTTTTCATTTCTCACCACTGTTTCTAACTACTGACTCGTCCTACATCTTAGGTTAGTGTCATCTTAGAGTAGCCTTAGTAGTTGCGCATTGGCGGTGGCGCGCCATACTGTCCCGCCGGGTTCCACTGGTTCGGCTGCGGCTGGAATTGCTGCTGTCCCGGGAAGCCTGGCTTTCCATAGGCTGCCATCTGCGGATTTCCCCCCATCTGTGGCGGACCTCCTTGTCTTAGTGGTGGTATAGGAAGTCCATCCCAATTATCATCTGGATCTCTTTTTCTTCTTGTCTTTATCCTACCAGATGACTTTGGAGATGGATTTACCGCACCCTTAATTGTCCTCCCATCTGCGGTGGCGGACCTTGTCCACCCATCTGTGGTGGGCCTCCCTTTTGTGGCGGACCTCCCTTTTGCGGTGCTCCTTGCATTTGAGGCGGGCCTCCTTGTCCCATTTGAGGCGGACCTTGTCCCATGTGCGGCGGACCCATCTGTGGCGGGCCTCCCATCTGCGGACCGCCCATCTGCGGACCTCCCATTTGTGGCGGCATTTGGCCCATCTGCTGCGGACCACCCTTGCCCATGTTATCTGAGAGAGAGAGAGAAAGAAGATGCGAACATAAGATTGGGAAAATGATCAGTCTCTCTTGTGAAAGGAATAAGTTGGAATCAACAGGATGATCAGCGACTAGCAAAAGAAAATCAACCAAGAACGTGTCGTTTGCAGAAAGTCAAACCACAAGGAAGTACTCATGTGCGGTGGGCCCTGTGCGGGGTGACCCATCTGCGGTGTTTGAACGACTTCTTGACCCTTCAACGCTGGTGGCTGCGTTGGCGGATAGGTGAGAGCCGCTTGGCCGTATCCTCCCTTTGCTCCTCCGAAGTCCTGGCCATAGTCTTGAATCGCGTTGTAATATCCACCCTGTCCATATTGCTGGTTGATACTCGTAATCTGCTTCAAAGCGTTGAGACCACCTAGAGGGGAGGCCAAGAAATTAGAGGCAAACGGATTTCCATATCGTCGTAGCACCACCAGATGTTATTTCATTTTCGAAACCCATCCAACATGAGAAGTTCTTTCGAGGCCTGCTCTGGCACCAATGAAAATCTTCGAGATTTTTATCACATGGTTGGTTATACAGTAAACTAAGTTTGTTGTACCTGGGTTTCCTCTAGCTTCAACTGCTTGTTGAACCGCCTCGTACAACTTGCGGTCACCTACGGTAGAGTATCCTTGCTGACGGCAGGTTCTGGCAACTTCGGTGGCTTGGTTTTCGTGTGCTGTTGTCTGCGTGACGCGAACCTGGAAGGCAAGAGTCGCCCTGTATTCGTCCAAGACGTCCACGATAGGTCGCAGATCCGCCGCGATTTTACGACTCGTATTGTTGAATTGCGCTTCCACCTGATGTGTCGTTTCAATACCGAGATGAAAAGCAACATAACGTAATTAATGTTGTGAATTTTAATAGAGAACGATTTGATGTTGACCGATGGCCATCATCAGGGGAAGATGTGAAACATTAAATGTGAAGCGAAGTAAATCATTCTAGTGCAGAGCAGAACTCGCTTGAGGGATCACTACTCATACTACTTTCAGGTTCCACACAAACAAGAAAGAAAAATTTGAGAAAAAGGATTACGATTGAGTGGTCCGTTCCAACCATGATCTCCCTCTTATCGAGGCCGAGATCGATGCATACACGAAGACCTAGCGTTGCTGCTGCCAGACAAGCCATTGGCACTGTGATTTCTCCTGTTTCTGGCAAATCGTTGTGGTCCAACCGCAAGCTTCCGTGCCACATCTGCTTGACGTTCGGGTGATCAGCCTGCGTTCCGACCGCGTTGATAACAACACCTAGGAATGAGAGAGCAGAAGAAAATTTTCTGGACTGAAGCATTCGTGTGAGTACAGAACAGAGAATAATTCAAGAGACGAACTTCAGATTCAAGATTCTTGCCTGTACCAGAGCCATACAACAGCCAAATAGGAAGAAGTATTGAATTGTTTGCCGCAGACGCAGCCGCTACTCCATTCTGTACTAGATGATGAAGTAAGAAGTAAAATAGCTGGCAAGATTTGTCACTTGCTGCTTCGTCTGTTGCATCATTCATCTTTGCTTCTACAACGAACATCACCAGAATAGTTGTACCAAGTGCCACAATTCTGTTGGGGCCGTCGACGGATCCGGAGATATTCAGCAAGACACGTGCTCCCCATCTGGGCCACTCTGTCTTCTTGTAGACTGCTGGTCTGCGCCAGTTCCAATCACTCTTTGGGTCTGTATTGGGGTGAGTTCATTTCTTTGTGAAATATTCTAAAAATTTCTAGAATTTTTACAAAGAGTTTGGATTTCTCTTCGGGTGTCGAACATCGAACATGATCTGGGCGGAACGAGGAACATTACACATATTATACCTATAACCACCTACATTACTATACTACACTGAGATATATCTACAACATTTCTACAAAAAATTCTTCTATCCTCAATGGTCAAGAATGCAACAAGAATGCAACAAAGAATGCAATTGTACTTCCGTCGTTGCTCTTCCATGTGCCTTGCAGATCGTTATCGCCCTTGTAGTCCAAGACCCACAGAGAGCGGGAGCGCTCTTCCGAAAAATAGAGCTTAATCGGGTATTCGTTTGGATCAACGACTGAGATCGTTCCGATCTGCACGTTGCTGTCTCCACGGTAGACCTTAATTGAGCCTGTAGAAGTCTCCACCCACACGTTCAAAACGTTGTCATAGTCGTCCATCCAGTAGCCTCGCAAGTCATCTTAGAACAATTCAAAATTTTAATTTGTATCTGTATTTGAATTTACTTATACTTACTTACTTCTTTAGCCCATTTCTTCAGAGTCTCAAGAAGGAAACGGAGGAAGATGAGCGCTGGAAGATGAAATGAATTCTATTGAGCCTTAATTATCAGCGATCCAAGTGCTCTCGTCACGCGGCTTCGGCTTCGGCTTGGTACGCTTGTTCCCTCCACTTCCCTTCATAGTCTTGCCACGGCCCTTTCCGCCCTTGCCGCCTAGTAGTAGGTTTAGTAGTAGAGTTTTCGTTCGAAGTCTACTTTCGAGTTGGAACAGTATTATTTAGTACCGCAACTTCTTTTTATTTAGTACATATTCATATACAACCAGTCAGAAAAGAACCTCGTACAACAAACAAAAATCGGAAAAGAAAAAAGTACCGCCACGTTGTTGCCAGCCATCATTTCCACCGCCCCAAGCCTGGTCCTTGGTTTGATTTCGGCGATTCACGTTTTGCACAACAATAGCTTTGGCTGGTTCTGGCATCAATTGAGACGGCAACCAGATCGAAGCTATCTTTGCGTCAGCTGGCAAACGAACGGAGCCACGTTCGATCCACTCTTTGCGTGAGTAGTTTTTGACGAGTGCAACCGGTTTCAAAGCGCACTTTCCTGGGTCACCCGGGACCAGTTGGACTCGGTAGCACGCAACAGGCAATTTTGGGCGCCCTTCCATCACATCATTGGTATCTGTTTTTCGGATAGAAGAGGTGATTTTTTTTGTTAAAATAAGAAGACGCCCATCGTCCATCACATCATTGGTATCTGTTTTTCGGATAGAAGAGGTGATTTTTTTTGTTAAAATAAGAAGACGCCCATCGTCCATCACATCGTTGGCATCTGTTTTTCGGATAGAGGTGATTTTTTTTTGAGTAAGTAAGGCCCTTCCATAAGATCATTAGTTGCTGGTCTTTTGGCTTTAGCAGTGATATTTTTTTGTCGCCCTTCCATCACATCGTTGGTATCTGGCTTTCGGAGGAAGTTCCAGTGGAGCCCTAACTAGAAAAGAAGACTTGGGTAAAGGTGATTTTTTTTTTATAAGTACGTTGATATTTTCGTTCAGGAGTTGCGAGACAGTGCTATCTTTAGTGGGCTCATGGTCAGACAAACTTTAAATAGATGATTTTGAACTCACATAAGACTCAAGACGCAGCTGGCGTTTCGAGTCTGAATAGAGACAAAAGAAGTGTCATCATTCATGGGCCTACCTGCATCCCGGCGTGAAAATGATCATGGGTCAGACAAACTTTAAATAGATAATTTTGAACTCGCATAAGACTCAAGACGCAACTGGCGTTTCGAGTCTGAATAGAGACAAAAGAAGTGTCATCATTCATGGGCCTACCTGCATCCCGGCGTGAAAATGATCATGGGTCAGACAAACTTTAAATAGATAATTTTGAACTCGCATAAGACTCAAGACGCAACTGGCGTTTCGAATCTGAGTAGAGACAAAAAAAGTGTCATCCTTCATGGGCCCTACCTGCATCCCGGCGTGAAAATGATCATGAACGTACTGTGTTGCCAAAAAAAATAAAGTCCAACTTCTCTAACAAGCAACTACATCAAAAAATCAATCTGAATACCTTGTTTCGGGTATGCAGCTTGTTTCTTGTCGACCTTGAGTGCCTTATCGGTGAAGGGCATACGAAGAGATGAACCTTCGGACGAAGCCTTATCCAAGATATCTTCCCAGGGGTTTTTAGTGCCATTGAACGTCGGATCCTCACCTTTGTGGGCATTCGCGAGAAGGCGATGCAGCGGGCCGCACTGTTTCGAGGCGACGAACGCCAAATTGGCGTTTCGGATCGCCTTACTTTCGTGGGAGCTCACATGCAAGTCCTCCCAGATAAAATGCAGGGAGATTTTGAACTGGGAATACCTGCAAAGACGAGGACAATCAGTATTTCCTCATGTTTCACATACTAACTTTTTTCCAAAACAACATCATGACTTGTTTGTAGTGGTCTACTACAAAATTTAAATCACGTGTACCTGTACTACTACTGCAAATTTAAACAGTTCTCCTTGTTCCACTACTACGCAATTAAAAAAATGTCCATACCTCTTTGCGTATCCGCTGGATGCGAATACGTTCACCGTGGTGTCTGGTCGTGCGCGCTCTACACCCAGAGCATCATAGGTACGCCAAATTACACCCAAAACTGCTGCTTGGCAGCGAATCAGACACTCCATCCACAAAGCCTCAATTTCCGAGATTTCCTCCAAACAAGTGACATGCGGAAGCAAAACATCCACATCCTGGTAGTACTTGAACACCTGTGAGAAGATAGTATGGAGTTGAAGGTAGTAGTCTAGAAGGTAGTTGAAGAAGATAATATGTAGAACCATAAGAAAATAACTCGGGGGCACTTGTTTTCAACAAAAAAATACAGCACGTTTTTCAATAAAATCTTTTTGTTGCCGTACAACGCGAGCAGCTCGTAAAAAAGTTGATTTGAGACCCAAGAGTCGCTAGCACATCCTTAAAAAAAACATGATCATTTTCATACCGGGGTTGCCATCTCACACAAGGTGAGTGGCTTTCGGGCCGAATGAAAGTGATCGATGGCTTCATACAATCCTTGCAAGTCCTCATCATTTTTGCATTCCAACTTTCCACTCTTTGGCAACCTGATACATGTTGATCAACAAGAGTTCTGCGTTGTCGTTTGGGGACGCAAATTGATATTCAAGTAGGGCATTCGCGTGAAGGGAAAAATCTACAACAGTGACAAGAACGACCTCATTTTTTTCAGAAGCATGACACCACAGTTGTTCTTGCGTTGAAATCCATAAAAGTGAATGATCTTAAAATAAAATCGTTGTCCAGGTCGCAGCGGCAAATACCTTCCATCCCGATGACCGCACATGACGGAGTGAGTGATCATATGAGGGTCCCAACATCCCAGCTTGTGCAACTTGGCACACATCTTCGTGTACTTCTCTTGCGCCGCGGCCTCCATTTTGGCGCTTGAGGGGGGTATAAAAAGAAAACAATCTACAAAGGGAGGTCCCCAACAAGTAGGGAAGATTCAAAAAATGTATAAAGAGACGCCGATGTTGTTGATACTAGTAGTTGAAGTACCTACAATTCTATGAAAGGTCAATGTTGATCGTGGATAGAAAATGTTAGGGGACGTAAAGATGGTATAGGAAATCGGTCTGCAGTCGGTCTCTTCAACCTCAACAAGAGCCTTTCAAAATGAGAGTAGTGCTATAGCCCCTCCTGCAATCTACTTTTCCAAGGTCGTTCTAAAACACTAAGAAAATCGCGAATACACCAGTCAAATAGTTGCTCAACTTTGCTCCTTTTTAAATAACTGGAACCTGTGGAGTGTTGCGAGGACGGAAAAGTTTTTCTACGGGATCACACAACTAGAACAGTACGTCTTCACTTCGTGCACGCCATGTTCAGACAGAAACTTAAAACAGATAGAGTTACATCAGTAAAAATGTTAAAGAGTAAACATCAGTAAAACTTAAAACAGATACTAGAGTTACAAATGTTAAAGTAGCATTTCATCTGCTCGGACGACTGCCGCATGATGGAGACCGAGAGGAAATGCAATTCCTAAATTTTTTCCACCTTGTCAACATACATTCTTAATTCGCCTTTGCCATCGTCTGCACACATCATCATCCTCTTCCCCAACCTCATCATCCTTCAACATTTTCAGTTGTCAGAAAGTTTGATCACAACCCAGAACTAGTATGGAGATCACAGAGATCAGACTTGGACGACCAAATACAACAAGCTTTGAAAAGAGATTTACCACAGAGACATGATTCATCATCATGGTGTCCCATTTAGTACTCCTAGCCTAATGTGGGGACAAATCAATTCCAGCAGTGTGTTCCCTAGAATGAAGATTCCATTTGCAGCTGTAGCAGATTTCACCACACGGACTTTTTTCAACAAGGACTCGTACGCACGTGTAGAACATTTTTTCTTGAGGGGAGCCACAATAATCCATTCTTGCAGATTGTCATTGGTCTAAGAACAGTATCATCAACAACCGAATGCTGATTGCCTAAGAACCTTGCAGGGTACATCAACAGTAACGCAAGGAATTGCACATGGAGAATTGTCATTACTGCGTCGGCACAACGTTACAATTTTCGGATTTTGTCCTCAGCCGTCTGTATTTAGAACACAACAGAACATTGTCGAAGTCAGTCTGAACATTGTCTAAGAAGTTAGAGCATAGCTAGACGAAACACAAGAAACAGAGCCCTTTCATGGGGCGAAAGAGAAGAGGCAGACGAAGGCAAAAGTGGTAACCTCGTTGGGAGAAACGACGGATGTACTAAGAAAGGCAGTTCTTTGTGGATGGTGCATTTAATTCCAAAGAGAGAGTACATCAAGCGTGGTGGTTGAGATTCTCGTGTGTCGCTGTCATAACATCCAAAAAAAATTTGGAAAACACAAGCTTCTGGCACTAGTCCTTTGGCAAAAATAAAAGCTTGCGGTCGTTGACGTAAATAGAAACCCGTAGATGTTTCGTCTGCTACTCCACAAGAGCTGGAGTCAAAACTCAAAAAAAAGCCGGGTCACGAAAGGCCCACACAGCGCTGGCACGCAAGGCTCCTTCAGGGTCCACGACACATGCTTGAAGACACTGTCTCTTGACCTTGCTGCCGCGCAAAGGCACGTGCGTTAAGCTTACCCAAAAACTTCTACCTGTCCTTTTTTACTACTTCTTGGTTTTAGCCGGAAAAGTGCAAATCGAGTTTGTTGTGTGCCACACGTGCTTGCTCCACCGTGTGCTCCAGTCGTAGTTTAGCACTGACAGTATTTCCCTTGCGTTGTAGCTGTTGTGCAATCAATGACGCCGTCCGGACGCAAACCGGAGAAGTTTCTACATTTCTCCTCGCCACGAAAGGCAGTAGTAACCATCTTGAAAAAACCTCTTGCAAAAAGACGTCTACTTTCCTGGTCCACACAAGCCTTATAGACGTTGCTCTAGCTCTTCTCCGATCCGCATCATGGAAGTACCTCTCCATCGCCCATGGCAAGTCGTAACTCTGTTAAATCTGCTTTCTCATCTGCTTATCCTTTCAGCAATAAACCTGCACAGCACATTGAAACGAACTCGCGCACAGGCCAGCTCCACTCGTTGTCTGTTCCTCTCCTTACACGACAAACTGCTTGAACTGCTAGGCCACAGAAAACTACGCTCACCAAACTGCCAAAGGATCGGTTTAGAAGTTGTATCAATATCACTGACAAGCCGACTAGCAAGATGTGATGATCTTGATGCACTACAAAATGACTCTGGACGAACTTTTGATAACTTCTTTTGCTCTCACTCATACTTAGCACATCTTCACTCCAACAATTCAAAAACTATAAGTTCATTTCTTAACACCATCGACGGACTCGCAACCAGCATCACTGATCGCAGAATCGCTGCTCCTGCAAAGAGTTTTGTTGTGAGATCAACAGGCCGTAGAGCTCTAGGTGACACTCGAGCTGGTTTCCAGTGAACCACGCCGTGCGCGAGAAAGGGCGAAAAAGGATAAGTCCGTAACTCCGAAGCAGCGACAAAAGAGGCTGCCAGATGCAATCCGAGTAAGACGAAAAAAGGAGTATGAAAGAGTGGGGTTTGTGGATTTTGGAATCAATGTATTTGCAAATTCCCAAACAGGGAAACGCATTTCATTCACCTACAACTCACAAAACCGAAGTAGTCTATCTTTTCAAAATTGCAAAACTTTTCATTTTCTTTTCGGGGAAAAGAAAAAAACCAACAAACACTTTTCAGCATCGTCATAAATTGGTAGCAACAGCCCTGGCATCGAAAACAGGCTGGATGCTGCCTTAGTAATCCCTGGCCATATGGCAGCCCATCCAAGCAACGGACACAGAACTGCTTCTGTAAGACACCTGTAGCCGTGTAGATTGGTAGATTGCTCCTAGGTCTAGGGCCTTCCACAGGTCTGGCAGAATTTGCTTTTCATCATTTCTTCAGCGCCAGTTGTATTCGAAATAGAAATACTATTTCTTTCACAAAAAAACTATTTAATGAATGTTTTCTCAAATGTTGAATCACAATCTGGTGATCTTAAAGACATGTGTGCACTGACTCAACATTCTGAACTGGAGGATGAAATAGTTTAAGTCTATAAAAGCCTGTAAGCTACACCTGGCCCTATGGAAGCCTTCCAATTGCGCGCTCCGTGAATACACTAGGCGATCCGGCACAAGTGTCGTGACCAATCCCGTAAAAGCTTGGTACAAACCATGGAGTGCAATGCCTTCGAAAATCCCTCCCACACGGTTTTTGTATATCCAAGCGTAGCCGCAAAAGATAAAGCTGAGAAGCCCCACGCCTTTCAGCTTTTCGGTCCACATCTTCTCACTGCTGTTGTTGGTGACGATGTACTTGTACTTCTATAGCAGAGTAGGTTAGTACTACTTACTATTGTTTCTTCTTTTACACTGGCCCGTGTCCAGAAGATGAGGATTTTTCTTTTTGTGTTTCTCTAAGGTCTTGTCAAGTCAGCAGTGCCTTCATGTGCGGAAGAAACGGCAGCTCGGCAGCTTCTCCTTCTACCCCAGCTGATGTATGATTGGATATCAATCCAGGCCTTTTTTTTACTCCAGCGCCTGCACGGTAATTCTTATCTTCGAACAGGAACTCTTACATATTACTGAGCTTCCCCCATTTAGTTGTCCTCCTGCTTTTCGGAAACGGATGTTGCTAACTTCTGTTGCAGGCGAATCCAATTTCGGCAGACTCAACGAGAGTGGAGGAGACTCCTGCATACTTATCATGTAGTTTGTAGTATTTTGCAAGAAGGGATAGCCTAAAAATATATAGAAACAATGTAGTTAGGAGTAGTTCGTTATCCATAAAACATAGTCTGGTGCCGACTTTCCAGCGACAAGCATGGTTCCAGAATACGAGCAGTTCTCTATAGTCTTCCTTAAAGATTCCAAAAAGAACGCGCGATGTCTGAACACAAAAGGCGGGGACATATGGGCGCGGGCACTGTATGTTTTGAAGCGATATCTTCTTTTTGGCCGGAGCGACTGTTGCATCCTCTTTTTCTGAAATGTTTATCTATTGGTAGTGGTGGTGACGCGCCGACCCACGGAAGATCACAAAAACTTTAAAGGGGCGCGCTGCTGTGTTCAGCATTATTCGAATAACCCCGCTTCCAAGCTTTCCTACAGTCGACCCCCGCGCCAAGGCCTGATACCCTTGTGCGCACGCGTTGCGCCGAGCGGGCGCAACAGCACGCCCACAGACTGGAAGAGGGCCCCGCAACAAAACGGCAGGCACACGCAAGCGGCTCGGCGAAAGCCGCGGAGGCATCACCGGCCAGCCGAAGGGGCCGCTCGCCCCGTTGCTGGACCTCGCGACCCCGTAGGTGCTACGTCGCCTTCTATAGGGGCCTACAGTGAAACTTTTGGGGGGGTTTTATGGACAAAAACCCTCACTACATTCCCGAACTTGCGGGCCCTGCAAAAGTAACCGGGAAGCCCGGGGGGATCGACCCGGAAGTCCATGAGCTACCGCGGCCCCCTTTGCAGGGGCGGAAGGGTCGGAAATCTAGTGGGAGTATAAGAAAACCCCGCTAGGCTTCCCCGTAGGCCCCTATAGGGGGCGGCGCTGCCCTTGGCCCGCGACCCCCGCCTGAGCAAGCAAACGAAAGCGCCAAGCCCGCCGGGCGGCCTCACCTGCTACGCGGCGCGGCCAAAGCGGGGCCCCGAGGAACGCGGCGCGGCCGCGCTCCAGCATTGCGAGAGGGCCGGCCAGAGTGCCCACGCGTCGGGCGTCTTCGGGGCGCCGGCGCTACCAGGGCGCGGTTGCGGGGAGCACACGCCAGGGGCACGCGCGGCCTGCTCCGTAGCGCGCGGGCCGCTGCCGCGGCAGCTGCGCCGCGCCAAGCACGCACAGGCCAGCGACCTGCGCCTCTGAAATTCGGGGCATATGCGTGGCAAGCGATACGCCCAGCGCGCAACTTGGTGGCGAAAAGGGGAGCGGCGAGGCGCTGGAAAGCCGCGGGCGAGGGCCGTGTATGGTTTAGACCACCCTCTATAGGGGCCGCCGGGAAACTAATGCGGGAAACTGGTGCGCCATCTTTCCAATTAGTTCACACGGCGTAGAGGCTTCCTCGCTTCTATTCTGCTTAAGTAGCGAGAAGAAAGGGACTCTGGCACTGGCTGCGGAGTTTGCGCCTGGGTCTTCTTGGCCGTCGCTCGTCGGCAAACAGAAGCCGGCGCTCTTAAAGGAGAAAGCGCGACAACTTTTTTGCCATAAGTTCCTATGGGAGTGGGGCTCCCTCGCTTCTATCAACCGCGCGACCGGCCTCTCCGCTTGCCTTCTGCGGGTCTGAAACTGCCAGGATTTCCGTGTGGTATTTAATTCCTACAAGCTTCAGACCCGTGAGCAGTCCCGCCCGGGTGGCCATGCTTTGCCCCTCCCTTCTGCAAGTCTGAAACTATTACGGACGGGACGCCGATCGGCTTATCGCGGAACGGCTGCGAGGGAGCTCTGCGCCGCGCGTCTGTTGCCGACTTATCGCGGGCTGGCTGCGCGTCTGTTTGTTATCGACTCAACGCGGGCCGGCTGCTAGGCACCTCTGCGCTGCGCGTCTGTTGTCGACTCATCGCGGACCGGCTGCGAGGCAGCTTTGCGCTGCGCGTCTGTTGTCGACCTATCGCGGGTCGGCTGCTAGTGCGCTGCGCGTCTGTTGTCGACCTATCGCGGGCCGGCTGCTCGGCAGCTCTGCGCTGCGCGCCTGTTGTCGACTTATCGCGGAGCGGCTGCTAGGCAGCTCGGCGCTGCGCGTCTTTTGTCGACTTATCGCGGGCCGGCTGCTCGGCGGCTCTGCGCTGCGCGTCTGCTATCGACTTAAAGCGGCAGCCACGGCTTCGAAGGAGGGCGGCTCTCTAAGGGGATCACCTTCCCAGCCCGAAGAAAGTCGCACTCTTCAGGGAATTGCGAGGACTGCGCGCCACATTACTGACGGCGGCAGCAAGATTTCAGGCATCAGCTTCGCGACAAGCAAACAAACGAGCGCACGATCGCGGACAGCCAAGGCTTTGAAAGGAGGCGAGTCCTGAAGGGGATCACCTTCCCAGCCCGAAGAGCGTCTCACTTTTCCGCGAATTGCGAGGACAGCGCGCCATCTAATGGCGGAAGCAAGGGCGTGGGCACCAGCTTCGCGACAGGCAAACAAACGTACGAGCGCACGATCGCGGACAGCCAAGGCTTCGACGAGAAGCGACACCCTAAGGGGGACACCGTCCCAACCCGAAGAAAGTCGCACGCTTAAGCGAATTGCGAGGACTGCGCGCCGTCTAATGGCGGAGGCAAGGCTTTGGGCATCAGCTTCGCGACAGCCAAACAAACGAGCGCACGATCGCGGACAGCCAAGGCCTCGAAAGGAAGCGACTTCTTAAGGGGGACACCTTCCCGACCCGAAGAGAGTCGCACCTTCCAGCGCATTGCGAGGACCGCGCGCCGCCTAATGGCGGGGGCAAGGCCTCAGGCCTCAGCTTCGCGACAGGCAAACAAGCGCGCGCACGATCGCGGACAGCCAAGGGGCCGAGAAAAGGCGGCTCCTGAAGGGCGAAGCCTTCCCAACTCGCAGAGGGTCACACCCTTAGGCGAATTGCGCGGGCTGCGCGCCATCTAATGCCATGGCGGGAGCAAGGTTCTAGGCACCCGCTTCGCACGGAAACACGAACACGCTGCGAAGTCTAGTGCGTGACCTGCGCCGGCCTCGGCTGAGTTCTCAGGAGGAAGAGGGCCTGGCCTGGGTCGCCCTCTATACCGTCCTACGGGAAACTAATGGAGAATGGCGGGCATTGGTTCTCCCCATTAGTTTCCACCAAAGTTGCGGCTTCCTCGCTTCTATCGGATGCCTGTAGCGAGGATGCCGGAGCTTTGCGAGCAGTTGGCTGCTGGAAGTGTCAGACGTCCAGAAGAGAAAGGGAGCGGATGGCCCCAAAGCTAGCGGCGATTCTTACACATCTGAAATTTTTAGGGTGTAGAAGTCCGCGACCCTTTTAGGCCCTGAGAGTTTCAGACTTGCAAAGGGCCAGCCGTTTCCGACTTATCGACATATCGCGGAGAGGCTGCTAGGCTCTCGCAAATCTGAAAACTTTAGGGTGTAAAGCCAGCGAATTTGTTTCCTGAGAATTTCAGACCTAGAAAGGGCCGGCTGTATTCGGCTCGTCGACTTATCGCGGACAGGCTGATAGGCTCGCACAAGTCTGAAGCTTTTAGGGTTTAAAAGTCCGCGGCTTTTCTAAGCCCTGACAACTTCAGACCTACAAAGGGCCAGCGAGCTGCTTTCGACGTCTCGACCTATCGCGGACAGGCTGCGAGGCAACTTGCCGCCGCGCGTCTCTTATCGGCTTGGCGACCTATCGCAGACAGGCTGCCAGGCAGCTCCGCGCCCCCCGTCTCTTGTCGACTTATCGCGGGCCGGCTGCTGGGCACCTTTGCGGCGCGCGTCTGTTATCGACTTATCGCGGGCCGGCTGCTGGGCAACTTTGCGGCGCGCGTCTCCTATCGACTTCTCGCGGGCCGGCTGCTAGGAAGCTCTGCGGTGCGCGTCCGTCCTCGACTCATCGCGGGCAGTCTAGGCCCCGAAAAGGGGCGACTCTTTAAGGGGATCGCCTTCCCAGCTTAAAGGAAGTTGCACTTTTCAGGCAGTTCCCGAGCCTGCTTGCGATATAATGGCGAAGGCGAGGCTTTGCGCATCACCTTCGCGACCCGGGAACACGCGGCCGCTCGATCGCGGGCAGTCAAGGGCCCGAAAAGGAGCGGCTTTTAAGGGCATTGAATGCCTTCCCTACTCGAAGAGCGTCGCGCCTTTCATTCAGGTAGTTGCCAAGCCTGCCGGCGATCTAATGGCGGAGACGAGGCCTTGCGCCTCTATCCGCTTCGCAACCCGGGACCAGGCGGCCGCTCGATCGCGGGAAGCCAGGGCTTCGAAAAGCGGCGGCCTTTTAAGGGGATCACCTTCCCCACGCGAAGAGGGGCGCGGCCTTCAGGTAGTTGCCGAGCCTGCTCGCGACCTAGTGGCGGGGGCGAGGCTTTACACATCAGCAGCGCACGAAAGGGGAACGCGCTGCGGCATCTAGTGCGTGGCCCACGCTGGCCGCGGCTAGGTTCTCAGTAGGACCGGAATCGGCAGAAATTATCGGAGGCCCCGCGCGAATCGCGAGCGAGATCCAACGGGCTGGCGCCTCCTCTGCATTAGTTTCCCGGGGGACAGTCTAGCGGGCGAGCTTGGCCCTAAGGAGTGGGAGGGCCCAGCGAAATCGTTTTGGAATCTAGTGGGGACCTGGGGCCAATCGCGAGAAAGTTACAAAAGGCCCGCGCCTTCTCTACATTAGTTTCCTGCAGGCCTATGATAGAGGTGGGCCCCGTCCTTAGGCTGGGGCTGGCGTGGCTCCGGGTCGTGGTCGACGGAGTCCACCCCCTCGAAACCGCTGCCCGCATGAATGTCGACAGTTCGAAACGGCTAAGGGACTCGCAAAACGGCCAACAACCTGGCAGGTTTTTTTGCGAGAGCTTTCGCGGCTTTTTCATTGTCATGCGCCCTGCCCTTTTTCCTACTTGCGGCAGCAAATGCCGCAGCGCGCCACAAAGTGTGGCGCAGGGTTTTATCGAAAAGCCGCCAAGTGGAGACCGATGGGGCTTCCCATTTGTGGCGAATCTTTTGGGAAGCGAAACCGGTAAGGAGAGTCGGGAAGCCCTTGCGAGGTTTTTTGTCGTAGACGTTGCGGCGGTCTTTTTCTCTTCCTTCTTTGCTTTGTTAATATTTGCGAATATTTGAAAGGACTCGAATACTTTGCGAATATTTGAAAACATTTGGAGAGTATTTAGGAACATTTGTCGAATATTTTAAAGAAATTAAATAGGTGCGGGAATTGTTTTCGCGCGAATATTTTGGAAGAAGGTGAGTGG